TATTGATTGTCTCGAATAGTATAGTTAGCTGGAGGAGCGATACCTTGGGCAAGATTAGAAAATAAATTAGATGATTCTAACACATTAATGTCATTATTTGCACCTGGCATACCTAAATATGCGTGCCATATCCATAGATCATAGTCTGCAATAGTTTTCAAAATGATAGTTGGATATCCAGAACGTTCATTGTATTGGCCAGCCCACCCAGTAGGATATACTTCCTGTTTCCATTGCATACAGTCCAAACTACCCAACATTCCCGGAAAACCAAATTTCTCACCAATATGATATCTCGTAAGGCCTGGCAGGTCTAGAACCATCAATGATATCAGCAGCATTTGGTGATCTTAAGTATTGTGCACTATAAATTTCAATAATAGCTCGGTAAAATCTCTTTAATGATTGGTGTGTTGTTGACTCGGCAAGTTCAAGATATTCATCAAGTTGATCTCTTGGAGCGCCACGAGCTAACTGATGAATTGTTGTCGTTACTTTTACATTTGTTGAAAGTCTAGGTATACCAATCGCATCATTGCAGTGTTGGAAATAAACATCATGGTTCTCCAATGCATAAAAAATATGCTTGAAAAGACTAAACGACATTCGAAATCTTTGACGAAATGTTTTTGCATCATAAGTTGGATTACTACTAAAGTAATCTTGAAACAAAATCTAGTTGGCCCCCTCCCAATCTTGATGGACTACGTTGTGGCCTGGAACAGAACCACCCCAACTCGATTCACTACTTTCTGCTGAAAGAGTATGTGCTAACACAAAGTTATTAGTTTGGATCACACGGCAATTGCTTATGTAAATTATTTTTAGACAGAAAATTCTGTATTTGAATTTTTTCTATTTGAATCATAATCTCGTGGAGGAAGAAAACTCATTTTGAATGAGTAATAGAGAGTGAATTTAGAAAACGCTAATTTGATAAGTAGTTGTTTAATGTTTTGGATTGTTTGCCATATAGGTTGCTATTTAAATAGATTAATGTGCTTCATTTATTAGAGTGGACCCAAAAAAAAGAAGAAAAAAGAGCACATGCACATTGCAAAATTGAAATTGAAATACCGGACTTTGATGGCATAAATGGAAAGAAAAAAAAAGAAAGAAGAAACAAGAGCACAAGCATATTGCAAAATGAAAATTAAAAAGATCCAACTTTGTTGGCTTAAATGGAATGAAAAAAAAAGAAACAAGAGCACATACATATTGCAAAGCTGAAATTGACAGGATCGGATTGTTTATTAAATGGGAAAAGAAGAAGAAAGATCACATGTATACTGCGAAAAATTTAATTGACATGATGAGTAATGGTTAAATGGACAAGAAAAAAAAAAAAGAAAGAGCATGAATGGACAAAGAAACTAACCTTTAATTGAAAAAACCGAACCATGCCAAAATGGATCAAAGAAAAAAAAGAAAGAACATGAATGGACAAAACAACATAGCTTTAATTAACAAAACGGGACATGCATGAGAAAAGAAAAGGACAAGTAAATAAATACTATTGTGTTAATAAATACCATAACGATCATTTCAAGTATATAATTCAGTTTTTCTTTAACAACTTTGTTTGCTTTTGTTTTTTTCTACTCTAAGAAACATCTTCCATCTAAGTTCCAAAGATTGAAAATGACATCCGATAAGTAAGACAATATTACTTTGATGTGTAGTTAGGGGTGTATGAGATTGTAAATGATGAGAGACATATGTAATATTTGATTTATAAGTAAATAAAAAATAAAATAAAGGGATCATCATAATCTCCATACACGTCTCCCTCCTAAAGTAAACGTCGAGTTAACAAGAGGCGAACAATATAAAGTGAGTTCAATGTCTATACACTAACATATACAGATCTGTGTTATGACATGATTGATAATCATTATGGGACAGAAGGGGTATTCATATTACTATTCATTTCCATAAAAAATATAAGTGTATTGTTTTAATTATGATGAAGTGACTCATTTTTTTGTTGGGTGAAACAAGAATAAGTTATATATATAGAAAAGTAGAAATGACAGGTACGTAGGATCGTTGTTGTACAAAGAGTGATGGAATTAGTCACAAATTAAGGTGATAAGGGGTTAATCAGCTTTGAGCTGAATGGTAGTGTTGGCAACAAGTAGTATACAGTACTGAATCGAACACGAGACTGATTAAATAATTTAGGTTACGGGGCAACGTAACAGAAATTAGAGATTACATTATTATTATGACACAAGCGATATACTCCCAAACCGAAGTGGATCGATATGGGGATAATTGAGGTACGCACGTAAACGTACGTACAGCCAACACAGAATTGTAGTAGTAATATCAAACTGCGAAGCTATAGCTAACCCTACGCATTATCCATCTGCAGTAATATTATATATGTGACGATATATTGGATCGCTTGGTTACGTAGTGATCAAGTGTGAATACCATGTTGATGGAGCATATATATTAAGCATCCCACAGCAGCCGGCCGGTTGATCACCTAATCCTGCATGATGTCTCAAAAATGAATTGTACGTACGTATATGGATGATGATGATGATGGTGAGATGAGGGTTGGGTTCCATCGATCATTATGAAATGCCTTTTTTAGTTCAGTGGATAGAAATTAATATTAGGATTGAAGCAAGTATAGTAAAAAAAGAAGCACAAATTAATAAGTTAATCATATATATATATATAGCCATATGCAAGGATGGATGTAAAAATAGTAGGATTGATTACCTGTTGCAGTTAGTGGAGGGGCTGATGAGGTAAGGGAGGGAGACGCGGCAGCGGCGGGGAAGGGTGCGAGCAAAGGTAGGTCGGATGTGGAAACGAAGGGAAGCAGATTTCAAGCACTTGCAAGCGCTCCTTCTGTCGAAGGTAGTCCTGGAAGCTGCGTACACGGTGCGGACACCCTGGCAGCATGACCGGGGAACCCTGCCTCCGCCGTTGAGGTAGCCCAGGCATGGGATCAACAGCCCGCTTATCCTCCCGCAACTTAACCCTGCCTCTGCTCTGCTTGTTAAGCTGCTTCCCACCACCACCATCACCAGCATCACCACCGCTGCCACCGCCGCCGGCCTCCTCATCATGTGCGCACCTCAGCTGACGGTTTCTTTCAAACTTAAATACTGTATGTAGTATATTTGTGCGTGCTGGAGTGCGTATTTCCTGCGGAATGTATATGTAGATTATGTTGTATATATATAGCAGAAGCGAATGCGCGCGGCACTCCAAAGTAAACTAAAAAGTGATCAAATGACGTATAATTAATTAAGAGTGAGTACTACTCTCAACAGTACAAAGGCCAAGTGGTGGTGAGAAGTGACATAGGTAACTGGGCATTGGGATCCCTCTGGAATACGCAATCAAACCCAACACCCCCCACTGTCTATCCATCAACCCTTCTCCTTTCATATTTATCTTTGATTCCATCCCCTTTCCACCTACCCTTCACGTTATATATGCCCCCCGTTTCACTATTTATTTCATTTTTTCCACTATATAACACCACCTATATATCAATTCTTTCATTACTATTTTTAACTCCACATATCACATACTCCACCTAATTTTCATTGATCACCTAATCTTCACAAAATGAATTGCCATCAAAGAAACAAGTGTCAAATGTTGATCCAGTAAGGAGGCTTTGTCGGATTTTATGGTCGAAACTGTGGACTCAACTATTATTATGAATAAAAATGAAAGATTATGAACCAAATTTGGCGAATAATGCAGCCAAAGCATTGCAGACAACTATATAAATATGTGTAATCTAAAAAATAACTTAAAATATCCTTACTATTTAAGAAAATATTAAAAACATCTTGTAATTGGCAAGTCAATTATCAAATAGTTCTTCGACGATTGAAAATTGATGTATGCACATGAACCAACAAAAAGAACATGCTGGAAAAATATTTGTAGTCCATAGAAACCCTCATTGATTTTTTTTAAAGCTCTAATAGAATAAAAAATCTGCTTTTAATTTTTTTTTAAAAAAAGCTTTTGGGGCCTGTAAAAAGTAAATTTGGGATTTATACGTGAAAATTTCATTTTATTATAATTTGAAAAAAAAATCACTGATGGTTTGTTGAGGGTATATATATATTTGCATTTTCTTTTTGCTAACTTCATATACATACATTAACTTTCAATCGTCAGAGAATCCTTTTGATAATTGACATGTATTTTAAAGTACAATAAGAGTATTTTGATAATTATTTAAACTATGGAGGTGTTTTTGATATTAACCCTATAAAAAATTACCACATTTGAGGCGTAAGAAAAAAGATTGTCTAACAATAAAGACTAAATTAACATACAATACAGGGTTAATATAAAAAATACTATTGGGTTTAACTTATTATCTAAAATACCTTTATGTGTTTTAGAAAAACATAAAAAAAATATCTTTTATCTGCAAGTTAATTATCAAAAGGTTCTTCTGGTGTCTGAAAATTGATGTATGCACATGTATTCAGTAAAAAAAAAATGTCGGAACACGCCTGTAACCCGTAGAAACCATCTTTAATCTTTTTTTTCAAACTTTAACAAAATTCAAATATCAACTTCTAAATTCAAAATTCATCTTTTGAGAGCTCGTAAAGAACTGAATTTAGTTTTAGAAGTTGATATTTGATTTTATTAAAGTTTGGAAAAAAATCAAAGAGAGTTTTTATGAGGTGCAAACGTTTTTTTGGTACCTTTTCGCCCGAGTTCAAGTGCAAATATCAATTTTCAGCCGCCAGAAAACCCTTTTCGATAATTGAGTTGCTGATATAGGGATTTTTTTTATATTTACATAAATAGTAAGGGTACTGTAGATAATTACCTAAATATTAGGGGTGTTTTTGATATTACCCTACAATATATGACGAGTTGACTATTGTTGACTGGATGGGAGTTTTAAAAACTTTTTCTACAAAGAAAAACCCATTTTATAACGTTTTATTCTTCGCACCATCTCCGGCGCCGGGGTTCAATCAATCGGGAACTGGATGGAGAGCGGTCAGGGAATCTCAATTTTCCGATGGTGGTTGGTCGGAATCCTGTGGTTGGTTTTTGCATCCGGGCACTGTCATAGGGCTCTCGCCTACCGCCCTGGCGACATCGTTCCAATGAGTCGCATGGGTCAATATCATTCCGTCCGTAACCTATTTTCCTCTCTTTCGTTTTTATTGATTGCTTCATCAGCTCCTATTTCCATCTTTTTTCGTTTTCCCTTAAATTTCCTGTGTGTTGCAGTCCAGGAGTGTGTGGCATGATATGATTGGCCGTCATTGCCCGATCTTCGCAGTTAATCGCGAGGTGAATTCGTACTCCTTTTTTTCCCCCAAGTTCAACTGATTTTTTAATTCATTATGGAATTCGTTAGCCTTTGAGTTTGTTCTTTATTTACTGTAAAACAGTCGTATCGTTTTCCCAATCAAGCAACGAGTTCTCGATCTTAACTGATTGGTCTACTTACACAGTCCTGATTTGTTTTAACTTTTTCGTGGGATGTTTCACTGTTCGCGCAACTTCCTGCTTTAGCGTCAAAGGTTGAGTTAAAATCATAAAGGAAATCCTCATTTTTTGTTCTAATTTCGTGGAACACACGTACTATTTTCCAAAGAAGTCAACTGTTAAGTGGAACCCTATCTTCCCTAGAAAATTTCAAACCCTTATCATCATATACATGTGTGTATTATGTTGTATACATGTATCTTCTCAAAGAAATTATTTGGGGGAAGGTTTGTAACTATGTTACGTCCTGATTAAGTTTTATGTGTTGATTATTTTCTCCCTTTCGCACAAGTTTAGGTGTTGATGCCGGTACCAAAACCCACAGGTTACACAGGGGCTGATCCTTACAAAGTGTGAGTTTCAGCGTTTTTATATCTCATGGTTTGAGTTTTTCAATTTCACATTCCTGCTGGACTTATTGTTTCATGATTCAGCATATTGCAATCGGTATGATTCAGCATATTGCAATCTATGTAGATTTAAATGGCTGTTACATGAACCACAAATAAGTTAGTTTTATGATTTCAGTATTGAAAGAAATAAACAAGGAAATATTATCAGTCTAGTCAAAGAACGTGTTCATTTCATGCAGATCTTTTCAGATTGGGAAGGAAAAATTTCATGTTCCATGGCTTCTTCTGGTGAATAGGAAATCTTCTGAGGTTCCAATGATAGAAATGCGTTTGGTAAGCGGTTTTACATTCTGGAATACGCTGTAATCTTATAGGTTTTTGATGTTCCTCCAGTTTTGTATGTCTTTGGTAATTTGATGTAATTATTGCTTATCTTGCCAATCAAACTCTGCACTTACTGCTGAAGAACCTTTGATGATTCGTAGAGGTACTCAGGAAACGACTTTCTTGGTGTGACTGCTCAAGTGGTTGATATGCCTCATCACTGTGAGTTACGCTTATTTTATTCCTCAAATCTTTGAAAACGATTACTTTTCAAAGTAACAGATATTACAAAGAATGACTAAGTTCTTATGGTGTGTCTTCTATTTTCTCTTCATTGTCCTCAACTGAAGCCCTAACTTGTATCCTCTTGACTTTCATTCTTCTACTTAAATATTATCATTGTTCACAGTTACCATTAGTTATACTTCTCTGTAGACATTATGTTCTTCTGAGGATTTTGTTGTAAAGATAAAAATTACAGTGGCTACTCTGCCATGAGCTGTTTGCTCACTGAAAATTTCATCGATAAAAGATTAACATATTTGGTGGTGTCCGCTTCTTTTTGTGAACTTGATTCAAACCTTTTGATCTTAAAGACTCAGAGTTTATGTGCTTATTTATTTTTTAACTGTGGTTGTTTCTGGTTGACTAATGCAAGCTAAATTTTGTTCAGACGTGGAATTGCATCCAGATATTCGCAAGAACTTCTGGGATAAAGATTATTGGCCCAAGCATGTCCTTGTGCGGTATACATGGTTGGTACTTATTTTAACTATTCTCTTCTCTTATCACTAATGAATCATGCGTGGCAACTGTTGTTCTTGTCTGTAAGTGACTAATCATCTCATGGGAAGTTTGTGGTTCGGTATTAACAGTGAGTTTTCTTCTACTATGTGCCCAGCAATTCTTCTCAGTATTAGTGAAAACATCTTTTGACAATGGCTCTAAATATTAACTGTATATAACAAATCTTTTGGGCCCTTCTGTTACCTTCTTTGTGATACAATCTTTTGCTTATAGTGTGTTGCTCAGTTCTGATTGATAGTTTCCGTTTTAATGCAGGGAAGAGCAATCGGAAATAGATGTAGCTTCTGGGTTTTATGTTCTCTTTGGATCAGGTAATGGCATTTTTTGTTAAATTGAGTTGTGTAGTTGATCCATAATAGTTGCCTTGCCAACAAGGAATATGCTCGATGGATTGTAGTACACTGCTCGTTTTTATTATATTGAGCTTATAGATTCTTTAAGTGCTTATAGCAAACTCCTTAGTTTACCTTAATTTGGAGGATACTAGTTTTGCTATGATATTACTAAACAGTTAGCTGAGGAATACTGGTTTTGTGTATTAGCCTTGATTGTAGACTGCCGTGCACCATATGTCCCTTCAATTTCCTCTTCTATCTTTAATTTAAATTTGTTTGAAATTACTGCTCATGAAAGTTTCTTGTTAAGGAGTCACAGACATTGCATGTATGTTACCTTTTGTTTTCCAATTAAAATGTAGATAATTAATTTTCTGCTTAAATTATAATGATATCTGTAGTGTTTTAACTCTTCTGTGCTCATGCATCTCTGTAAGCAGGACTTCTGCTGTCATTTGTCCTCTCAATATACATCCTGCAGTCATCCCGTGATAAATTAGCTAGGTATTGCAGACATCGTTTTCTTTTTTATTTTTTAATCTTTTGAGAGGGACAAACAAAATGTTTTTGGGCGATATGTGTTATGTGAGGGACCAGAAGTTTGTTGATATATTCTTCAACTCATTGAAACTTTCATGTTTGCTGCTTTCCTCAGATTCATGAAGGAGACTGTTGTAGACAGCAGCATGCCTGTCGGAGGGGTTGCAAAAGTTGAATGATTGGTTTCTTCTGTAAATTGAACTGCAGGCAGACAAGAGCCTGGCTTGAATTGTCTCTTTTCGACAGCAGTTTTTCTTTTGATTTTCTGATATCATTACTAAACCCCAAACAAGGGTTATTGGGCATGTTGTAGAATATCCTTTTGACCAACAAGATGCAGGAATAGAATGAACTTGGTTAGAGAATGAGCCACCATCGACTTCAGAAAATCATGTAATTAGGATCTGGCAGATGTAAACTCGTTATGAAATAGCTTATTTGATTGTGTTAACAATTTGCGATCATTTTAAAACTCAGTTATGTTTCTGCACCTTTAAAACCCTTTCTTATGGGCGGGATTGTATTTGTACTCAAAATTTGAATGGTACTTGCATCCCCTTTACCTCAGCAACGATAGTGGGTTTTTCCTTTTTCCCTTTTTAAGATCATTGGTTTTAGGGGAACAACTTGTACCAACTCTTCTTCTAATATTGTTGTTTGAGTTACTATTTGCTGTTGTATGATGTTCTCCATAGTGATTGAAGAAGATGGTGAAAGTAATATCCTTGATGAATTTCCAACAAATTTGCACTTTTTAAGGTAATGTTTTCATTCTTTCATAATGCATGTCTCAATGTTGTCATGGCAACCTTTTTACTCGGCTGAGTCTGCTCTGGAACTCAGTTCTTGCTTTATGCTTTTGAAGAAGCATTGCAGTAGTACTACTTGACGAGCTCATAGAATCTCACCTGTTCTGGCTGGACCACGATGAACAGTGATACTTTGATTTTATTGATTTTGCAGAGAAAAATTCAAAATCCATGAACCTGACCAACAACAAAGTGGAAGTTCAAGAAGAACAGAATATTGTTGACCAAGAGGAAGAAGTTATTTTACTGGTGAGTGGGGTTCATACATATAATAATCTGTTGGTCCCCATTCCCCACTGCGATTATATATATAATACATATGATAGATAAGAGAAAAGTAATACCTTAACTAATGGATGGAAGTGGGAAAAGGTATGACAGTACATAGGTTAGTATATAAAATTTGCTAAATGTTGGAAGGGAGGGATTCTTGTAGTGTTGAAGGGTACAGGTAGCACTATGGGGAGACAAGAAATTAGCTATAGAATAACACCCCAAGGGGCATTAACCCATTGTTCATCCCAATAGGTAAGCCATAAGACTAGTTCAAAAAGGTTGCTAGTATTTTAAGAAAAAATTTTGTACCTGAAGGCCACTAGTACAGAGTAGCAGGATCAATTAAAGCTGACTGGGAGTATGAAATTATCATTATTAGTACATGAAGAAGAGTTGGAGTAATGGTTCTAGTAGCATTGTAGGAGGGGGAGCAGGAGGTAGAAGAAAAGGCACTTTCTGCTTCCTTCCGATAGAAAAAAGCTTGCCTTGTATGCAACGTTGTCAAACTTCAACTGACTGGCCAACGGGTTGAGCATACGTATCAGGGATTTTGGCGTTCTTCTCTAATTAAACATGGATGCGTCAAGTCGTATTATTCTTATTTTAAAATTAAATACTATTCTTAATTGCAGAACCTGAGCCTGTTTAAATTCTCTGCTCTTGGCAAAAATATTAACTGGTATTAACTGGTTCTTGCCAGTTGTGACTGGTTCTCTGTATTTTGATTTTTTCTTATCCCTTTCTGGTCAGCTTGGATTGGGCAAGGAACCGGTTCCTGATCAAATTGGTTGAACTGGCTGGTCCAGTCCGAGTTGAAAAACACTGCTTTTGTGATGATTATTGTTTTGAAACTTCACATGACCTTTCTGACTTTTGAGACTAGAGAAGAATAGAGATTAAAAGAGTTATCACTAGTGCATTATTCCACTTGGCTGGAGAATTTGGACCATTACATTCAAATTTTGGTTGCATGCATGATAGGGATAATGTGCCTTGAGCCTGGTTGGATGGTATATGCTGATTTTTAAGTCATAGTTTGTCTTTAATTCTTTTTTATTTTATTATGTGATTTTAAGTGGGATGATGGCGATAATGATGTAATTTGTTATCCTTGCGTTAGAACATGCATCTAAAGACTTAACTTTTTCCATGTTAGCAAACATAAATTTCGAATGCTGTGCTGCACTCCATCTTCATCCCCATCTGCTCAAGTACCGTTAACTGTATTACTTAAACTAGTTCTAGTACTAGCGTACTACTTCTTGGTTGGTTAGTGCAGGCTTTTAGTTCATAGTGGGATTCAATTCATCTCCTGAATGAGTTGATTAGGATGATGATATTAGAATAAAAAGTAACTAGTACAAGACAGGATAGGCCAAGTGAGTTGATGATCCGCATTATTGTTCTAGCCTGCCTAGCTCCTCGTGTCTTTTCACAAGATAGGGATTCCAGGTACTGTTATAATTGATACCAGTGTTGTTTCACTTAGTATTAAAATTCGTTTTAATGTTTTCTTAATGTTATCTCTGCCGTTATTCTTCAAATATTTTAAATGGTTTTGACTTTGTATTACTTTTTAATGTACTGTAGCTTTAAAATATTAGTAAAAGTAAAGTTGTGTTAAAGCTTTGAGATTTGTTAAATGTGGTGTTTGTGGGCCTTTGAACTTTAGAATTTGGTCGAAAGTGCAAATGGATCTGCCTTGTCTAGGTTGTCCAATGTACTAACTCCTCCTTAAAAAAATGAATCCTACAAAGTAGTACCACCTCCGCTAAAAGGTCCAAAACTTCTTGGTTTGGGGTTGTGTGGACTCTGGAGCATCTTACTTGTATAGTCTAGTTTGATATTGTCTCATTTTTCCTTGGTTAATTTTTCTTTTTTTTTTTTCTTTTTTTTTTCCCTTTTGTTGGAAACCAGAGTTAGAGGTAGAGTTTCTTGCATCTGTTTTGGAACTTTCTGACTTTTAGCAAAGAATCTGTGAGTTCCTAGCACGTACTCATATTATACCTATGAAATTAATAGCTTAATGAAACCGTTAACCATGTGATAGGAATGAGAACCTGCTTCAAGTTTTAAGTTTGAAAATAATCCGGACTCGAATTGATCTCAGCATACATATTTTCAATTATTTACGGTGTATGACATTCTGCTTACGCACGCAAAAATGAATTGAAATGAACTCTTCCAGGAGTTGTTTTCGAAGCATATCCATTTTGGGGGTTTTGAGGCTGAAAGACATTATGGACTAGTTTTAGTGTGTATTTTGCACAATAAAGTCAGTTTGGGGACAACCAGACAAGTTATTGAGAAGGGGAGAGTATTTATGAGAATGTTTTTAATACGTTAGGCAAAAAAGGTTAAAGAGATTAGTAGTAAAAAAATTAAGTCTAAAAAACAAAAAGGACTAATAGAATATTTATAATTTATAAAAGCCGTCTTGTACATTCATTCCTTATAATCTAAAAGCCTCCTAGGGTGACCCCAAGACAAGTCCCCTATCAAAGACCATATTTAAGGGTAATGTGGATGGATTTCTAAGATCGGCAACCATCCAGTATTTGTGGGATCTTATGTTAGATTCTAAATCGATTAATTGTTTACGTTAGTATTATCATACGTTTTTTCTTTCTTTTTTTTTCCCCTTCCGTTTTTTGTGGCCCGAAGTAGTTTGTCGACGTATTGCATCGGTGAGTTTAGGGGAGAAACATCATGACGATGATGAGTATGTAGAAGTAGAAGACTTCATAGTTCATACCAGCTTCTTGTTTGGGTGTTGTGACGTAGTGTATCTTGCAAATCTAAGTTATGACAGGAACCAAGCTCTTGAACATATTAGGTACGTTTAATTTTCAGCTGGTATGCTGTAAGATGAGTGCAACTTTATTTGGTCCAAACCCTTTTGTGTTAAAACACAATAATGGTGCATACCAACCAAAAGCCAGACAGGAGCTTAGAAACTTTTGAAAACACAGTGCCATGACATTAATGTACATTATACAATTCTCTCTCGTACATGAATAATTGTACTTTGAACACACATAAATAATTAATATGGACTTATTATTTTAACTATGTGAAACCTAGCAAGCTAGTGGCATCTCCGTGCCAGCATAATTGCACCTTAAAGGCTGCTTTTTTGTGTTAATAATAAACAAACATCTCAAATCAGAATGTACGGACTCCCTCTTCAAGTTCAAGTATTTATTTCTTTTTGAAAATTCTTGAACAAAAGAATTAATTCGATCGATCTGGGGTGCATCAAATATTAAATTTGAAAAAGCAACGATGCCACGCACGCTTGCTCTGTATGACCGTTCTAAAAATAAAAAAATAAAAAATTACATGACATGGATAATTAAAACCATTTGATTACATATACGTATATAATATTTTTGGGAAAGAATATTTGATTGGCAGCCACCAAATGTTTTCCAGAGCCTGTAGTATATATCACTGTTGACTGCTTACCAACACTCGAGAGACCAAAGAAAAGGTTCAAACACTCTCTCTGCTTCTACTTTAGCTTCACTACATGATTATACAGCTTTATGCGTACACCTAGAAATCATGTAGAGATGATCAATCGAATCAGGAGGCATCCATCCTAAATCGATCGAGGTTAGCCGGATCTACTTATCATTCATTCATTCTCATTTTCATTGTTGATCTTCTCTCTGTTCTTGGGCACACCCAACTTTTTTCTTTTATTGTTTGTTTTTATATCAAATAGTAATTAATGGAGAAGCATCGATTGGTAGTAGTAGCTAGTAACTATAATTAGGAAAACATTAATTCAGTTCACTCTCCTGCTTCACATACATATAGAGATACATTCTAAACTGATGCGGCGTAGTCAATGTGTGTTGGTATGGATAAAGATGGAGGGTGCCTCCAACTTAGTGACCATTCTATAACATTGACATCAACTATTAACACTGATAGTCATCCTGCATCCACCATCGTGGCTGGTGCATGTGTTAAAGAGGAAGAAGAAAGTAGAAACAATGATGATGATAACGACCTTAGCAATTCTCCAACTTCATCAAGAAGAAGAGATTTGGCAGAAGATGGTAATAAACAACCTCGCCCACGGATACCACTCAATGAGGTATGTATATCATTTGATATCGTCCGCGTGCCAACAGTTTGTTATTGACTGTAATTCGCCAATGTGAATGTGTTGTTGGTCTTGGTACATATAGCAACGTGAAGACTAGTGACAGTGTCTTCATATATCTCATTAATTAGGTTGTGAAATGAACAACTAAATAGTAAAAACGAGAGTAAGGAAAAGGTGGCATCCGTTAAGAAGAGGAGCGAGGGGGGGGATTGCCAATTGGGAGTAAGGTTTTTTAACTTTTTTTTTTGCTTGCTTTTTCTTTTTTGAACTTAATGAACTCAAATGATTGGCTACTGGAGTAATTAATAATAATTGGTATACACCTTTGGCTTTTGTTATATACAGTGTGATGAATGCGGAGCGTAAAAAAGAATGAAGGAACTATATGTAATAATAATAAACATGAATTGTAGAGGAGACGGACAGTGTGTATTGATGATCTGTGTTGATTACATATTTTAACTCGAGAAAGGACATGAAATTGTGATCCTTTTTCCTCTGGGGCATATATATTCCTCGTCCACCACCAGCCACGGCGGATCCTAAAAATCCACGTGTAAATCACATGCCCCCAAATCTTCCCTCTATTTTTTTTAAACTACAATATATTCCATGCTCTTACACCATGCCGATGGACTTGTGTACTGTTGGGCGGTAACACGTGAATCTGAGCATCAAAATTCCTTCCATTTTGTACTTTGGCACCTTTTTTTTTTTTTTTGGGGGTCTTCTTCACCCCTCCGCATGCACGCCTTTGGTTTTCTTTTTGTGGGTTAAGGTGGGATGAACATACGTGCCATTTTCAATTCCTTATAAAGATAGTAGTTGCTACACATGCATGGACTGCGTTAGTTGGTGGCTCTTTTTTAGTTTTATTGTTCGAGTTGCAAGACTCCTTAGATTTGGTAAATCCATTTTTTTTTTTTTTTTGGTGTAATAATTATATGGTCTATCAATAATAAATAGTATATCCAATTGATATTTCTTTTAACTTTTGCTTTCATCAAGAATACACATAGACCATTTGCTCGTTTCCTGGCTAATTGTGTCAATTCCAAAAATGGAAATGCATCCCTCAATGAAGTTTGAATGGATGAATGAATATAATAATACGGTTGTATTTTCTCCACAGAAACGAACGAATGAATGAAATTAAATGTGTAAATTGCTGCAGGTTGGGGAAGAGCTGATCTCCGTCTTCAGGGTTGCACTACCAGTGGCCCTAACCACACTGATGATCCACTCCAAAAGCATCATATCGATGCTGTTTTTGGGCCGAATGGGCAAAATTGAACTGGCCGGCGGGTCCTTAGCGATTGGGTTTGCAAACGTAACTGGCTTCTCAGTAATTAAAGGGCTGTGCATGGGAATGGAGCCCATTTGTTCCCAAGCCTTCGGAGCCAAAAGACTGTCAGTGCTCACCCATACGTACATCAAAATGTTCCTGCTCCTCTTCCTCATTTCCATACCCGTAACCTTCCTGTGGCTGAACGTCGAGCCCGTTCTCCTGAAATTGGGCCAAGACCCAATCATACTGAAAGTAGCCCGGGCCTACTTAATCTATTCCATCCCGGATCTGATAGCCCATGCCCATGTCACCCCGCTCCGCTCCTTCCTGCGGACTCAGGGACTCAACTCACCCGCCACCCTGGTGGCGATGTGCTCCACCGCCATGCACCTCCCTCTGACGTATCTTCTCGTCACCCATTTCAAGTTAAACGTGAAGGGACTGGCGCTGGCTTCCTCCTTGTACACAATCAACATGAATGTGGGGCTGTTGGTGTACCTGTTTTTTTCCAAAACCGCAATTAAGCCCTGGATGAATAATGCTGCTTCCGGGCCGTCGTCGTCCTTCCTGTCCGCCCTCCATGGTTGGGGCCCGCTTCTGTCCTTAGCATTCCCGAGCTTGTTCTCAGTGTGCCTGGAATGGTGGTGGTACGAAATCATCCTTTTCATGAGCGGGCTTTTGGCGAACCCGGAAGCTTGCGTGGCGGCTATGGGAATCCTGATCCAAACCACCGGGATTATCTACGTGTTTCCTTACTCCCTATCCCTGAGTATCTCCCAACGGGTGGGCCACGAGTTGGGTTCGGGGCAGCATTCCAGGGCCAGATTTGCGGCCCTGGTCGGGGTCTGCATCGGTTTTGTGTACGGGACGCTGGCATTTGGGCTCACCTTGTGCGTGCGATCCCTGTGGGGAAAGTTCTACACGAGCGACCCCCAGGTGCTGCACATGATTTCCGGGGTGCTTCCCATCCTGGGCCTAGCCGAGGTTGGGAATTCGTCCCAGACCGCGGCGTGTGGGGCGCTGACGGGCTCGGCTCGGCCCAAGGTGGGGGTTCGCATAAACCTGGCGGCATTTTATTTGGTGGGGATACCTTGCTCCGCCTTGTTGGCCTTTAAGCTCCATGTTGGTTTCCAGGGCTTGTGGCTTGGCCTCATTGCATCTCAGGCGGCTTGTTTGGGGATGATGATTTATACTTTGTATCAAACGGATTGGAAATATCAGGCCAAGAGGGCGGATGACTTGACCTCGGTCGCCACCGGTGATAAGGACGACGACGGCGGTGGTGACGGCGGAACAAATCTCATTCCCTGACACCACCACGCCATCCATTGACTCATTCCGCCTCATACTTTATGCTGCTGTCTATTTCGTTTATTATACTAGTTTTAATTACTTTGAGAATTTATCCATCTATCAACAAAAAGCCAAATGAAGACAAACATTCATTTTTTAGGTTGAGTGAATTATTGTTATATAGACTGTACTGTTGTAGTCTGTAAATGATTAATGACTATAATTCTTTTTTCCTTTTGGAATTGAAACTAAGGAGGCATTTGTTTTGTCAGCTGGAAACGGATTCAGGAAACAGATTTAAATAATGAGGGAATGGATTCGAATAATTAAGGATTCACAAATCCCATAGTGACGTTTGGTTGAGCATATGGATTAAAAAAGAAAAAATATTTTTACCATTATTATCAAAAAATAAAAAATTAAACACCCCCTTTCCCGCCCGCTGTCTAGTGTCTACTCTTCCTCTTCACCTGAAGAGTGCCTCCCCACCACCACTTATAATGACATCCATCTTCGCCACCACTGCAAAAATCTCCTTTATTTTAAATTCAATCAGATCCATGGATCAAACACTAAAACATTAGTTCCTTCCAGTTATTATTAACGGATGCAAATAAATAGATTGAAAAAGGAGATTTCAGTCTGAAGAGTAAAATCACATAATTACAAAAAGAAAAAAAAAAAAAAAAAAAGCTTTCTACCGCCGACACTGATCAAATCACCCAACTCCATGTCAAAATTTCATATATGTGGTCTTTCATGTTAATCTATCATGAAATTATGGAGCCAAAAAAAAAAAAAAGAAAAGAAAATGAAAGGAAAGAGAAGAAATTGCAAAAGGCGATAATTTCACCCCTCCCCTTGCTCTTCACTCAGACGATAGGCAAACGAAATCATTAGTCTGATTTGGATAGCCAAATGTGTAAGGAGAGAAGTAAGGCAGCTTTCAATAAATTTGCTAATTTGTGAGTGTAGGAGAAAAAATTCAAAAAACAGAAATAAAGTACTTCTCCAAAGTTAGATCTGAGTTGCTAATTAATGTTCCCGGCAGCAATCCAGTTAGGAATAATTGTTGATGAGTATATAGTGAGTTGGAAGTAGATCAGGATGTAGGGATTAAAAAGAAGAGGCTGGTAGTTCCTTTGGCTATCACGGCGACGGTGATGGTGGCGAGGTCGGCGGCAGTGGATATTGTATAGGCGACAAGATTTGGACGGGGAGGACGAGGTGGAGAAAGGAGAAGAAAAAGAAAATTTTGTATGGGATTACGGGAAGGGAGGTGTGAGGTGAGAGGTGGGATGCGGGAGGACGAGGAGGAGGGAGGAGAGAGCAGAGAGATAAATTTAAAAAAAAAAAAATCAGAAAAGGATTCAGAATCGAATGAAGGGGGAGAGGTGGGATTGGATCTTTGGGATTCAGCCATTCCTGGGAATCACGAATCCAATCAACCAAACAGTTCATTCAATTCCGAATCCGAATCTTGAATTCGATTCTCACTAAACAAACGGCTTCTAAAAAATTATGGGCAGCTAATGGCTGAAAAAATAAAAGAAATAGAACAAAAAAAGAACAGAATATTCAGAAAGAAGAATTCCGAAATACTATCTCCGGTCCTTATTATAAGGCATTTTGATTTTGTCTTAAGTTTCACTTAAAATATATTTTTAATTGATAAAAAAAATTTTAAAATATATTTTTACATTCGTTGTGTTCTGATAATTATTAATAAAAGTTTTCAAGATTTTTATTTCAATTAAAAAAATATCTTAAGTAAAATTTAAGACAATTATAATAAGGACCGGAGAGAGTACAACTTTCATAATTCAGCCTCAAGCGTAGTGTCATGTACACAGGTGGGAAATAATTTCATAAACTCCGTACGGTGCCGAAGACCTTACACCATAAATTATGTTTCTTCTTCAAATGTCATCATCGTATACTAATGTTAAACCCCCAAATGTACTCTCTAATTGTCATCATCATATTCGAGTTACATACGCATATTTTCCTTCTTTTATAGTGGAGAGTCATAACTAACAAGTACTCCCTAACCACCAGTGTAGAATATTTCATTTTCTTATCATTATCGTGTATTAGCCACACTAACAGTTGAGCCTTCAATTTTCAGGATACGAATGTAAAAGTATTATTCATATGGTCGGGGAAACTACTAAATGCGTAGCATAAAGGTATTATTTGTATTGTTTTAAAATTATCGTTCAATTTGGACTTTCACTTACAATTTATACTATAAACATATAAATTTGACAATAATTTCATATATGTGGAAGCACTATTTAGAACATTGTCAGTGATGGTAAATAGAAAATAAATTACCCTATTATTACACTATTTAACGTTATGCAAAGTGTAATCATTAGTAATGGCATAAAATTTCTTTTATCCTGGACTATTTAGCTTTGTAGACCAACATGTAGTTTATGTAGGTTGACCAACTTAACAATTTAAAAAATATTGATTCAATTTCATAATAAATGTATGGTATAAACCAAGAAAATTTTTTAATATAAATTTAATATTTTAAAATGCTGACATGATTATATACTAGTGTTTATCCCGAACGTTGTACGGGTTGTTCAAGATATATATTAAGTTAATGATTTAACGATTATATGACATTTCCGACAAAATTATATATGTAAAAAAATAAAATTAATGATTAAAATTGTAATTGTGGAATTTTTAGTATTAAAATGTATTTTATTGTTTTAAGTACATTTGGAATAATTTTCAATATTCGAAATCATCCAATGTAAATTATTGTCCATCTTTTATGTTTTGTTGATTTTTTTTTTTAATCAAAAACCCTATTGGGCTAGTTTTTATTAATGTCAAAAACTTGACAAATGCAGTGCTTAAAACTCTTGTTTAAAATAGAAACCGTTTGTACAAAGACAAGACGGTCGTTTTACAATAAATTAGTTAATTACTGGTTTTTCTGAGTGCTGACGGTCTTTTTCTCGTGTCGCCATCCGAAACAAAGATTCCAGTGACCGAAACAGAGATTTACACTCCTTCTACCCTCTCAACGTGATTCGCTCATTTTGTATCACAAATCTTGGACTGCTCTTTGTGAGCAATTTTTATGAGTTCCAAAACCGGTGAGTGATTTATAGGCTATGAGAGATGAAGAACCTCTGAAATTGTCTCTGAATGATGAGTCGATGGTAAAGCTAAGAATCAAACCAATCTGTTTTATTGATTTATGACTTTATATCTTTTAAAAATATCCTTTTAATTTTTCATAATGATCTCTTTAAATATTTCTACCCGTATCATATTTTCTAAATTCTTCCTCTAACAAGAACTTTTCGCATTATTTCATAAACTTACTGTAATTTTTCATCATTCTATACACTTTTTGTAACGTTTCTTTAGAATTTTATTCACATATTTTTCCTATAATATAATGTTTATTTCATTTTTTTACTCATAATCTCCTATATCTCAATCTTACAACACTTCTTAATCTATCATATAATATTTTTTACAGTTCTCTACTTACTTATTACTTTCCTTTTATAACTTTTTACCATCCGCATTAGATGAATCCATCGGGCCATATCTTAAAATCTCAGTGAATGATGTATAATGTGGTGTAGGAGATCTTTTGTCCGTACTTTTTCTTGGTTACATAGTTTTTGCTATTTTCTTTCCTTTTTTTATACAAAATTTGATGATATCTCTTTAAAGTTTTGTTTCTTGAAAAATTTGTATTAATTATTTCGTTTTTTACTAATATCTCGTTTTTTTTCTAAAAGAAATATTTGTAATAATTATTTCATTTTTCACTAATATCTTGGTTTCTTTTTCCAAAAAAAAGAAAAATCTTACTCTTCTAAATAAAAATATTATTTATAAATTTGTGTGATTAAATACAAAAAAATTAAACTAGATAAAATTGATTTTTTATATAGATTTTACGGATTTGCTAAGTGGTTGGTTACTCCTCTAAATAAAAATATTGTTTATAAATTTGTGTGGTTAATGACAAAAAAAATTAAACCAGGTAAAATTGACTCTCTTTATAGTTTACGGATTTACTAATTTTCATGGTTATTGAAAAAAAAATTAAACCGGGTAAAATTGATTATTTTATATATATATATATATTACGAATTTATAAATAAAAATTACCAAATAATCAATAAGGTGTGCAATATGAATTTTTTATTAGGAGGTATTAACATTTATAGACTAAATTTTTCTTAGGGTATAAATTGTCGGTTGGGTATGCCAAATTTTTATTAGGGTTATTTTATTTTATTATATATTTCATAACCGGTTGTTAATCACTTAGGGTTTAGTTGTCGATAATTTAACGTTTTTTCCTTCTTTTTTTTTAGTTAATCTACTTTTTATCTATAAATTTATAATTTTACATTAAAAAAAATTACCATTAAATAATGGAGCGATGTGGTTGTGACATGTGGATTTGGTTATCTAATTTTTCACCACGTGGATTAACCTATCTAAATTTGTGCCATGTGTCCGATTGGAAACTCTCTTTCAATATATATAAAGATTGGAGTAATAGTAGAGATAATTAAAAAATATTGTGAAAATGGATAGTTACTGACTTACTGATCTGTACATAATAATAAGGATAAAAGTGTAATCTTAGGGGAAAGATAAAATTTCAACTATAAAGTGACAACAAATAGGATGTACACACTAGTCTTTTTTTTCACAACACATTTTCACTACACATATTCAATTTATTATATGGACAATAATATAAACTATTGTGGATATTTTTGGACAATAATATAAACTATTGTGGATATTTTTTAGTGATGGATTTATTGGCTTATTTAGTAAAAGAAAACACATCCAATTGATCATCATAAATGACATAACATTCAACCGCAGGAAATGCCGGCATGATGTAATTGTGGTTATAACCGATATCTGCTTTTATTCCCACCAAAGAAAGAAAGGGGAGAAAAAAAAAAAAGGAAAGAAAGAAAGAAAACAACTCATTTATAACTTTCTTAACTAATTTGACATTGTCAAACCAACATAATAGAATGTATTAGTATTAGTTCAAATACATATTTTCATCCTCTGCATTATCATTTTTTTTTTTTGAAAGGTGTTATTATTGTCAAAACAACAATTAGCATCCAAAACAAATTTTTAGTATTATTCCATAATTGTCCCCATCCAATTAAATGTAACTTCTTCCCACCACAATTTTCTCCTTCTACACTCTTTAAACTTAGCAGCAGATATATGATTATAGCTTCATTGATTAGGTCCGGATTTTCGCTCCTTTTTGGTCATCCCGATCATTTTAGTTTTGCGTTCTTTTTCGGGTGTGTAGTAAACTGTATACTGGTGATACAATCTTGCGTGCTTTCTCAGTTGGTGAATTTTGTGCTGATTTTTCTTGATCATGAAGTTATTGTGTTTGATTTAATCTTAATTCAGGCATATAGACAATGTCTTATATGAGTTTGAGTTTGTGTGTTGTCCATTCCCACAAGTAGATTGCAGACATGGGTTTTCTTTTCCTATCAAAAGATTCCATTATTTTTGGTAGACATTCCAAGTGCAATTATAACTCTTATCTAATAACTCTTCTCTTAATCCATTACGAGTACATTAGTAGAAGGGCTGGTCAAATCAACTTCTGATTTCATTCCCGTCGATACGAATTGCACTTGGTGTCATTATTTCTAAAACTTGCTCGATTATAGGATGAAGCTCCTTTAGTTTTTCGAGTAGCAAGCTTAATTGATTGAAGACGTTTATGATTAATGGGACAAGAGACCGATAAATTGGAAGAGAGAGAGAGAGAGAGAGGAGGTTAATGGTAGAAGTTATGTTTGATTAAGATGTGGGCAATTTTGGAAGAAAAATAATAATTTGTTTTGGATGTTAATCATTGTTTTGGCAATAACAACACTTTTTTTGAAATTGTCCTTTACATTTTATAATGTAACTTTAGCTATATTTTGCACATTTCATTCACTTTGACCAGTTTTTTTAGTATCGAGTGAACAAGCATATTTTTGGGATAATTTGTTCTTTAAAAAATTTATATTGAATAAGATATTAATATAAATAGTAAAATAATTTTATTAATAAAAATTTACACAAAGATTATGATTTTTTATTATTACTTTTTTAGTTATAAAAAATTAATTTTTTTATTTTCATTAATTTAATATTTATTTCAATCATTAATCAATATAAATATAATTAATTTTAATATTTATATTTTTTCAAGGAACCAAAAAAATTTATTCCAAAAAAACTCGTAATTGACTTGATGATAAATGTGGTCAAAGTGTTTTAAATGTGTCAAACGATCAAAAAAGAAGTTATATTATGAAATATAGGGGACAATTTCAGCCAAATATTAATATAAAAAATAAAAATATGTATTTGAGCTAATGTATGAAACCATTTTCAGATTTTAGTAAAAAAACAGAAAAAAAAAAAAGCTTACATGGAATTTTTGTGGGTCAAAAGAATGATATTAAAAAGACACGTTTTCAAAGTGTTCGCTAAACGGTCAGCATCAAAGGGTAGGTTCTAAGTAGATGCTGCCGACATGGCTTCCACTTCCAATTTGTGGGATTTTTTTTTTTCAAAAACGAAAAAGAAAGAAGAAGAATAAAAAAAAAAAGAAAGTTTGATAGAAACATGAGTTTTTGCATATCAATCGCCTTTGAGCTCACATTTGTTTGTATATTGTCAATTACTCCCTCCGTCCTATAATTATTGTCCAGTTTTACTAAAATGAAAGATTTTATTTTTAGTCATACTTAACTATATTTTATCTTAAACAACCGGATATACCCGTACATAAGTAATTGTTTAACAACTAAGATTTTATGGATAATGTTTTTTACTAAGGACAAATTTGTAACTTGATCCATAAAAAGTCAAATTGGACAATAATTTTAGGACAAAATTTTTTGGGCAAAGTGAACAATAATTATGGGACCGAGGGAGTACTACATTATTTATTGTTGAACATATGCATAGATAGAGCAAAGATAAAAAAAAATTAGAGAAAATAACTTTTGCCAACTGTTGTACTATCATTACAAACAAGTATAGTTTCATTTATTTCTGAAATTAAGCGATAAAATTCAAAAGATAAGTGTCATTATCTATTACTAATGTAAATTTTTTTTTAAAAAAAACTACCATTTGGTTTAAAGATAAGTTACAATAAAATTAGTAATTTGATTAAATACTATAATTAAGTGTCTCTTAAATTGTAAGAGTATAAAAATTATCTAATAATATTTATTTTGGAATGAAAAAAATACATATGTCGTCAAATATTTAACACATACTACATGAAATGCAAACGATTTTTTTATATATAATAAAATAGTTATGTATTTATCAATTGCCTTCGTTTTCTTCTTCTTCCTCTCTCTTTTTGAGCATCCTTAACACAAACGACCAAATTACAGATAGAATAAGGAAAGGGTTAAAAAAACAAAATTAATGCCATACATGAAATTGGTAAATGAAGGAAAAAGAACGTGATTAATTGTTTTTTTTTTGGGGGGGGGTCATCATCCACGCGTCAAAAAGTCATTCGCCGTTCCTCCTACGTCACAGAGCCACCTCATCGGCTTTTCAGCTTCTTTTTTTGCTCCTCTTTTTTTTTTTTTTTTTCTCTTGGTGGGGTCCATTCCATTCCTTCTCCTTTCTCTCTGATGACTGACTGACTGACTGAACGTTCTTCCTTTTCTCCACTTTTCTTTTTTCCTACTTTACTTTGCTCACCGCCGGTGGGTTCCTGAACATATTTTTCTCCCGGAATTCTACGAATCCTTTACCTTGTTTGATTTAGGGTTCTGGTTATTCTCCCTATTAACACTATCCCCGTTTAGCTTTAAGTGAGGAATTCAGCTCCAAAGAAAAGAAAGAAAGAACACGAAGAAATTGTCCAATATCAAACTCTGTAAGTTGTTGCTTTCTTTGTCTCCCTTCTTTATTTGGCCACTGACCACTTAATAATTAGCTCTATTTTCTTTTTACTTAAAAAGTTCGTCCCGGTCATTTTTGGCAGAGGTATTGCATAGAAATGCTGTAGGTGGGCCCCCCTGATTCATTGGGGCGGGGTTCGACGGTGATTTTGATCATGTATGGTCAAGGATTTTCTGGAAGAAGGGATGTTGCTGTCTCGGATGGTGGTGGCGGTGGTGGTGGTGGTGGTGGCTGGAAAAGATAGCTCTTATTTACAAAACCGATTGTAGTTGGAAAAGAAAAAAAAAAAAAAAAAAGGTCTACGGTGGTTGGATAGGGTTTTAGAAGGATGATGAGAGGTGCTCAGTGATAATTTGAACTTCCTTGTTTTTTGGGGCTTTTTTCATTTTGTGTGTTCTCCGTGCAAACTATGAGTTTTGCGGACATAAACAACAATGAAGGAGGAGAAAGGGAATGTAAGAGGCCACCATTACCACCAGCTACGGTGGTTGCTCGGAATTCGGTTGAGGGGGCGGCGTCTAGGAATGGTTACAGAATGGCAGCTTCTTCCCCACAGTTATGCATTGATGGTAAGGTTCTTGTTGATCCGAAACAACTGTTTATTGGTTCCAAGATTGGTGAGGGAGCTCATGGAAAAGTTTACCAAGGAAGGTATAAGGCAGCTTATTTAAGTTACAAAAGATTTGTCTTTACGAATTCGGTCACTAGATTGGTAATTTTGTGTTTACTAACAACATTTCCGAGTTGTTTCAGTTTATTTCGTTGTCTCCTTTTTGCAGGTATGGAGACCAAATTGTTGCAATAAAAGTTCTCAATCATGGCAATAACTCTGAAGAAAGGACATCTCTTGAAAGCCGATTTGTCCGAGAAGTGACAATGATGTCCAGAGTTAAGCACGAAAATCTTGTGAAGGTGCAGTGGTGTCTTTGATTTTTACTGCAATTATATGTAGATTGTTAATGAGTACGACACTAGTTGAGTCAACATCATTATCAGCATACCCTTTATTCCTAACCAAGTTGGGGTCTAGGGGGTCAGTTGTACACAACCTTACCCTTTTAATTACAAAGAAGCTGTTTCGTTTGTGATCCAAGATACATTGCGTCTTTGAAGTATTGATTTCCAGCAAAATACGACACTAGTTGAGTGGTTTGATAAAAATGTTTTTTGTTTGGTTAGCTTCTTATGAAATTGCCTTAGCAGCCAGGCCGTTGCTATTTTGTTGCAATTATAATCTCTTAGAACTATGCTCGGTCCCTTTTCACGTTAACACATGGCATCGGCCTTTTAATAATCCCTGAACATTTGACAGTTCGAATGATTGTTATTGCTTTTCAGTTTATTGGAGCTTGTAAAGATCCCTTAATGGTCATAGTCACAGAGCTGTTACCTGGGATGTCACTCCGGAAGTATTTGGTCAGCATTCGTCCACAGCAGTTGGATCTTCATGTGGCATTGAATTTTGCTCTTGACATTGCTCGAGCCATGGATTGTTTGCATGCAAATGGGATCATTCATAGAGATCTAAAGCCTGGTATGTGTCTATTGTTTGTCAAGCAGCAAAGGCTTTAGGTCTTTGTAGGAATTCCTGTTGTAAAATTGTATACCGATATGATTGTTTTCTTCCTTTTTCCTTCTGGTGCTTCTTCATTCAACCAAGAATTAACATGCTAGGAGAATGTATACATGCAGATAACTTGTTGCTTACAGCCAATCATAAGTCAGTGAAGCTTGCTGACTTTGGCCTTGCAAGGGAAGAATCTGTCACTGAAATGATGACTGCTGAGACTGGTACATATCGCTGGATGGCTCCTGAGGTATGTGCTGCCGTAGTTTCTTTAAGCCTCAATGTATTTCTTGCTTTGTAGATGACTTCACATTGATCAAAGAATACGTATGCTTAAAACATTCAGTGCCTCTTCCATGCCTCTTCCATACCTTGGAATTTGCCATCTTTAACTTTGGTAATCCTTTAGCTGTCATCTATATAAAAAAGTATATCAATTTGCTCCTATTATAATTAAACTCAGTCGTTGCGCTCGACTAAATGGTTGCAGTTGTACAGTACTGTTACCCTGCGTCAAGGGGAGAAGAAACATTATAATAATAAGGTAGATGTTTACAGTTTTGGTATTGTCCTGTGGGAACTGCTCACGAATCGAATGCCATTTGATGGAATGTCAAATTTGCAAGCTGCTTATGCTGCCGCTTTTAAGGTGCGTGTGCGAAATTGCATTTCTTGCCTTTCCCTCTCATCATCCATTATTTTTTGCCACATTCTTATTTTCTTTTATAGGTTTTTTTTTTTATTTTTTTTTCAAAACCAGCCTCACGTAGTGGGATAAATGTATAGTTGTTCTAGTTGATACCTAAACGCATTTACTCTCCCTTCCGGGATGCAACATATTATCTTAGCATCTGAATTTGCATCATTTTTCATATTGTGCCGGAATATGCAGCAAGAGAGGCCTTCTATTCCTGAAGATATTCCCACAGACCTGGCTTTCATCATACGGTCTTGCTGGGTCGAGGACCCTAACCTGCGTCCTAGCTTTAGCCAGATTATCAGGATGCTAAATGAGTTTCTATTCAAGCTCCCCCCTCCACCAGCATCATTGCCTGAACAACAAGCCGAGTCCAACGAGTCAACAACGGCTACAAGTAACACCAGCAGCATTACAGAATTTTCTGCTCGAGCTAGAGGGAAGTTCGCTTTCCTTCGACAGCTATTTGCTGCGAAGAAGAGCAGAAACTTGCACTCATAGTATTCAGGTCTGAATCTCAAAGTGATCTTCTTGGAACGCTTGTTACAATCTGAGATTGGGGAAAAGATAATCTATCTGTTTCATCCATTTGAAGCAAGAGTGGGCGAAATATATCCAGAAAAAGGTGAGCGGAAATGGTAGTTGTACGATGTGGTTTAATGTCATCTTGAAACTGGTTCAGAAAATGAAAGAGAATGGATGATCAAAACTTAGGGGGCAACTTGGCTGGTTTCTGATAGAAGCTGTTCATGTATCATATCATACTGTATTTGTAGGTAAACTAATTTCAGTCACAGCTGTTCATGGATTTTAGGGTTTGTATGGAATGTGTTTTGTATGTTGTGTTTTGGTCTGGTTTTTAATTTGTACTTCTACATCACGAATGCAAAATCCAAAGCCAAAACACCGTCCATACAGATCCTTAAAATATGAAGCTTTTATTTATAATCAAGGAAAAAAACTATGCTTTCTTTATTTTATTACGGTTATGGTGATGGTTATTGGTAATTTTTTATTTTATTAACCAAAAACGAATTATTTTATTTAAAAATAGTATATCACATAATTGGTAGCATAAATTAAAAGTTCATCCGATATCTGGCGAGAATTTATATATATATATATATATATCTAATGATGTATCATCACACCTCACACAATTCCATAGACAACAATTGTTAAAAGAAAAAAAAAAAAAAAAAAGAAGAAGAAAAAAGCGCGCAAGCTCAACTATGATAATAAGGTGGACATTTCATGCGAGATATGGTGGTTTTGGAATTCTTTTGTATACTGATGAGACACGATCGAGATTATCTTAATACTGCATTGGTTTCTTAATATAAACTATTCTGATTTATTTAGAGTTTTAATTGACAAAATTTTTTTTAAGAGAACACAACGAATGTAAAAATATATTTTAAGGGTTTTTTTTTTAGTTAAAAATATATTTTAGTTGAAATCTAAGAAAAATCAAAATGTTTTAGATGGGAAGACATTTTTCATTAATAATTTCAGATATACTTTTTTCTTAGAATAAAAAAACTCCGATTATATTTATGACATCATCTATGTGATTTATTGCAAAACAAGAGTTTCGCCGCTACCAAAAAAGAATTTATTTACAAAATTCTATGAGTTATACTTGAAAGGTTAACCGAACAGATAAGTGCTTGTTTGGTCAACGTTTTATTTTAGGTTTTTATTTAGATTTGAAAGGAGATTTAAAATGTATTTTTAATTTTTCATTTGAAAAAGTATTATAGTATAATGACCATTTACGAAATTAAAATAATTAAGTGACCAAGATGAAAACTTTATAATAGTATAATGACCAAACGCAAAATTTTACAATAATTCAGTGATCAAATGCAAAACTTTACAATAGTTCATGACCAAACGCAATAAAGACTTACAATAGTTCAGTGACTAAAATGAAGACTTTACAATAGTGTAATGACCAAACGTAATATTTTAAAAGATAAATTAAAATGTTGTTTGGATGGTGCATTGAGTTTTGTATTTAAGAGGTAAAATGAGACAAAAAAGTAAAATAAGAGATTGGACAAACAAGACCTAAATAATTTTGGGAGTAGATTCGACAAGGAAAAGTTTAGATAATAGTATTTTAAATTAAGAATAATATTTTCTTCATTACAAACTATTTTATATTTTTGCCTCTTTTCATTTTAATTACACCTATAATGCACACAACAAGTATCGGTAGTATTCATAAAAAGATAACAAACAAAGAAGCCAACGAATATTGCTGCCATATATCAGAATGGAATATACGAAGAGACAACATTAAAAAGAGGTTCAAACGGAAATATTCTTACTTTTTTTTTCTGGAGTGTTGATAGATGAGCTTCATCTTCATATTCATCCATAATAAGGAGATATTTCTTGTGTATATTTACATAATGTTTTTAGTGTAAGAAAAAAAAAACAAAAAAAAAAACCTATGAAAGAAATAGACTGTATATGGTTAAAAAAGAAAAAAAATACAGTAATTCCAAAACCAAAAAAGAAAAAAAACATAGTAAAAATATATAATAATAAGATGATAAAAGTAAAGAGGAAAAGGGTAAAAATAACAAGAACAAAGGAAGAACAAGCATAATAGAAGAAAGACGAAGAAGCAGCGGCAGCAAACCAAACCCGAAAAACTCCTAAATCCTTGTTTTTCACTCACTCCATTTTCAGTACCTCTCTTTGTTACCCCATTCGTTTCTCCGTTTAATCAATTTGCCCCCAAAATTCAAACCCATTCAATAATTCATTTATCTTCTCCCCTCTCTTTTCTGTTTCATTTTTCTTCTGTTTGTTAATAAGAGTTTCACATTTAAAGGGGAGGAAACGAAGGAGGAGTGCTGGGTCGGGTCGGGTATGATAGGATCGATCATCAGGACTCGTTTATTCAGACTTTGATTCAATTTGGGTAAATTCGTATTTTTTTTTTTTTTTGATACGTGGTAAATTCGTATTTTCATTATAACTTGGTCGGTCTTCCCCTTTTCTAATAAATAAAAATAAAATAAGTTCTGATGGGCGATTATCGGGAGCCTCCCGCCGGCGGCGGCGGCTTATCTCCTTCGACCTCATCATCGAGCCCCAATCCGAATCCGGCTGCTATTGGTCCCGGGAGGTGGGCCAGAGCCGAGAGAGCGACCCGGGAGATTATTTTGAAAGTGCAACCTACGGTCGTCTCTGAAGAACGCAGGAGAGAAGTCATTGATTATGTCCAGCGATTGTTCTTTAATTTCCTCGGCTGCGAGGTCCTCTTTCTTACTTATTTTTCCGTTTGTTACATTTGATTGTGGATATATTTCCTTACATAAAATTTATCATGTGTTGATTTAATGAATCATGTTTGTTTGATAATGCTTTACGTTTGTTAGTTAATGCATCATCATTAAGGGAAAACATCTTAATGCATCATCATTATGGGAAAACATAATGAACACTAAATTCAATGAAGCTGTAAGTTCATTTTGTGCTGAGATAGCTGCTTACACTTTGTTCTTAGATATTTTTGAAGCATACTTGCCACAATTCCTGTTTTGAGAACGTCAAGATTTGTATCCAAATTTAACACATAGGTCAAGGTGCCTTTTCCATAACTGTTTACTTGCGGAGTTGGTTGATTGGATTAGGTTTCCTGTTCGGGAGCCTCTCTTGATGATTGAGAGATGTGCCCCAAGCTTTGCGCGCCCATTTTAAATTTTCATCACTTCACAGTGTCCGTCCCTGTTGATTGGTTTACTGCTGGGCTAAAAATATTAAACCAATAAATTACGAATCTCAAGTTTAAACCAAGTTTAACAGAAGACATGCTCGAAGTCCGTGGGCCTACATATTAGAAGTCCGTTCATGTTTAATGGACCGTTTCTGGACATATAATAATCTATTGTGAATTTCTGCAACCTGGATTGTGTTGAATCTAATGATGCTAAATGGGGAATGTCTGAGTTTTTTATATGTTAGGAGTGGTTAGGTTGTGTTGTCCAGACTTATCTCTTGATTGACAATTTTCAATCATCCCTAATACGTAGACTTATGACAATTTCATATATGTTAGTGGCGCCATGTACTTCTTTGAAGTAAAATTTATGAATGTTTTCCCTCTGGAGACTTTATGGAATCCTTGATCTGCTTCATTAATGACTTCATTCATGGTATACGTGTCATTATATTGTGAACTTCTGATTTTTCGGTACTAATTCTGACATCTTTAATTGTCTTATCCATTTTACCAGCTCTATAACTTTGATGCCGATTTCTTATCTTTATTTGAACTTCCTGCAGGTTTTTCCTTATGGATCTGTACCATTAAAAACGTATCTTCCAGATGGGGATATAGACTTAACTGCCTTTGGTGGTGCAAGTGCAGAGGATGCTTTAGCCAACAGTATGGTCTCGATACTCGAAGGAGAAGATCAAAGTCGAGCTGCAGAGTTTGCCGTGAAAGATATCCAGCTTATTCGAGCTGAGGTTATCATCTTTCATCTTTGATATTATAATAGTTATTTGCACGATTTGATTACCATGTATACTGACTTTAGCCCAGGGTACACATCTGTAGGGTACAGTTGTTTTTCTCTGACATAATTTCTTGCTCCAATTTACATTTATCTTGCGTAGAAAGTAGACCTTCTGGAGTCATTTACTACCAACTCCGCTTTTAATGTTTCTTGGTTTTAAACCACTTTTTGATGAACTTATTTTGTTATAGTTATCTGTAATGAAGAAAAATCTATTTAATTCCTAAATATCTAACATGTTGTGACAGCGATGTTCTCGATGATTATGCAGGTTAAGCTTGTGAAATGCATTGTTCAAAATATCGTAGTTGATATTTCCTTTAATCAAATAGGTGGCCTTTGTACCTTGTGTTTTCTTGAGCAGGTGAATACGCGATAACATCATACTTTACATTTCTTTTAATCTGAATAATCCTTGAATTATTATTGTTATTTTATTATTTTCTTTCCTGCTTCCCAAACATGATGCATTCATGTCATGTCTATCTGTCGACTAGTGTGGAAATTGAGGCATGCACGTGAAACAGATGACGTAGGTCTGCATTATATGATTTTTTGAATTTTTTTTTCTTTTGATTGTTGACTAGTGTATAAATGCATTTATGAGTTTTTGAATGGAACAAAAGTATCTTGCCAAGCTTCTCCTGGCTGACTAAGGATCTCATCTGTACTTATTTATTGATTGGAGTGAAGTGATTAATCACAATGCAGCATAGAAACATTTTATGCCCTTTCCATGATTACTTATCCAGCATCCGCCAGGAAGGAGATAAGTTCACATGTAGAGAAATCGATTGTGCTGCGTGACCACCTGGCGTTGAGCTTTATGCTCAATTAACCCATGATAACTTTGTAGAAGGAGATTGTAGCTATTTGAGCAGCCATGAAGGAAACGTTTGAGAGGTTACCTGTCGTGGGGACGATTTGGAGCTGTAATTGGGCCATTTAGTGTTCTGGTAAGAAGTGTAAGATAGGAATTTTAGATGTGTGGAGGTATATTCTTGACTAGCAAAGAACTGTGTTCCTATTGAAGTTATGGATCATGGTCTGTTGGCCTTGAAGAAATTCATTAGAGAATAGCTTTGTGGAAGTTGAATTTGACATTGTTTTTCCATTTGCGTTATCGTTTTAAATTTGTGAAATTCAAAAAGATTTCAAACTTGTAGGATAACCAACATGGTGGAGGTTACTGAGTAACTATATAGGATTTATCAGATATTGACCCTTGTGACATGCCAGAGTGGAAAAATAAGGTGCCAAAAATTCATTGTTACAATGCTTCATTTGCAGGCCAAGAATGCATGGTTTCCTTCATTTGATTTACTATGTGTCAAATGCAGTTTCCTTCATTCGATTATTGTATCAAATGCTTAATTTAGAGTTTTGGGGGTACCCAGTTTGTGCCATCTAAATCTCACTGTGATCTTATGCATTCAATTTTTCCTCAATGAGAGTACATAAGTACAGCATTTTCTAATCCTGGCACTTCCTATATCATGGGGTCCATACCTCCCCGTATTGCTCTATGGATCATATGTTTGTCATCGTGCGGTCAATACACGTACTTTCTTTCATTTAATTTGGAGGAGAGAGAAAGAGAACACCCTTTACAGTTAATAAAGGAGAGAGAAAGAAGCTTAATTAAAGCAGTACTACAACTAAGCCTTTTTAACTATATGGGGAACGCTATCTTCCACTGGATAGTTCTATTTAAGGATTGATATCTATTGTCCTTGTAATAGAGAGCTTTCCTAATCCTTTTAGGTAATCATTATGTGATTTCTGCACAATGTAATGGTGCCTCTAAAAATCTGTAATGAATATGTTAATAGCTCATGTTTCTTCATGGATGATGTTTATGTAATTTCCTTACTTCTGACTGGTTTCTTGAGTTGGATAGCTTTTGCTTGGCTTTCTGTGTGAGATGTCTGCATAATTGCTTGTATAAGTGATTGTTCAATTTTTTCAGGTTGATTCTCTTATAGGAAGGGAGCATCTTTTTAAACGTAGCATTATTCTAATTAAAGCTTGGTGCTATTATGAAAGCCGCATTCTCGGTGCCCATCATGGTCTGATTTCTACATATGCATTGGAGACATTGGTGTTATACATCTTCCATCTCTTCCACTCGTCATTAAATGGTCCATTGCAGGTTGGAATTCATTAGTGTTATAGTGTTCTGTTCATATTTATGGAAATTTACCGGACTGCTCACTGAACTTATAACGTCGATCACTTCTGATCGCTGCGCTTTTTGCTGAACAATTCACCTATCAAACTTTTTGAAGTTGCCACTTTTGGCAAGTGTTAATTTTAGGCCTAAAAGTTGATGGAGTTAACACCACATTAGGGTAAAATGGTTCATTTATGTTGCTATTTGTCAAATTTGACGCCTAAAATGGAGGGAATGGCCATAAGTAACGACGAAGAAAGTTTTATCGTTGATTTGTTTCACAGAAATAGTTCACTGGTTAAGAATAATGCATGGTGAAAGTTTAGTGACCGACCAAGTAATCAACCGTTACATTTTCCATCAACTCACCTGATTTTGTAACTTGTGTTTGTAGGTTCTATACAAGTTTTTGGATTACTTCAGCAAATTTGATTGGGAGAATTATTGCGTGAGTTTGATGGGTCCTGTCCGATTGTGTTCATTACCAGAACTTGTTGGTAAGCAGAGCCATTTAGTTGGTCAGTATACTTGTTGGACTTCCTCCTTTTTTTAATTGGGGTGATTGTCTGTTTCCAGCGGAAATGCCTGACAATGGCGAGAGTGATTTGCTTCTCAGCAATGAGTTCCTGCGATATTGCAGTGATATGTTCTCAGTACCCTCAAGAGGAGCCGATTCAGGCTTGCGTTCATTTCAACCAAAACATCTTAATATAGTAGATCCTCTTAAAGAAAACAATAATCTAGGTCGAAGCGTCAGCAAAGGTATGTTTCCTGTACTTACTAAAATGTAAGTTGTCGTAGAAAGAAAGAATTTCTACTGTCTGCATGTTTAGGAAAGATATCTAAGATAGAAGGAATTTAAATTTTGTTGTACTACTTGTTTTTTACTTGTTCTTCGACCATGGAACCAACTTGAGGTTGATTGTTGTTCTATATAGGAAATTTTTATCGTATAAGGAGCGCTTTCACTTATGGAGCCCGAAAACTTGGGCGAATACTTCTACAGCCTGAAGATGACATAGCTACTGGCCTTTGCAAATTTTTTTTCAACACTTTGGATAGACATGGAGACGGACAGAGACCTGATGTACAAATTGCTCGTCCTATTAGGCCTTATGGTGCTTCTAATTCTGTGCTGTCGGTGTCAGAAACCAGTTTAACTGCAGTAGAGATTGTGAACCTGGAATCTAAATCAGATACAAATAGTTTATCTCGCAAAAGAATCAATGGCCTTGATGCATCTGCACCAGAAACCAAATGCAATGATGAAACTGAAGTTGAAGAAGGGAACAGGGAAGTATCTCTCTCGGTGTTGTCAATAGGAAATGCACATGACGAAAAGAAAAATGCTCTGGGTCACCGAGCTCAAGACCTTGCTTCTCGCAGAGTTGAGGACCTAAAAGCACCTTTTGATTCACCTAGACACTCTGAGCTAAGCAGCCTAAATATCGTGTCCCCAGCAGGAATACCATATCATGCGCCACACATTTACTCTTCTGATTCAGTGTTGTCTAATGGGGGAATGATCAATGGAGATGCAGATTTAATATCTTCGCAGAAATTTTCAAAGGACGTTCATCCTGGAATGTCTTGTGACTGCAATGGAAATGTTAATGGGTGTGGCCTGTATGGGAATCTGTCTCCTTGTGTTGAGGGCGCTGTTCATGGTACTAACCCTTTGTCAGATCTTAGTGGAGATTATGAGAATCAATTGAACTCTTTGCAACGTGGGAAGTGGTGTTATGAATATGCTTTTAATATGCAAGCTTTGCCGAGGCATCCATCCCCGCCACCGTCTGTATTTCATGCAAACAACTTGCGCGATGCCAATGCCATCCACCATCCCTTACAATTCAAACAGAATGGTGTCCCTCTCAAAATGGGAAACGGTGTGTTCCCGAATCCCGCATTTTATGCGGTAAATCCAGCCATGATCCCAACTATGTCTTTTAGCTTGGAGGACATGCCAAAACCACGTGGGACGGGAACCTACTTTCCAAACATGGTACCTCCTTAACTATACTCCTGGTGTTAATAATAGCTTTTGATTTGAAGGTTAACTGTCAATATGGAATAATTATATTAGGTCAGCTTATGGTCATTGACAAAGGCAAACCCACACAATGATGCCATGTGCTGTTCTTTTGAGTTATAGTTTTCTAATGATTTTCTAAGCAGCATCTGATTAAAAGGAGTTGAATATTTACTTTCTGCAGAATCATCACCCACTGGTTCACAGGCCTTCAGCTGTAAAGGGTAGAAATCATGCTATGATGAGGTCTCCACGCCACCTTGGCCGGTTTATGGAGGCTAAAATGGTTGATCAGACCAGTCCTGATATTTTGTACACACCAGTATTGGGTAATCAAAGCGGTACCAACAATGTGCCTTCAAATGTACATCAACCGTTTACCTCGCAGGAGAAAGGGCATCATAATAACATGAATGGTGTTATCTTGGAACCTGATGGTTTTGAATTTGGTTCATTTGAGGACCAGCCAGATGAAACCAATCAGCCGGACAGAGGCAGACAAGGACATCAACAAAGGTGTCCCAGTTCTCAAGATGACATGAGTCCAGTTTCACCAGCTAGAGCGCCACGCACACTGAAACCTATTATTAGCAGAGATCAAGATAGGTATTTTGAAATCTCCTGCTTACCAGTTTTCTCATTCCTTTCTGATTATAGTAGACACGACCGTAATATCTGAAAGTCTTTGCCACCATTGTTTTTTTAAAAAAAAATAAAAATAAAAGTATAATTGTTCTGGAATTGTAGGGTTTCTGAAAGCTTTTGTCACCATTGGTTGTTTTTTTGGAAAAATAATTATTCTGGAATTGTAGGGTTTCAGTCGAATCATCGTACCATCTTAAAGATGAAGATGATTTCCCGCCGTTGTCTACCTGAAGTGGTCCAAATGTTAAGAGGGGACACTACGTAGTCGGGGTAGCTCAAATAGACTATTCGCCTCAGCGCTTGGTTCGTGATTTAGATGTTAAAAAAATGTATTTCCCTTTTAACCGGCGAGTTAAAGGTGTAGTGTACATTGGTTAGAGACGTTTCCCCTGCAGAATTTTTGTTGATTTTGCCCTGTACAGGATGGTAAAGAGCATGTTTTGCAAACTCAGTAAATTTATGATGTTTGTACTTTGTATATGTTTGTGTGTTTGGTTTGGTGAAGTAATTAACTCCTCTTGTGATTCTTGTTAGTCTTTTTGTTAATTTTTCACCCTTCCCTCCGATACTACTTTGCTATCGGTCAACCTGGAGTACTTAGCCTTGCAAGGTGGTCCGATGAGTAAAGTCCGAACACATAAAATACATGTTCAACAACGTGACATGGAATTTCAATTCACAACACCATGCAACCTAAACATCACGCAACCTAAACAAAAAGAAATGACGTTTTTCCAACCTGAAACAAACAGGAGGAAGTCCTGGATCAGCAGATTATATTGGGAATCAATTGAGTAAATCTCCAACCCATTTTACATATCTTACAACAAAGGAGATCCCCAAAAAGGAGTTATAGAAGTCGAGAAGAGCAGATAGAACATGCCCCATCACTTGCCAATGACAAATTTTCACGCCAAAAGTCAACATTACTCAACAACAGTCAACACCGACTGGAAAACTAAGAAAACAACAATGGAACTAGTTTTTAGTAAACAAAACCTCTCAAGTTCGAGTACTTGAAGAATCAAAATCATCAGGGGCAACTCTAGCTATCCAATTACTCAGTGTCCTCTTAATGTCAGCGTGGTTAACATAAGCCAGCTCATACATACTACACAAATTCACCACAAGTGTCTCATTCAGCGCCACCGTTGGCACCCTCTCCAATGCATTCTCCAAAACCTTAATTGAATCCGTTAAGTCCCTCAAGTACATCAAGCAAAGCGCCTTATTGTTGATAGCAATCACATCCTGTCCATCCCTCTCAATACACTCATCATACTCCCGAACAGCTGAAACATAATCCTTCCCAACCAAATACAACAATGCCTTGTTCCTACGAACCAAATTGCTCAATGGCACTTCTTCGTTGTTTCCATTCTCCCTCACCAATTTCTCCACCTCCCCAAAAGTCCTCTTAGCCCCTTCCAAATCCCCATATTGCATCTGCATGTACCCTAATTTTGACAACAATACAGAATCAACCCCAAATTCGTCCTCACTAACTAAACCCCTCAACAAATCAACACAAACCTTAAACTCCTTTGCACTCAAGTGATAGCTAACAATACTATTCACAACAAAGACCTCCCTTTTTTGCCACAAGTCCCCAGATTTTCCATCATGGTTCCGCCTTTTTTCCCTAACAAAGTCCAGAAGGGCATAAAACCGATCAAGGGCCAGCTGCCTGTGGCCCACAGTGGATGGCAAATGAGCATAAAGCCAACGAAGGGCAAAGGGCACCATAGATCCCTTCTGATCAGGATAATGATGAGGGTAAGTTTGATAATGGTATTGAGGCGAATTGAGAGGGTTGTCATCGTCATCACCATCGTTGCTGTCTTCAATGTGGGACTGAAGCTCATTATATGCATCGTTGAAACGGCGTAGCTTGACGAGGCCAAGGAGGTTGAAAGTGAGGTAAATGAGGTGTTCGTGGGGTTTAGTGAGGAGGGAAAGTGAGCGAGCTCGGGCTATTTTGTCGAGGATGGTGCGCCAAGCGCCTCGGCAAGCCAAGTCTTGGAGATTACTAAGATCGTTACATAGGGAATTGAGGGAGTTATAAGGGTTGCTTAAAGGGTCATCCACAACGAGGCTGTTGGTGTTAGGGTCAGCAGAGGCGGCGATGGATGGACCAGTGGGTGTGTCCATGGCAGCGGAGGACGGCACAACAATTTAGCGGAAGCCAATATATATGTATATGTATATATATATGCCGGTGGAGCCCTTAAAACATGAGGTGATCTAAGGAGCCTGAAATTCAAATAAAGCTTAAGAATGAGTACGGGGAACAGATATAACACCATACGTCCAGTTACTACAGTACATAAATTTTAAGCACTGGATACACCTTTAACCTGTTCGATAACTATATCGGATCCAATAACCAAAAAGCATCACAGGCAGACAGATTAACAACAGAAATCAATGTTAACTGAACTTGCATCATCTTCGAATGTTTAAAAAAGGGAATGCTGCCTACATACTTTCCGATTCGGCATAAAACCCATGACATATAGAGTATGCATGCTTTTCGAAATTCATATTCCAACTGTTCTACCCTCAAATCCATCCACGATAATCAGCTTAATTACTGGATGAATTTTTGCGACGCGGAAAAATAAAATAAAAGAATTTGATTTGGGCAGAGAAAATATGGGCCATAAAGTTGAAGGGAAAGGAAACAAAATTACCGGGATGACAGTCGTCGACCGGAGGGATCTCTGGCGGTTGAGATCTGAGAATTGCGGGAGGCAAAGCAAAAATGGGAAAGGGGAAATGAGCAGGGCCGTATTCCAACCTTTTTTTTTTTGACCAATCAGGCAAGGGTGGAGGTGGACCACTGAACCCGAGTTGTGGTATACTTGAACCCGACCAACTCGGTTGACTTTAAAAAATAATCATTTAAGAAATGTTTTGAATAAAAAATCATCTTCTTAGTTCTTTTTATAAAATACCAATTTCTGAATTTTTTTTTTTATAACATTACATTATAATTTATGTTGCCATCACACAAAGAGGGGTGAGGCTCCCACAACAGTATACAACGTGTGCCTAATGCACAAATTGTATCTAATCACCAGAAAGGAGAGAAGCTCGAAACTTTCTCAAATTGTTTACAACTTCATAACATGTAAAATTATTTTTAATAAATATTTTCATTGAAAATACTATATTCAGAAATTTATAATTTTAGTCTTTTTTAAAAAGGATATTTTGAATTTTTTTAAAAATATATACTCTTACTTTTTAAATATTGTTTTTGAGTTATTTTTATTAATTTAATCTTATTTTAATACTTACATTATACTTTGTTTGGTAAGGCATGACCTCCATAATTACACATCAATACATTAATAATTCTTTTTAAATAGTCTTCTTTTCCAGTATGTACATGTTTGATAAAAATTGGTCACTAATTCTGAATGCTTAATACTGAATAAGAAACACTGAATTCATTAAGTAGTTACAGAATAAACAATAAATTGACTTTTATTACTTATATTTCGTACTACAGTTTCACACCACTTAATTCAATAAGAGGTTTAGTTTTTATTATCAAATATGTTGAAACTAATATGTACTGAATGGAATAATTTTAAACAATAAGTAATGTTATAAAAAACAAGCCCTTAGGACAACTAGCTAAACGAAGAAACTTAAGATTTTATTTTTTTTTTGGAATTTACTATGTAAATCCAGTTCCCTAAAATTTTCATAAGTTAAAAAAGGTCAAAAATAAAAAAATTAGATGTGAATTTTATCTTAAATATCAACTTTTTTTTTATGTTAAAGATTGTCAAAAAAGCAATATTTTACTTTATCCCTAAGCTTCAAAATTTAAAATAATATAAAATTGAGCAAAAAAAGTAAAATTTTATTTTTATTTTCATTTTAGTTTAAAAATTAATATTCATTTTATCACTTTAGTATCTAATGTAATTTTTAATTATTTATAATTACTTTGTATTTGTATTAATATTTTATTAAAATATGCTCAAGTGGATCTGTACATTTGCCAAAAAAACTTAATTTGGTACTTAACATCAACAATTCACTGGTTTGGACTGTTACATTTGAGTTTTTTACTAATTTAATTTTTTTTTTACTTTTAACGACACTTTCCATTTGGGGTCAAGTCAACATGAGTATTTTCGATAATGCCTAATTTTAATTTTTTTAAAATATAAAAAAACATATTTTGATTAAAATAATATTAAAAGTAATATATCAATTTTTAATTGATTAACTAATTTCCGAAATTAAAGAATTCTTTTCTTGATAAAAAATAAATTCTTAACACATGGACCCCACCTAATTTCTTTAAAAAATAAGTTCTTGATTAAAAAAAAAAAAAACTAATTTTATCTGTTTTTAACACATGGATCCCACTCTTAATGGTCTTTTGTCTTTCACTTTTATTCCTTTCCCCACCGTCAAATAGTCAAACTCTCATTCCCAATCCCCCTCCTGCAACCCTTTAAAAAATCCTAATTTGCCATGAATCCTAATTCTAAAATCAGAGGGATAACAAGATGAAGAATACAGAAGGGAGAAGGCAAAGCTAAAAAGAAAAATTTACAACAAAGTGGGATAAAAGTGAAAGAAGAAGGAATATTAGAGATGAGGTCCATGGATTGAAAAAATAAAAATAAAAAAACAAACGAAATCAGATATTTATTTTTTTAAAAAAAATTGATTTTGAATTTGTTAAAATTTTTTTTAAAAATATCTTAATTACTTATAAATCAATATAATATTTTTAATCAAAATTTGTTTTTTAATATTTTTTAAAATTTGAAATTAGACATCACCAAAAATACCCCCAGAAAATAGTAACTCAAGAACCACCAAATGTAAAGTGTCAAAAAAGTAAAAAAGACCAAATTAGTTAAAAACACAAATGTAATAGACCTACCACTGAATTGTTAATATTAAGGACCAAATTAAGTTTTTTGGCAAATGTAAAAGACTATTTGAACAAATTATTCCTATATATTTGAACAAATGTTAATGTAAATGGTTAAAATGTATATTTGACCTAATGTAAAAGATATTTTCAGATTTTTTATCTTCCCATAATATAGTCTTACTTTACATAGAAAATGATTTGAAAGACCACGGACTAAATCCAGTTCAGCATTTGTAGATTGTACAACCAAAAATATAAGGTGACAAAGTTGTAATGGGAAAATACATGAAAATAAAAAGTCTTCGAATTCGACTTCATAAAGCATATCTTTAAACATGTTCTCATTTTCTTGTCTCCGTAAAATTTGAAACAAATTATAATTTTTCATCCATACATACAATATGACAAATTCCATCTTCATTAACTTTTAACATTAATTTTTAGGGAGAATGGGCCTTTTCATCCCAAAGTTTGAGCCACACCATCTAAAATATCCCAAAGTTTAAAAGTATGCCATTTTCATCCTAAACTTTTAAAAAATATGTAATATTAGGACATTTGTTAATTTTTTGAAGTTATTAACGGCAATATTTCATTCAATTTCTTTTCCCTATTTTTTTTAGTCAAAAAATTTTTATGCTTGCGTTTGGTAAATTTGGTCCATGCCAAGCAAAAAAAGTTACATACCCCTGCATCAATTACAACACTAATTTTTATAATGATGCTACATATTTAAAAGAATAAATGAAATAGGGCTTACTCTCTAATTAGGACACACACAAAAACTTTCATGATTGTTATCAATCTAGAAGGTGAATCTTGGATATTTTTTTTTCTTTTTCTAAGCAAGGAAGAATGCATGATGTGAAGACCAAATTAGGTTTAGCTATTTTCTTATAAGGTGGGAGTTAGTGGAACGTGTTAAATGATTAAAAGAATTGGAGGAGGAGAAACAAAATAAAGTACCACCATTAATTAATTAACTGGAGTTAAAAATTTAACGAATATCCTAATGTAACATGTTTTTTAAAAAGTTTGGGATATAAATGACATGTTCTTAAACCTTGGGATGTATTGGATGGTGTGGCCTAAACTTTGGAATGAACAGACCCATTTTCCCTTAATTTTTATTTAGGGAAAAGTTGCCATTTATTGTTGACAATTTTTTTTCTTTTTGACCTTACAGTACTTTTCAGATTTAATTTTAGTCCCAAATATTTTGGATTGAGTATTTCTCGTCCTCAATGTAAATTTTCTTAACTGCTAACTATGGTTAACACTTAAAACCGGACAAATCTCTCTATCTTTCTTTTGCCATGTCTTTATGTCGTATTTCGAATGTGTAAGAGCCCCATTTTGAAAGACTGAAACCACCAGTACCAGCATAAACCCAGTTTACATATTTTCATAATTATTATTATTATTTTAGGGGGAAAAAAAAAGAAAAAACCAGTACCCAACAGAAAAGCTCATTCACCACAGTGTTCCCTTCCTTCTTCTCATCAAATACGTGTGTATAAAACAACCCGCCCTGCATTTACACTACAACCCTACTGTACAATTACATTGTCTTGGCCTTTTCCTGTTCCCCCTCCTTACTATAACATTTCTTTTTTGGACCAAACTATGAACTTTTTACCTGGTAAATGTTAGAAGTTGGCCTTCCAAATGCCCTCTTCAATGGCTTCCCACCAGCTTTCCGCCTTCCGATATGGATTATAAATGCACCGAGAACTCATGCAACACCCGGAAGGAAGCCTTTGTCACTCAATTAACCTTTCTATAGATGTAGATAATTTCCTCCAAGACCTCCAACTCATAGCTACTCAAAGTTTTACACGCTGTCATGTGGCAAAACAAGTGTCCCGCTACTCCTCTGAAAGCAAATTTCAAAGTCAATCCACTAAAGAAACTTTACGGTTAAATGAAATTCACAATATTCATAACAGATTCAACTAAATTATTGTGTGAAGTTCAGAATCAAAGAATGAACTACAAAAGTTAAAACACAGCTTCTGTTACAGTTCCATCTACTCAAAGGGGAAAGGGGAACCAACTTCATTCAGGAGAATGACAACTAATCTATACCATTCAACACTCATTCTAAGAGAGAGAAGTTTCTAGAGACCGGTTAATATTGACCAACAACATGAATGTTATAAAGTTGTCAAATCTCGTTTACTACTATTCATGCAATAAGGCACTTGATCAATCAAACGTAACAACAGTTGAACTCATAGTAGTGAAATAACTCTTCTCCTGAAATCCATCACTGGGATTTGGGGAACAATTTCCATCAGCTTCAACTTCACTTTAACACACATTTTATCCAAGCAGATGCTTCATACATGACAGAACAACAGCGATAACAACAGCATACCCTCTACATTCCCAACTCAATGGGATCTAGGGAAGTCAAGTGTACGCAGTCTTAACCCTGTATATTTTCACATACAAAGAGGCTGCTTACATCGCGACCCCAGATGCATTGGTGCATGCAATGTATTGATTTCAATAACTTTAAGAAGCAACAGAGTTAACTTGAAACATTGTAACCCCAGCTAAGAGGTTTTAAAATGTACGAAAGTGATATGGTCCATCATGCATTGATCCCATCCACTTTTAGAGTTCAATCAAACCGAGAGAGAGAGAGAGAGAGAGAGAGAGAGAGAGAGAGAGAGAGAGATAATACACTATATGAACCTTTTTTTTTTTTTAATAATTAACACTATATGAATCTAATGTACAGGTTTATGGGTAACACAAAGTGCGAAGTTAATTGATTTCAAATGAAGGATTAATCATACAAATGTTGATTGTTAAAATGCTGGCTTTAACATACTGAAAAATATAATGAAAGAATGAAGAATCAGTCAGTCAACATTCGCTGGCATTTAAAATGCTGGTTTTAGTGTACTGAAAAAATACTGCACATGCACCACAGGGGAATAGTGAAGGGTTTCTTACATGATAATGAACTTGGTTGATCACCTTTTCTTCCGTGTTGTCAGGAGAAGCCACATAAGCAACTGGAAGGAAGCTAGATAAAATGGAACAACAAGAGTCAGCTTGAACCTCGATCTGAACGTAGCCCAAAATAACTACGCTTCCTTCCCAGTATCTCTGCTTCTCTAGCAATTTGGATATCTGAAGGCCAGAAAATTTGATATACAACTTTGAGTATAAAGCGAGGAAGCAATCCTAGAACTATTATAAGCAAAATCGCGAGCCAATAATTAGGTGACTTTCCCAGATGGTATATCGTGCTGCAAACAAGAAGGGAAAAAGGTTTCAGATACTTAATTAAAAAGAAAAAAAAGTAAAAGTTCCTATAATTGAGAGATGTTACTTCAAGAGCATTGACAGAGAGAAGCAAATTCATTCAACAAAAATAGTGAAGAAGCTCCATGACTAATGTCGTACACATGAAATCCAAGAATACCCTTTATTAAATTGGGTTACTTGGTATTTTCATGTGTCACATCAGTCATTCAGTTACGTCACAAAATGAATTCATTGTCACTATCAACACTCCAACTTCAAACCAATACATCATAAATAAACTAACCCGTAGTTAGGGATGGAAGGTACAGAATCAATAATCACAACACAGCCGTAAGTTATTATTATTGATCCCCAGACGGAAAGGTGAGTGTACAACACCCATCGTTGAATATCCATAGCCAAGTGAATATTCACGATGATCACAACCGCAACGGTCCACAAACTGCCGATACTCCAAATATCAATAGTGCTGTCCCGGTACGTGAACAAAGGAACATAAAAAAGGACAAGGCTCTGCCATAGGGTGTCTATCATTGTGACCCAAAAAAGACGCATATTGTAACTCTCCTGACGGTAACCCGAAGCATATAGTTTTGGATAATGGAGCAGGGTCTTACAACTTAAATCCTTATCAAGAATACCAACAACAATGGTGGGCAAAGACGTATAGATGACAGAGTAAAATACGCTGCTCCATTCTGTCAAGGCTGAAGTAGTAGAAAAGGCAGCGCACAAGACGTACCTGGCAGTAGTATAACAACATGAAGAACTATATTACAACCAAGTTCGCAAGAATGGACTTCCACAGAAATGAAGCATCCAAAATAATGGCAAACATTCCAGCAATTTGTTAATGGTAGACCAAACCGTACACAAGATACTCATGCTCCTAATCAACTAGGCCACAAGGGTACAGGTTTAATCAAGAAAATGTTAATACTAAGTCCATCACGATTCACTATGAATACCTTCCTTTCCAAAACCCAAAATCTCAACACATTTATGGAGTTAAGTTTAATTTGAGTTCTCTATATCTAACTGACAAAAAAAAGAACCAAAGCAAATGATTGCTCTCAGATGGCATTCAACTAAATGCATAATACTGATGGTCATTAACACTCATTAATAGGGTTATGTAAGAGAAAGATCACCTTAAATCAACAATTTAAACTGCACAGAAAACTATATAACCCCATGTGGAAAAAAATGTCCCAATAAAATTGGGACGGCGGCTTGTGAGTGTGTGAGTCCATTATTGTGTAAACCTTTTAATTCCAACAATCATCAAGAGTGTTTCAAATTTTAACAAATCCTCATTACACTGGAGTTTACGTTATACAAAAAATTTTGCATTTGTTTCAATTGAAAATTTCTTACCTGTTTGTCTTCATAATTGCATATGCATGAACACAAATTAAAGACAAACGAGAAACGAGATACAAAAAGTATAAGTTACAAATTAAAGAGGAAGTTTTGCTGGGAAAAGATCTACAACAAATATTAGGAATGAGACATATTGAACCTACCAGAAAAGCATCATCACAAAAACAGCATTTCGGTAGAAATTGTAAAGTATCAAGTAGCCCATCCTATGATAATTCCAATGACCATGCACCAAAAGCAAACGCTTCAAAAACTGAAACTGTCCCATAGCAAAATCTGACGCCATGACGGCTTGACGGCCTTCCTGACCACATATTCCAACCCCAACATCCGCCATTTGGATCATGGAAACATCATTCGCCCCTGTGGAAACGAGAAGTTATACTTAATTATGGTCTCCTTCCAGAGGCCTGACGAGGTTCAACTTCTCTTTCTGACCTCTCACAAGGCTTAAAAATGATTCAAGTCTTCAGGAGAAAGAAAATAGACTTTCCATAGTTCGCAAGGTTCGTCAGTGCAAAACCAAAAAAAGAATGAAGAGGTTGTGAACTCACCATCACCTATTGCAAGAGTCATGTCGTCAGTGCGGCTTTTAATCAAGTCAACTATTCCAGCCTTCTGCAGGGGTGCAACACGACAGCAAAGAACAACCTTGCATGCAGTTGCAATATCGAATAACTGTGAAAATTCAGCAACATGACAACTGTTAGAACTAAAGGGAGAAGTCATGCTACTACAAAATTAATGCTCCTACAAGTAAAGCTTATGAAACAGGAAATAAAGTATAAATAAAGCATTCATATAATTTGCACCTCAGATTCCAGATCCTTCTCCAATATATACACCAGGCTACTCCCATCAATTATAAGTGCCAAAGGTGCAACTAAAGATGCTTCTTCAGAATGTTGTTGGGTGGAGTTGGGAAGCTTTATGTCAACAGGGATCTCGAGATAATCTTTCTCAGCATCTCTAGTCCACTTCAAATCCTGGCTACTGCATTTGATACCATACTTGGTCTTTGCTTCAATAAGGAGCCTTCTGCATTCACTTTCGGAATTTCCGTTTATAATAATCTGTTGCATATCCGCGGTCAAGAGTTTACAAGAAAGACCGATAGAGATTGCTGTCTCTTGCTTATCCCCAGTAAGCACCCATACTTTGATTCCTGCTTGTCGAAGAGACTCAATAGCTTCAGGAACGCCTTCTTGTAGCTTGTCCTCAATTGCAGTTGCACCGAGAAGCGTCAAGTTACATTCGATGAAAGAAGCAGTTTGGCGCAACTTTAATGTTCGGTCAGTCAATGATGTGCTAGCATCTTGATACATGCATTGCCACTCCTCGAGTTCTACACCGCTTAGATTTCTTGAAGCAACAACCAGAGTACGTAAACCTTCAGCTGAATACTCAGACAAATGACCCTGAGTTGCATGTCTTATGTGATCATTTCTTGCATCGTCTTTCTTTACGATGCTGAACATCGAAGTATCAGCCCCTTTGACCAGTACTTTAACATCATTATTTGGGAATCTGATAACAACAGACATTCTTTTACGTACACTATCAAACTCATGCAGACCCAGAACATCCAACCTGCACTATCCATAAAATTATAAGTTAAAACGGCAGATTACATAAACAAATCTAAAGGGGAATGCCGTAAAGAAAAGGGTAAATTTTGACAATATTAGCTACAAATTTAAACATTTACGGGGAAAAAAACTCAAGGTCAAGGGAAGGAATCAATCAGAAGCTTTCTAGGAGTGTTTCTCTTTTCTCCTTTAAAGAATTGACCATCACATGGCATGCATATTGTACCAACCACCAAGAACTATTATTTGTGCTGGCTACTTGCTATGCACAAGCATGACTTTTCCAGTGCAATAATCCATACGACTAAATCTATTAACAGTACAATCTTAGAGACTTCAATTTTTCTGAGTAAAACAAATTTAAATCATCCTATCAAGAACGAGAGAGGCAGAGAAAGCTTTGATTTGGCTCTAAACCTAGTCTCCCAGCAGAGATAATCTATTTGCAAGCATGACTTTTTCTATCCAATAATCTGGAGGACTAAATTCTATGAACAAATACAATCTCAGAGACTTCATTTGAAGAAGTAACACCAATATCAATCATCCTATCAAGACCGGGAACTGCAGAGACAGCTTTGATCTAATGCCAAACCTGGTGATAATCTCTGTTACCCCATTACCCGGTCCCATCTCAGCTATCTCTTTTCCATGCCATCATCCTAAGAGTAATCATGGCATTCTAAAGAAAAGTAATTAACATATTTAGTAGTCAAAAGCAATGTTAACAAGAAACCTGCATTTAGAAAGCTCTCTACCTTAATTTCTCACCATTGACATCAATCACAATATGCCCGGATGTCCTCTCAAAAAGAGTGTAACCATATGTAGAAGCAGCAGCAACCAGAGCTTGTTCATCAGGTGATTCACCCTGATATTCAATGGCAACAGCACCATCACATCCCACATCCCCTGAAGACGTGCTCGTATGAGGGATAATAGGAATGACAGTATTGCACGCGGCTAGCGTTAAGAAAAATTCATGCGCAAGTGTTCTTTCCTCGCTAGGCACCTCTTTCAGTAACAACTGCATTAGTTCAATATCAGCAGCAATTTCTGATTTCAGCTTCCACCTTCTTTGTGGAGCATCTCCTTTCAGTTCCGCTGCATTTTAAGTAAACATCAAGTAAGCATAATGGTTCCTATAATAATCCTACCAAATTACACACAATTCTCTTCCACACAAGTGTCAAACCATAAATTAACCAAAACAAAATCCTGTTGTAGACCTAATCATTCGCTTCCTAAGATTTAATGGGAAAAAGTAACTAGAGGAATAGTCAAACAAACCAAAAAGTACAGTCTCCTCCAACCGGAAAATAAAAGCACGATAGGTACACACATGCGCCACTTATTGCTTTTTAAGTCTAGTAACACTTAGTTAATCAAGAATATATTTAGTTGTACCAAGTAAACAAGTCCAGGAACATCAATGTCTTTCATAAGTGTAAAGAGCTATCTAATCTCAATCTAGAACTTTTTGAACAGAAATAAACAGGAAATCTTGAAAACATAGAAAGAAAATCTACAAAAGATATAATCAGACATGCATGTTGGTTAAGATTCTCCAAAATGTACTAGAGTGTGCAGCGGTTAGTCATACCTCCGACAACCGTTTCCTCCAAAACCTCAGTTGCGGACATGGCCTTGCCATAACTTCTTCCACACACACTTGCCCTTCTAAATTCCATCTTATTTTCAGTCAGTGTTCCAGTCTTGTCAGAAAACACATAACGTATCTGGCCCAAGTCCTCATTAATATTTAAGGACCTGCATTGAAACCTCGAGCCCGAGCTACTATCATACATATGCCTATCTCCGATCATGAAATACGACTGTCCTAACCTGACCAGTTCCATGGTGATGTATAATGATATTGGTATCATTATCTGGAAAACAATTATAGAACTCAGAAAGGAGAAGAAGACCTCCATTGGTATCCCATAAAACTTGTACCGCTTGCCAGGGACCTTTCCGACACCAGAATAAGTTTTCCGGAAATAAGGCAATGTATCAAGCTGGTCCTCATGCCGCTTAAGCCAAAGACCCATTCCCAATGCTACAACTGAGCACATGGCCAACAGAAACACAGACAACCATAATGTCTCCCTATTCATGTAGGCCTCCAACCGACTCCGTTTAGACGGAGATGCCGCACTATTTAGCATAGCTTTAGTTTCCTGTCCGGCATAAACTATCACACCAATTGCCCAATCCGTGTTCTTCAGCTGACAACCACGTAATATGATGTTAGATTGGCTCAATGGAAACCTGTGCCCTTTTATTTCCATGTTGGCAGTGAACTCGTAGATATTCCTGTTTGGTTGTTCACATCTAATCACCCCCGAAATAGTGCTTCCTTCAAGGACAAACCTATTTGTTTCTTGCCTAGCATACCTTGTTTTTAAGTTGGACTCACCATCCAAGTTCATAGTTTGTATGTAAGCAATTCCACTAGGATCACTAGTCCCAAGTAACACTATATCACATGGAATGGTCTCATCGGCAAGGATCTTCACCACCTCACCAGCCTGCATCTTTTTCCATCTCTTGAGTTGATATTCCCCATCTTGGAGCACTAGACTCTCCCGATTATTTTCATTTCTGTCCGATCTGTGCCTTCGCCAGTCCTCGTAACCATCTTTAATAGCAGTCACGGAAAGCACAAAAAGGAGAGGGAAAAGAGACACTGTTCTTCCAAAGACTGCAAGAGGAGGAAGCTGGTTGAGGGCAGCAATGGCTAAGAAGTACAAGTACGCAACCCGGTGGAACTGAATAAAGATGTTCTTGGGCAAAAAGTTTAAAATCGTGTATTTGCTGGTTCGGATCTCATTACCCGAAAAGTCAAACTTATCATTAGTCTTCTTCGGATCATTTATGTGGATCAACCTGGGGTTATCTTCATGCAGTAACTCATCTTCCAATTGCATGCTCTTGTGTCTGACCCTCTGAGATTTATTCAACTTATCCTGAACCCGAGATGAAGCCCCGGCTGATGAAGTCTGTGCTTGCATCCGGGCTTTAGAAACTTCAAAGGAAACAATATCATGGTGAGGATCCATGACTCCACCCCACGATACCAGGCGTTTCCTCTCTCTTGGAGGACATTCCAGTCGAAATTCCTGGTGGAACCGAAGCTCGGCAGAATGGAACCCCTTGCCCCGCTGCTTAACAAAAGCTGGGCCAGAAGTAATGTTATGGGGAAAGCTATTTGCAACTGTGGTGGCAGCCCTAGGGGGTATACGATAGTCTAAGCTTTCAAACTCTTCTTCTTCTGCCAAAGGATACAAACTATCTTCTGTTGTATGAGTAGAAACCAAAGGAGGAGTGGCTGATAATGTGATACTGTCACTGTTATCACTGAAATTCGAACAAGAGTATAGGCTTGACTGCTCAGACGAAGATAGCAATGGTTTGGCCGAAGTCATAAATAGTGATCCTCCGACCACGAAACATTGGAATCCCGCTTTTATAAACCAAATCTAGAGCTCTAACAAACAGACCACCACGCAAAGTGTCATCTTACCTGTTCCCATACGGTAATTTTGCTGATGAAGTAGCCATCAATTATCAGTAAAGGAATATCCATAAAGTAGTATCATTCATCCGAGGCATACTCTGGCTTATTTCTCAATTTTACAAAGTAGCAGCCAAACAATTCATGTTCCCTCAATCAATCAGAACTGTATCCTGCCAATTTTCATCTGACAGTTCTATCAAAACCAGAAACCAAACTGAGAAGAGGAAGAAAAAGAGATAATAAGAAAAAGCTTTTCCTTCTTGTAATTTTCTTATTAGGGTTTTTAGCAGGTAAACACGGAGCAAAACAAAACAGCGGAAGGAGGTGTGTACCTGAGAAGAAAAGGATCCTCCTATCCGATGTAGCGAATTCCAAAAAGCTCACTGCGCAGCCAGCCAACGAGGGAGACAATGGGCAAAAAAGATTTGATTCATAAGTAATGAAAATTGAAGAGGAAATAAGAAATTAAAAAGAAGGAATTAAAAAAAAAATAAAAAAATCATAGCAATTGAAGGAAGGCAGCCAATCATTGAACAATGCAGACGGGAAAATCCAAGCTAAACAGACAAAAGTAGGATAGAAATAGATCAGAGATGAGAATGGAGCCACCAAACAAACCCTTTGCAAAAGTTCAGAAACCAACCCATATCAGAATCAGAATGACAAAGATAAAGAGAAAAGAGAAGGGTCCTTATCGCCTCGAAATCGATGAATCAATCAATCAATTTCATCAGAAAAATAAATGATTTAACGAAAAAAAAAAGACAGGAAAATCTAGATCGCCGAAAGTCTGAAATATAATTTTTTTTTCTTTTAAAAAAGAATTATTGTACGGTAGAATACAAGGGGGAAAAAAAAGCATACGTAGATCTGGGACAATGTGGATGAGACGCAGGAATTAGTTGAAGTTGGAAGCCTCCTCTTCCTTTTCTCCCCCTCTGCTAATTTTTTCCTTATAATCAATCTCTATCTATCGGGAGCAGCATTCAATGTGGGAAAAACTGGTGTCCTTGATTGTCGAAAATGATAACAAATGAATTAAATTACAGGATATTTTTTAAATAATAAAATAAATGGGATTGATTATTGTTATTATTAGTAGAAGTAGCAGTAGTGTTATAATCTCAGAAATTCTCAGAATTGAGTTTGGTAGATTGTTGAAGAAGAAGAAGAAGAAGAAGAAGAATGGAACGGAATGAGAGATGAGAGAGAAAGACCAGAGGGAGGAAAGGAAGGGGATCGGTCGATCGTTCGTCGGTGTTTTTCTTTTTTCTTTTTTCTTTTTCTTTTTTTTTCCCTTCTAGTGCGTGTGTGCGTGTGTGTGTGTGTGTGTGAGTATGAGAGAGAGAGGAAAGAATTTGAGAACTCTCTCCTCCTCGTCGACTCAGCGAAGAAACAAAAAGATGGAAACGATTTGGATCGAAGACCACGACATTATTAATGTCTCCCGCTTTCATTAAAAAAATCAAGTTACACTGTAAAAATATCAGGTAGAAAAAATTATTTACCTAGGTTAAATCATTAAATCATACCCATTCATTTTAAGTTTGAGTGTTGTTATTGCCAAAACAATAACTAATATCCAAAACAAATTGTTATCTTTCTTGCAAAATTGTTCTTGCCCTTATCGAATATTACTTCCTCCTTCCCCGCCCTTGCAAACGTCATAAAGGACTGCAATATATTACATATACCATACAAAGACTTGGAATTATTAAAGCTTAAATGAATTATTAAAAGAAGTAATTGTCACATAAGATAGAATGACAAAAATTATACAATCGTACATATGTTCCTGTAACTACCCCTAGACCAATTAATGTATAGAGCACCCGGATTTCCCTAACTAGGGAGCTCCAGGTTTAACAGCACGCGCAGCCCACTTTCTTCATAATTACAAAAATGCCACCGGCCAATTCGGTCTACGCCCCTAGGTAGAAAATATAAATAGACGGGTTTTATTTTTAAACACGAAAAATTTCACAAATTCCAGCGTCCGCCTCGTATCCTCCGTCAGGTGATTTTTCTCTCCAGATCTCCGTCCGGCGATTTCTTTCGGTGAATTTCAACAAAATTCACGAATCTCCACCAGGAATCTACTACAAGTCTCTCTATTGTCATTCGGAAGTGCATTTAAGACGTTTATCTGGTGAATTTTGGAAGAAAATCGGTTTCAAATTTCATATCTGAGAGTGAATTTGGTTCTAAACACTGCAATTCTTCTTCATTTTGAAATCTAGTTATCACAGTAAGGACTCGCTTATGTTAAGATAAACATTTGTTATTTTAGATCTAATTTTTTCAATAACTAGAATTTTGAATTGTGAATTTATGTCATTCGAGCTTTTTCATGAGTTTTTTTATGTTCATCTGCCGATTCTTACAGCATAATGGTGAGACCAGGACCATAAAAAATATCCACGCCAAAGACTACACCAGAGCCTAGCCAACCGTCATTATCAGGCTCAAGCGCAAATGACCGGTATTGTTCATCCTAAGTAAATTCTTTTGAAATTCAGATATTCATTTCATAGATCTGATAGCGTGAGATAATTCCTGAGACTCAGTTGTTCATTATATGGATGTGATTATTCATCCTATTTGCTTTGATGTTCATCATGTATGCTTTGATGCTCATCCTATATGATTCGATGCTCATCTTGACAGAGAATGTTAAGTTGTTCATCTTGTATGCTCTGATGCTCATCTTGACAAAGAATGTTAGGTTACTCATCTTGACAGAAAATGTTAGGTTACTCCATCCTGTATGCTTTGATAATCGTCTTGACAGAGAATGTTAGGTTACTCATCCTGTATGATTTGATGCTCATCCTGTATGCTGATGTTGATTTTGTTTGATGTATGGAAAAGAATTCAAAAGGTATGTTTCAATGTTTTGAAAAGGTTGCTGTATTGTTTTTGTGGTTGCTCATCCTGTATGCTTCAGTGCTCGTCCTGACCAGAGAATGTTAGGTTGTTCATCCTGTGTGCTTTGATTCTCATCTTGACGGAGAATGTTAGGTTGTTCATCCTGCATGCTTTGATGCTCATCCTATATGTTTTGATGTTGATTTATGGATATATGTTCACTGCCTATCACTAAATGTTCATTGTGAAACTGTTGATTTTCATCCTGTGAGAGTCTTGTTCATTTGTTATGAGTTATTGCTCATCCGGTGAAGCTCGGTTGTTCATTTTATAGATGAGAATATTTTTATTCATCTCATATTACTGTAAATGCTGTCATGCAACAGAGATCGATATAAGAGTGCGAAGAGAAACAATACAGACAAGAGTCTCCCTTCCACACAACCCATTAAAGGGTACAACAGTTCATCCTATGTGACTCAGCTGTTCATTTAAACTTTGTTGTATTGATTGTGTGGTTGCTCATCTTGTATGCTTTAATACTCATCATGTATGTTTCGATGCTCATCCTGTATGCTTTGATGCTCATTTTGGCAGAGAATGTTTGGTTGTTCATCCTGCATGTTTTAATGCTCATCCTGTATGCTGATGTTGATTTTGTTTGATTATTAGGAATTGGATCTTGGAACCTATGCTTAACAGGATGGGGCTCCTTATTTTTGACCTGGGCTAGTTGTTTGAGGAAGTCAGTCAAAATGACATAGATGGACACAAGATGTTCTACAAATTCTTCAACGACTATGCCGATGCCTTGAAGAGAATGGCAGCTCGTGCAGAGACAAAAGCTGAAGATCAGGAAGTAAACTCAGCTCCCGCTGAGAGAAAACAGAAGGAAAAAAAAGATGGCTCTCAAATACCCAGGTATAATAAGGCACCAAACCCAAAAGAATGGGGTTTTGACACTGAAATGTAGATGGAAAAATGGTGGAATTCTCCGAAAATGTTTGTAGCTACAATGTAAATTAAACTAGAGATGAAATGTTTGAAATGCCTTTGATCAGATTATATATGTTGAGAAGTGCACAATCGTTTGGATTCCATCCTCATTGTGTATCTTGATTAATCGAATTATTTCTTTTCAGTTGTTCATTGCACCAATTTAAATGTGCATTCTGTTATACTGCAATGTTCATCTTAGAGTCATAGTCCTTATTTGTCAAAAGTCCTGTAAGATCATCTGGTTAAACTACAATGTTCATCCTGTGAACTACATTGTTCATCTGATTAAACTACAATGTTCATCATGTAAAACACAATGTTCATTTTGCGAGATTTACTGTGTTTTTGTTGAAATTTTCTTGGAAACTATGGTATAATGACCAAAATTTACAGATCTGAACTTCTGGATTCGCCAGGCAAAGGATTCAAGTTAACAGAGATTCGCCGAACGAAATTTTTGAAAATTTTGGAGGAGATGTAACAGGTATAAGAATCTCAACGGCGGAGGATTAAAGAGAATATTGTTTCCAAAAAGGAAGAAGGATAGAAAAAGGGGGAGGAGGAAATGATGCGCGTGAAAACTAAATATTTAACTCGACTTTGTGTTTGTGTATTGCATGCGCCCGTCCCGGATCTCCCTAACTTGAGAGCTCCGGGTACCCCATATAATTTGCGACCCCCATACCCTAACATGTGAAGAATATAACCTTTAGCTAACTTGTGGTCCGAAGATTAGTTTTCAGTTTCTCAAATATATCCATACGTGTTTATGAAAAATGAACAAACTAAAATTCCATCCTTCAAATTATATAGGCGGAACTCAAATTACAGCCAAAGTAGTCATAACCTCCATTTCCTACAATAACACAATCATACTTGTCCCAAACTATAAAAAACAAATCTCTGAAAAAACAACAAAAATCTAATTGATATTATCTCAACCTCAACAGTTTTATTGTTGATTCCCCCTCATTAGATTGCGCATATCAAATTGTGCAAAGAAAATATTTATCAGACAAGAGATCGGATACAATTTAGTTTTTATTATGAGTAATGATTCTTGGTCACTCTAGATTAATGATGAACACGTTGATAATATGTATCAGATAGATGAGAGTTGATAAATTAGACGAGAGAACGATGTGGAAAGAAGAAGTTATGTTTGATGTTGTTAGAAACAATTTAGGAAGAAAAATAACAATTTGTTTTGGATCCTAAATATTGTTTTGATAATAACAACCTCCTTTTTTTTTCATTTGGGTATATGCATCGATTTATTTAGAAGGATCACTATAAAAATTTAGGAGAATATTTTAAACGATATGAAATCATGAATCAACAAAAAAAAAAAAAGAACAATAAGTAACAATGGATGATTTCGAAAATTGAAAATTATTCCAAATGTACTTAAACGCTCTTGCTAACAGGAAGTTTTCTCATTACTTTTTTACATAAACTTATCTTTGTTTTCCGTCTTTCTATGTACCTTGTATAATGTTTCCTCAGAAGTATGTTCGTATATTTTTTCTATAATGTAGTACTTACATTTTTTTTTTTCTAAATTGCATAATTTTCACCTTTTTGTATATATCTTAAACATAATCAACACATAACTAAGTTAATACATATCCAGCAATGAAAAGATATATTATTTGGCAACATCATTTCATTATAAGTTTTTTCTCATATGATTTGATGCCCCTATGGTTTTCATTTGTGTTTTTAATTAGGGTTTTTCACTAAGATGTGCATATATTGATACTAATAACAAACCCAATATATGTCTATAGTAAAAAGTTTTTAGACTCATTTTTTTATAATGTTGTGGCAATTTGCTTTGTGGTTTTATATAAAATTACATGAAAATTTGGCTCGGCAATGACATCATTATACGGAAAAAAACTGTCCAAAAAATTACTCGAACAATTTATAAAATATACTTAATTTATTTTGGAAAAAAAGAGAGGAAAAACAAACAAAAAAAATAAATCCAAAAGTGGCCGAGTAACGGAGTACATTAGGCTTCTAGCTGGAGGATATGAGAGATAACAAAGGAGAAAGCGAGAGAAACCATTAATAGTTTCATGATTATAACTTAGTATATGGATATAGTCCTGTATAAACACAAAATAAATTACCCTTGTAAGCGAATCACGAATTAAAATACAAAGTTTAATTGTCATTCAATTTCTTTTTCTTCTTTAATGTTTACCCGTTAAAGTTCTGATTAACTCCTAGTTAATTTAATACTTTGATTATAAATATGGAGTATTAATCGGGTAAACTTAGTTATTATTTATAAATTTTACAGATTTGTAAATAAAAAATTATCATTAAATGATGGAGTGATGTGCTTGCGACATGTGGACTTGGGTATCTAATTTACGTCACGTGGATTAGCTTATCTAATATCGTGACATGTGTTTGATTGAAAACTCTCATTTAATATATCAAAGATATATTATAGGTTCGTGAAATAATTTAAATTATTATTATGAGCATGTCATTTTTTGTAATTTATTTCTTGTACATATCGTTATTTTGTATGTTTTTAACTGGTCAATATCTTTATTTGTTTATTTAAATTCATACACACAACACATCAAAAATTTATCTCATTTCACTATACGTAATATAATTTAAATAATAAATTATTTTTCCGTGTTTTCTTTTATGGAACGGAAAAATTATTATTCTTTTTTGACTTTTGAGATTTGTAATGCTTCTAACATAAATTTCAAATCTCAAAATAAACTGAAGTAGTATTTTTTTTTAGACAGAATATATATATGTGTGTGTGTGTGTGTGTATATATATTTATTTATTTATTTTACAATATGCAAATGCAAGATATTGGGAGTGGCTTATTTTGGATAGAAGCACAACATTTTAGATATTTTGGATAGAAGCCCAACATTTATTTGTCTTGGCGAACATGGCATTCTGATGGAAATGAGGAGTACTACTAGATCAAAGTTGTGAAGCGGTAACAAACTGTGGAAATCTCCCACATAAAACGTCTCGACAATGACCAGCCGCCAATTCATTTGCCAATTTAGTTTCGTTCGTGCCCCATACACACATTTTGTCAATATGATCAATACAATGTTAGAAAATTTGCACTAGATTGTTCTAACTTAACTCACACCCGATGAGTTACTTTTGTGATCTGAACTTCGATTTCTCAATATTTATAAAAAAAGTTGTAAAGCGGACGACAAAGTGGTAAACCAAATCCCGAAAACAAAATGAGGAAGCCGACAGTTTAGATTGTTGTTTTGGTTTGTATTTTGTGTTTTGAATTGGTTGGTATATTTATATTTTAAATAAATGTTTGAGATGAATTTTGACACAAAAATTTGGAAATTATAAACATTTTATCAGATCATATAAATTTAAAAAATAGCGAAAAATTGACAATTTATTTATTGGTTTTTTTGATGAATCATTATTCATTAGCGAATCACTTTTGACGGGCATCAGAGTGTGTGGGTCGGTTGAAAAAGAATTCGTACTTACGCTAAAGAAAATTGATCCAGAAAACAAGTTTTGGATCAACAAATGTTGTTGGCCATTTATTAAAGATTCGAAATAAAGTCCAAATTAGAACTCGAGTGCGGGAGCGCGTTGGTGTAGAGCAGTTGTTGTCCATACTCGGCTCGGAGCTCGACTTGGAATGGCCAGGGGTCGGGCGACTCGGGGGGTCAATTCGTCTTGACTCGGGGAGTCGACTCGAAAAACGTCATTATTATTAAATAAATAATATTTAGTTATTTAATATGTTTAAAATTTAAAAAACTCATATTTTATACCTCTATCCTATTGTAAAAGTTGATATTCATATTTTATAGTAATTGATAACAATTTTTTTGTGTGAATGAAGTGAGTATTCAAATGGAGTAATAATAATATATAAATAATAATTTTTTTAAAAAAATATTAAATATACAAGATAATTGGCTTTTAAAATTAAGAAAAATGCAATAAAAATTAGTTTCGACATATTTGGGTTAGAGTTTAAATTTGTTTTAATGATTGGAATTAGTTTGTAAAACGAAATAATAAAAAAATTAAAATAGTGTGTTAAGTAGCTGAAAGTAAAAATTAGGGACTAAAACAACACATTGAAACTTTAAAAGAAGGAAATATTAAAAGTTATGAGGTCAAATTTTGAACAAAAGAAAAAATCTGATCTTGAAAAATATGGACATTTATGGGAAAAAGGTGAAAATTTGGGCTAAAGAGAAAGGAAATGGAAACTCCGGGTCGACCCGGATTGGACCAATTCCAGGTTCGACCGGAGTTTTGACTGCTTTAGATCGAGTCATATAGTACACCGATTTTCTGCTGTCGGCTCGAACCAAGTCCCGATTCCCGGTTAATCGGTGCGACCGGACGGTTCGAGCCGAGTTTAACAAATGTAAGTCTGTAGGTTGCCGCCAGGCGCCAGCTATTAATTTTTTTTGGATGTGTTGACCTATTTCTGGTTTTGATTTGGCGGGGTAATTGAGGTCCCACAGAGAACGTGATTGATTGATTGAGCGGCTGATAAAATGGGTAAGGCTGCCTAAAATATAATCCATGTTTGGAAATTATTGTGAATTTGTAGTGAAAAATGTAGGGGAAAAATGAATAATAATAATTTTATAAACAGAGAGTATATATACGAAAAGAGGGGAAAAAATGTAATTAGTACTAATAGTATTAATAATTTCAGGAAATAGGTAACACTGCTTAAATCTGTGCGTCTAATTTCATTTCTAATTATGTCTGAATTTTTAAACAATTATTTTATTTATTATATTTTTTTTAAAAAAAGTCATGAGAAATGAATGGCTTTTTTGCCTTTTTGTTTTGACACCGACGGAGAAGGTAGATTAAGATACATTAGTAGTATGTAATCCAACCTTATCACAGCTCACGCTTTAGATTCCCATACATTCATTCCTCCAAATGTTAGCTCTACAAAATCTGAGAACTTCATCGTTACAAGTTATCATCATTATAAAAAAAAGGAAAAGGAAAATTCAAAAAATAATGAAACCCTAAAAGCCCCAAATAATAATATAATACTCCCTCCGTCTCATAATTATAATCCAGTTTGAATTTTCATTTCTAGTTCAAAATATATTAAAAGTAAAATCGACAATAATTTTGGGACATGGATAGTAATAATAAATAAAATTTGATCATTTTTTATCATAAAAATACTAATAAATTTGATAAAGAAGGAGGGAGATTTTGGTGTGTCAGTCTGGAGCATCGCTGGTAAGTGGGGGGTCCCAACTCACCGCGTTTCGCCTCTTCTCTTCCGTCTGTCTCAACTGAATTCTCTCTCTCTCTCTATCTCTCTCTCTCTCCATCTCTCTCTTAAAAAAAGATTAAAAATTAGTTATTTAGAGTAGTATTAATTAATTATAAGCTCTACCATAATGGAAACAAAAGAAACAAAATTGATGATTCTTCTGAAAAAATAGAAAAAAAAGAAAGGAAAGGTGGAAGGAAGGGAGGAAGGAGGAAGAGAGAAGAGGAAGGCGCGTTGTGAGTAGTAGACCTTCTTAGTACAATATTTTACAACTAATTTTGTTTGATTTAGTGTTCTTCATGTTTGGTTTGTCACCGCAGAACCTAATCTCTCTCTCTCTCTCTAGATTATAGATTGATGCTGAAGAAGAACAATAAGCCGTCAAGGAACCCCCAGTCCCCTGAATTCAACTCTTGGGATTCAGCATTTCATTTCTTACCCACGAAGCTGGGCCTGAGCTGCGAGCTGCGAGCTGCTCTTCAATTTCCTCTACCCCGCCCTTGCTTCTTTATCCCACCCAACCTACTTCTTCTTTGGATCTGTGCATTCTAGGTATCATCATCTTTCAATAAAATTTCTTCGTCTTTTATTGTTAAATTAGTAGTATTATTTTCGCTTTAGTTAGTGAGGTAGCTAACTGCTGCTGTATCTGCCCTAGACAACCGCTGCTAGATTTAAGTTCCTCACCGGATCTCTGTTTTCCTCCCTCACATGATTTTGTTTCCTTTGTTGCAATCATCCTTTTTTACTTATTTTTATTCCCTTTTTGCTCTTACGTTGTTTGTTATCTGCTGTTGATGAGTTGTTTTTTTTTTTCCTTTTAATATAATTTTTACTATTTCAGTTTGTATGTTAGGATGATGTTGTGATCAAGCATTTAAGTTTCTTACTTTTAACTCATTTTCCCCCTATATGTTTACCCCAGATACTATATTTATCAGACTGGAATTTTCTTCAAGCTTTGGATATGAACAAGCCGCCTCCTGTTTTGCTTTTGGTCTTCAATTTTCTTCCACTTCTCCTGCTGCTTGGGTTTTCAGCCCATCACCTGGTTCCAGTTTTAGGAGACAATTATGTTCCCACTGATAAAATCCTACTGAGTTGTGGTGGTCCACCCGAGTCCACCGATTCTGATGGCCGCAAATGGTACTCCGACACTGGCTCCAAGTTTGCCTTGTCCATTTCCAGGACTTCTACTTCTCCTGCTGCCCTTCAGAAGCCATCTGTCCCAACCGTGCCTTACATGAATGCTCGTATCTTCACTTCTCCATTTACTTACACTTTCCCTGTTGCCCCCGGTCGGAAGTTCATTCGCTTATATTTCTACCCGGCATCTTACAACAACCTTACCGCCTCCAATGCCGTATTCTCAGTCACTGCTGGCCCCTTTCAGCTCATGAAGAACTTTAGTGCCGAGCAGACTACTGAGGCCTTGAATTATGATTACATCACCAAGGAGTTCTCTGTCTATGTTCCGTCCGAAGTCTTGAATTTGACTTTCACTCCATCTTCTTCTCCTGCCGACGCCTATGCGTTTGTTAACGGCATTGAGGTTGTTTCGCACCCGGATATATACAGTACTCTAAATACCAATACCCCCATTGTCGGCCAAGCCGGTACATCATTCGATTTTGGCAACAACACAGCTCTGGAGAATTTATACCGTCTGAATGTAGGCGGGAATGCCATTTCTCCATCTTCCGACACTGGCCTTTTCAGGTCGTGGAACATCGACTCTCCTTACATCTTTGGTGCTGCAACAGGTGTCACCAACGTGGCTGATCCGAATGTTACTATCACTTATCCTGCCGGAACACCATCTTTTGTTGCCCCGCTTGATGTCTACAGCACGTTCAGAACGATGGGGCCGGATTCAAATGTGAACAAGAATTACAATCTCACTTGGATTTTCTCTGTGGATTCTGGATTCTTCTATCTTGTTCGTCTCCATTTCTGCGAGGGCTTTCAGAATATATCCTTGATTCATCAGAGGGAGTTTAAGATCTTCCTCTATAATCGAACTGCTCAGCCCGATGCTGATGTGATTGCTTGGGGAGTAACGAATGGGAAAGCGCTTCACAAAGATTACGTGGTTTTCGTACCCAGTACCGGCGGCGCGCAACCGCAGCAAGATATGTGGCTTGCATTGACTCCAAATACTGAGTCTAAGCCTTATATTTATGATGCAATCTTGAATGGACTAGAGATATTCAAAATCAATGACACAAGCGGGAATCTTGGCGGCCCCAACCCGATCCCTGCTCCCATTCCACCAGCTGAATCTTCTGAATCATCTGCTCACTCGAAAAATCACTCAGCCATCATTGGCGGAGGTGTTGGAGGTGGCATTGCTGCTGTGCTTCTTGTTGGCGGCTTACTTGTGTGTCTTGTTTCCCGCAGCCGCCAAAAGCACAAAAAGGACTCCAGTACCAGTGACGGATGGCTCCCTCTTTCCTTGTATGGAAACTCGCATTCTTCTGCCTCGGCAAAGACAAACACTACAGGGACTGGGAGCTATGCTTCCTCGCTCCCTTCTAACCTCTGTCGCCACTTTTCATTTGCTGAAATCAAGGCTGCCACCAAGAACTTTGACGAGGCGCTTGTTCTTGGTGTGGGAGGTTTTGGCAAAGTGTACAGGGGTGAAATTGATGGTGGAACAAAAGTTGCGATCAAGCGCGGGAATCCACTCTCTGAGCAAGGTGTTCATGAATTCCAAACTGAGATTGAAATGCTCTCAAAGCTTCGCCACAGGCACCTAGTGTCACTGATCGGTTATTGTGAAGAAAACTGCGAGATGATCCTTGTTTACGACTACATGGCTCATGGAACTCTCCGCGAGCACCTATACAAAACACAAAAGCCTCCACTGCCCTGGAAGCAAAGGCTGGAGATTGGTATTGGTGCTGCTCGAGGTTTGCATTACCTTCACACTGGAGCCAAGCACACCATCATTCACCGTGATGTGAAGACAACTAATATCCTTTTGGATGAGAAATGGGTGGCAAAGGTTTCGGACTTTGGATTGTCGAAAACAGGCCCTACATTGGATCACACACATGTGAGCACTGTTGTGAAGGGCAGTTTTGGTTATCTAGACCCTGAGTACTTCAGGCGCCAGCAGCTCACTGATAAGTCCGATGTTTACTCATTCGGGGTGGTGCTCTTTGAGATCTTGTGCGCTCGCCCAGCCTTAAATCCTACACTCCCCAAAGAACAAGTCAGCTTGGCCGAATGGGCATTTCACTGCTACAAAAAGGGTATTCTTGACCAGATCATGGATCCTTATCTGAAAGGAAAGATTGCACCTGAATGCTTCAAGAAAGTAGCCGAAACGGCAGTTAAATGTGTCGCTGACGTTGGAATTGACAGGCCTTCAATGGGAGATGTGCTTTGGAACTTGGAGTTTGCATTGCAGCTTCAAGAGAGTGCCGAGGAGAGCGGGAAAGGCCTTGGAATGGGAAGTGTAGATGACCTGGAACATGGACCCTTTGTCGATGATGACACATGTAAAAAAGGGAAGAAAGATCCAAATGCAGTTGATGAGAGTAGTGGTAACATGGAGGATTCGAGAAGTACCGGGATTTCAATGAGCATTGGTGGTCAGAGTCTGGCAAGTGAAGACTCAGAGGGTTTGACTCCAAGTGCTGTTTTCTCTCAGATTATGAACCCTAAAGGTCGTTGAAAAAGTGCAGAGCTGGTTTGTTTTTGAGGTTTAACTATTTTAACTTTTAAAGAACACAAGAAGAAATCTGTAAACTTAATTTTTGAATGTATTCAATTGTTTCTTTCCTTCCTGCTGCTGGTGCTGTCATTTTAGTAACATTATAAAAGATTTAAGAGTAGAGATATATCTATAATATAATATATAGTATAATTATTGTCATTACACAAACGAGTAGTTGTAGTGTTTGGTTGTTTTCATCTCTATGTGCCTTTTGGGGACAAATGCACAATTGTGTTGGAATAGGTCGAGCAGGCTGTATTAAGTTTCTATGTATCACGAACTTCCAACCAAAAAAAAAAAGTAAAAGAATATGAAACTTGCAAGTTTTTGTACAAGGTTGGGAAATTGTGTATTAAACGTGTTATATTCGCGTTCAACGCTATTTATGTGTCACTTTTTGTGATTTAAGTTCATACCATGCTAAAAATTGTCAATTTTTTTACGATAGCAAATTGTAACTATAACACCCCCTCCCCGGGCTAGATCTTGGCCATTGTTTGGAGAAAATGTGATGACCTCTGCTCAAATTGAGGCTCCAAATTTTGTTTGACAAGAAGGAAATTATGATGGGAAGGAATATAATTAATTATACACATACAAATAAGAAGAAGTAACATGGTAGTATGTTGACAATTTGGCAAACAAACCAGAATAATTTTCTTCTTCCCAACTGGCAACACCAACTTTATTTTATTCCCATCCAAGTTGGTTGGCATTTTTCCTCCGGTTCATTCACGTTCTCACAGCCGCTTAGTTAGGTCATCATGCTAGCCCCCTCCTCACCTTGTTTCATGAAATAAAACAAATGGTATATCCAAGGCTACGAATATGAGGCAGTTTTACAGGGGGATCGATGGTAAGTTGCATCTGTCGCAACTCACAAGCAAAGCCAGTAAAGATGAATCCTCAATTATTCCCAGTTTTACATGTCCAATCCAATCATCGTGGCTGAATGGCTGTTCACTGGACTCTCTCACTAAACATATAAGATTACAAACAAAAGCCATACTCCTGTCAGGTGGACAACCAAAGGAAGCAACACAATGGAGAAGAGTCGAGTACGTATATTGAAGCCCAGCTGCTGCATCGCCTCGACTGAAATTTACCTGAATGAATTAAGTGGAAGCTACTACCAAATGTACAGTTTACATACATATCAACAGACTCTCTAGGGTACTACGGATAATGATGATCACCCAATGTCTGCCCATGATGGTATCAGTTGATGAAAAGACTATTTGTGCTGCGGAGCTGGACTCTCAGAATCTACTATTGAAGTGATCTTCTTCTGCAACTCTGGTTTGTTGGCACCAACCAGTTTGTCGATCTGCTGTCCATCCCTAAGGAAGAAGAAGGTTGGAGTTGCCTTTATGTCCCATGACGTGCTAAATTCCTGAATCGCCACCCATCAGAACAACCAAGATTAGACAACATGCACCAACGCAACATACGTGTATCAATCAGGTCCACATAGTAAATATTAGTTTCTACAGTCAACACAAAGGTGCTTAAAGGTTGAATTTGCTTACAGTAAGTTCATCTACATCAATAGTTAGAAACATCAGAGATGGATATTTCTCGGATAGCTCGCAATAGTATGGTGCAATCATTCTACAAGGTCCACACCACGAAGCGCTGAAATTCGCGATAACCTGGAATACAATTAGTACACATCAAGTGATAACAGAACTAACCGCTAAGGATACAGATACACTAGTAATGCCAAACAAAAAAGGAGAGAAACTTGATTCCGTAAACTTTTACATCCATTATCACAAGGTTGCAGGTGTTTTGCTTGTTGATACATTTAGTTCCAAATGGTAAAAAATTGGAGTCCACATGACTGTGAACAACCCATATTCAAGGATTAACCTCTTCCTGGCTAATCCTAAATCTAGGATTAGATCACTCATCAATATAATTTTAACTCTGTAATGATATCATTTGTCATTCTAAAGACTCTCGCGGTAGAGAGATGATATAATTACCCTGAAGTTTCAGATCCCAGCCCAGAGCAATGCCAAAAACTTAAGAGCAGTGCCAACAAAACAAGTGCAATGTGAAAATACTTAAAAGCAATGCCAGGAAAACAAGGCAAAAATATCTCTTTCCCCAAGATTTAAATGCACGAGGCAGGAAAAGGGGATTGTGCATAGAAATTGTAGATAAATTGAGTTACAATTTGATAGCTCTAGACTTGAATACATAAGGAAAGCTGCATCATAGGGAAAGATCTCATCATAAAACTGTATACTAGGCATAACTCTTAGACTCAAATAAAGACATTTTCCAGTGTCTATAACTCGATCATCAAGCTATGTGTATGCTTCCAGAGTTCTAAAAGCCTAAAAGGTAAAACCAAAAAGCCACTAACAATCCACTTTACATGTATTAGAAGCTAAATCTCCCTAAATTATCCAAAAATTCTACTGAAGACAGTAAGAAATGCAACATCTAATTAATAGAACCTCCTTAGGCCAAAAATGAATCGGTCAATGAGAAGAAGTGATAAATGGGTTTGTCCACGTCAAATTGTTATAAAAGTAACAAGAAAAACATCAAGTGAAAGGAACAAAGGTTTTGCATTTGTAGAGCTCACAATTTTGCCATCATTCTTAGCTTCTGTCAGTTTCTGATCCCAGCTTTCTTTTGTAGTAACGAGGTGTACGTTTCCACCAGCAAATTCCACATGGCGGACTGACTCATCTGTATCACTCCTTTTCTGAAAATGTTACGAAATAGAGCATTTACTTTTGTCAAAGTGAATGCTACAAACAAAATCCACACTGCCTTAAATGAAGAAATGGATATGCCTACAGTAAAGATATTAATGCTTTCAATGAAAGATATGCCTACAGTAAATCTGAGTTTTCAAGCATTTCATTTCATTTGAATGACTAACAATTAGATAATCTAATCCAATAAAACGGTAATACTCAACATCAATGAAAACACACAACCCCATTCCTCATTAACAAGACTTCCTGAAAGTGTGATCGGTGATTTGTGCTGTACTAACTGTTTCAGTCAAATAATCATCACTTCATAATTCTACAGAGCAACATTGCTGATTCAACATCCCTAATATTCCAGATACAACACCCATCAAGAAAAACAATATTTATACATGATCCGACACTAGCTTACGGCAAAGATTCATTCTTTACACATCCAGCCCAACTATAAAAAGCAAGGAACCGATTTTCATTATAAATCCAGCCCTACTTTATAGCAACGACTTATTAATCTTGATCTCTTTAGTACGGGAGCAAACTGAAAAAATATACATACTTAATCTAACCCAAACCTCCAAATGAGATGATCCCACTAAGTAAAATCTTATTCTTGGAGCTGCTAAAGAAACCCTAAACAAAATAGGTTAACAGCCAGCGAAAATCTATCGATGGACGCAATCACGGTTTTTTTTTTTTTTTTTTTGAAGGGGGAGGCAATTAGAATCTAAACATACCCTCAACTGTTTTCCCTTTCCTCAGGGAAGAATTGAATAGAGATAGTGAGAAAGAAGAACATACACACCTTAGAGAAGCAAATGCCCATTTTTTTGGGGGGGTTATATGTTAGCTGTGGAAATAAAAGACCTTTCCCAAGGTTCAAAAACAGGGGGGAAGAGATCAACGAGCAGGCGTCCTCCGCCTACCTCAAAGGGTGACAGAGTTGCAATGGGATTTTGAAACGAACGAGCAGAATTGCCAAATGAAATTTTTACCTCTAAAAGAGAAAAAGGAGAATAAAAGAGAACAAGAGAGAGAGAAAAGAAAAAGGAGGAACAAGGTGAAAGAAACAGAGAAGCCCCCCCCCCCAACCCCAGCTGCAGCAGTAGAAAATTTTAGACTGTGGTAACTTATTCGTTGTCAACTTGTCATTGATTGGAAAAATGCAAAAGCGTGTGGAATTGGAAATTTCCTTGAGGGCTGCTGCTTTGGTCCCTCAAATCAAATTTGGATTTGGAACCAAAAAAAACACTAGAGATTTTGGGCCTAAGACTGAAGTCATATTGTGTTATGGGCCGAAAGGTATTTGGTCCTTCCATTTTCAAAAAATCAGCTGAACATGGAGAAAATCAAAGCGTCTGTCTGTAAAAATAAAAAATAAATTAAAAAAAAAGTACTCTTAACTCTGGAAGAGGAAGAAATTGCTGTTACTTGACGTTTTTGAAGCAAAGTGACTCCAATGCCACCGCCCACGATCTTCAATTTGACGTGAAGCCCAGTTCTCTGATTTTCTTTTTCTTTTTTTTTTTCACAAAAACGTCAATAAGGCTTCAAGGAAAGCAGCATTGATTCAATATAGGTAAACTTTTTTCTTACAAATCTTTTTACGTTTTGATGTGAAATATTTTTGTGGTTTAATAATTTTTATGTCACGAGATGAATTGCAACGATGATGATGAGCTTATAGTTTATGTTTGAATTGAATCAGTTATTCGTTGTTTTGTGGGGGAGATGGATGGGAAGAATATATCACTGTGTGATATGCAAAAGAATAATAACAGTAAATAGGTCAGAATGAGGAAGAAGGAAATATGAGGAAGTATTCAAATATGTTAAGAATTTGAGGAAGAAGGATTGTTTTTTTTTTCTTTTTCTTTTTTCATTCCCCCCTCACCCCCCTCAATTATGTGCAGAGTGAAGAAAAGAACATGTTAATGGTACTGGAAATTATTGTAGATTACTATTTGCTTTCACAGCGACGAGCCAAAAGATGTGAAGTCTTCTGATTTTTTTTTTTCTCTTGCAGTCCACTTCCTGTGCTTTTGGAGCCTGCAACGGAAAGAATATGAATCGTTGTTAGAGCTTGGAAATCATGGAAGAAGATAAGAAGAAAAAGAAGAATAAGAAAAAGAAAAATAAGCAGAATGCTGCTAGGATTAATGATACTTCTCCCGCGGATGGCTCAGTTGTAGCAGCTTCCGTTACTCTAGGGAAGAATCAAAGTACTATCACAACCCAAGTGGATGCCGGTCCCGCACGGGATCTGCATCAGGATGCCTTGGTTGATCATCCTGAAGAGGATATGCAAGCTGTAAGTGTGATTTTCTCCAGATTGCAGTTGTTTTCCAATACAAATATTTGTTTTATCAGCTAAGAGTTAGTAACTTATGATTCTTTTATAGGTCATTCAAGAAGTAGGTAATCAAGAATCTCCATTGGATAAAGGTTTGAGCATGCAAAAAGAGGTATCCAAATTTAAATCAGTAGACTCTGGACAACTATGGCCTATTGCTGTTTAGCACCGCCTTTTCTAATGAAAAAGTTCTGTTTCCTTTTGGGGGAAATAAATTGGATAATACTTTTCCCTCTTTTTACCATATCAATTACAAGTAATTTTCTAGGTTACGCTGGCTGGAGTGCTGGAGCAACTTGGGGAATTGCAGAAGGAGAAGGAAGCACACATTCAACAGGGGGTATAGAAATCTGAATTTGATTTAGAATTGGACCATATCAGGTGTGTGTGTTTCCTTGGTTGTGTTAGCTTAGCCGTATATTTCTAACTATTCAATTTATACCAGGCCAGCCTACAAGAACAAATTTCACAGTTAGAAAAGGAGAAAGATGCCTACACGAATAAAGAGGTAGCAAATGGCTGGGCTGGGTCGGGCCATTAGACCATTCCCAATCTAATTTCTTTCTTGGTTTTTTATTTTTTTGCCTGTCGAAGATGCATACATTGGCTCCTTGGGAAGTTGATGAATAAAATTATGTGATAGGCTGATTTACAAAAAAAAATTGTCGAGCTAGAGATCGGAAAGGAAGCCCTTGTGCAGAAGGAGGTACCAACAAGTTTGAGAATACTTTTATATTTTGTAGGCGATTTTTTTATTTCTACATGACTGGGGTATCGCTCAAAACTTTGTTTATTTTGTTATGGTACTACATTCAGAGTCTTTTGGAGGTCAAAATTGGACAAATGCAGAAGGACCAGGAGTCTTGGTTTCACAAAGAGGTACAACAATAAAATACTAAAGAGCTTTGATGCCAGTTTTATTTTATGTTATTTTCTTTAACTTGCTATCTCATTGTCATATATCGCTAATGAAATAGTCCTACTTCTCACACTTGCTTTAAATATTTTAATGTATGTCCTTCCGGGACTATATCGAATTTTCCAGACTGTGTTTTCTTATAAAGTGCAGTTTGTTATCTAATAATTTAATTCCTCCCAGGCTCTCTTGGAAGAAAAGATTAACCGCCTGACGGACTTAGTTGCAACTGTGCGCTTGGAGAAGGTAAAATTTTTTTGTTATCCGGGATGACTCCCCACTTTTGTCTGCTCTCATCGAACAGTTTTCGTTTGCTTAGCTTCTTATGCATAAGAAATTTCGTTGCAGCATCTTACTCAGGTTGTCATTTCTAATGAATGCCAGGGGAGCTTGGAGGAATTGGTAAAGCAGTTTGAGAAAGAGCGAGATTCATGGATATTGCAGGAGGTATATCATTCGTGGGTTCTAAAGACTAGTGGCCATCACAGAGCCTTTTGTTTTACTGATGGTTTATTTCTGCATGATCTTTTACGCGCTAGTTGTTTCTGAAGTTTATCTTTCGTGTTGTTGGTTGCTTTCTTCTCTATTTCTTTCAATTGATTGATTCCCTTTCTTGGCAATTTATTTTGTAAATGAAAAAAAGCAATCTTGTGGCTCCGAAATCCTATAGTGGGATAGGTGATTATGTTTGTTTCTCCACCTTAAAATTTGATTTTTTTCTTTTTTCTTGGGCAGAATCTTACCAAGGAAGTGATTTCTAGTCTAAATGGTGAGAATTCATGCTTTAAATCTCAGGTATGCAGCTTTACATAATCTGATGACAAGCTGCCTAATGGTAGATCATTTCAGCACGAGTTTTCTATTTTTCTTCGTTGCACATTTAAGGTATTATAACTTTGGAAATGCATGTAGCTAACAGACTAACATGTAATAAAGGGTCATTTCAGTTCTAGTGTTTGTATTATTATTCTGATTTAGATATTAAAAACAAAGCCTAACAGGTGGTCGAGCTAGAAGAATTGAGAAATAGTTTATTGCAAGAAAATCATCTCCTGAAGGAGACGATATCTGATTTGCAATCCCGGATTCTGAACTTAGAGAGAACTGTTGTATCTACTAGTTCATCTACTGAGATCAAGATTGTAAGTGCTTTGTGGATTTCTTTTTGTTATATTTCCACCTGCTTCTTCTAGTTCACCTATTAGTTGTTTCAAGGCAAGTTTTGTTTCATTCAAGTTTGCTTTTGGTTCAATGCAGCAGCATCCTATGGAAAATGGGGATGTATCAGCTCGATCTAAAGCTGCTAGCACATTGATTGAGAAGTCAATCGATGAAAGTTCTGAGCTTGTGGAAAAAGTGAGAATCATTTCCTTGAATATTCTTATCTTAGATCAATAGAAGGGCAAAATAAAAAATTTTAGATTGAGAAGCATTTCGGTGTTTTGAAACTTATTAATCCAATACCCACCTTTCCTCGTGATGCCCTGCACTGCAGCACAAGACTTGACAGTCTTAATTGATTGTTCTACTACTTATAGAATCTGATTTTCTTGTTTTGATGCCCTGTTACAGATGAATGAGTTGCAGGCTGAGCTTCACGATGAAAACCCGGAACCAGAATCATCTCCGACGGGTAATTTTGCTGGAGTGGAAGGATCTTTTGTGGTTGTTGATGGTTCGGTTGGAGGAGTGGTTGAGATGCATAAAGCTGATATGATTGATGCAAGCAGTGATAAGATAAACGGATTCGGTTTAATAGAGCAGACCTTCAGAAACGATGCAAATAATATTGTTCTATTTCCAGATTCTTCCAAATTTGACGAGTCATCATCTGATGAAATTGTGCAAATTCCATTGGATGAAATCAAAAGAGAGTCCATAACAGATCATGGGGTGCCTGATGTTGATGTTGAGAAGGATGAAGTTTCACTCACGGAGGCTCCATTGATTGGTGCTCCATTCCGTCTAATATCTTTTGTTGCTAGATACGTTAGTGGTGCTGATTTGGTGCAGAAAAATGCAGGTGGTTAAAATTTCCTAATTTGTCAGGGTTTTATAGAAGAATTGATAGAAGAGTCGTATACCAATAGTGACTTGTTAATCGCTCTGATGAACAAATCGCTTGTTAAAGTGTTGAAAGATCCATCTGCACCAATTTTTGGGTACATTCTCTTTTGGCTTCTTACAGGAAAATGAGATATTTAGACTTTTGGCTTCTTGACTTGTAACTGTCTTGTCTTCTTGCTTACAATTGAGATTTGTTGTAGAATAATATTTGAATTCAAAAATCTTGCAGAATATTTGATTCACATTACTGTCTGTCCATTCCTGTGTATATTACTGAGTACATGCAAACCTTAATTAGAAAAGAAGAATGGTTGTGGTTGTGGTCTCTTAGTATGGTTTCTTGACTATACAAACTGACATTTTATGGTCAATGACGAGAAGTTTTGGTTTGGTTTGTTTAGGCTGACATTTTTCTTTGTGGATGGTTCACATCTTGTCTCTGGAGTTGTTAATTCTCAATGACATCAGGTTGCAGCATTTCTTGAATCATCTTAAGGACCTGGGCCATCTTTGGCCTTGTCTCTGGCAACCTTGCCACACAAGCTAAGGCGATGTGCAGCATCTTTTCCATTTCTTCTTCAGTATTTTGATGATGAGGATGCTTCATCAGGTTGCTGTCAAAAACTGCTGCAGTCGATTCTTCTCTAAGAATGGATTGAACCCATCTCGGGAGATCTACCACAAGCACTTCTGCATATTGAATTGGTGGTTTTCCAGTGAGCATTTCAAGTAGGACGATTCCAAAGCTGTAAACATCAGATTTTTGAGTGTACTTTCCAAGTTCGCTTACTTCGGGAGCTTGGTACCCGGTTCTTCTGGAAGGCATCGTGTATAAGCCTACAAGGGTAGTTATGCCGAAATCTGAGAGGCAGCCTATGAGATTGTGGTTGACTAGTATATTTGAGGATTTGATATTTCCATGAATTAGCCTGCCACCAGCAAAAAGATGTATGTGCGCTATACCCCTTGCAGCTCCAAGGCAAATCTTTAATCTAGATTCCCAGTCCAGAGTCCTTCCGAACTCCCTTCCTGCAACCAGCACAAAAGGGGTAAATTCAGGCTGACCTGAAAAACATGAAGCAGGTCCTACAAACATTAGTAAATGTGAAGCTAGCTTGGTCAGATTGCTAAGTATTACCATGTAATAAAGTGGATAAATTTCCGAATGGAGCATAATCATACACAAGGAGTTTTTCGTCCTTGGAATAGTGATACGCCCGAAGAGGAACAACATTGGGGTGGTTAACCCTCCCTACATTCTCCATGTGTTGTTCAAACACTAATTTTCCCGCCACCACTTGTTTGAGCCGCTTTACGGCTAGTGTGGTTCCGTCCTGTAAAATGGCCTTGTATGTTGTCCCATAGGTCCCTTTTCCAAGCACCTGGGCAGAGGCTCTTAACAGATAATCAAGATCACAATTCTGAAGGGTTGAGTCTGCTTGCAAGAAAACCAAGTCGTTGTTTTCATCTTTCAGTGCCCCGTTGCTGCGGAACTCCTTGCCCTTCCCATCCCTACCCCTTTTCTTGGTGCGGCACAGCATCCAACATAATAGGAACAGTAGAAACAGCATTGTACAAGACGCGGCAGCAATGGCAGCAGTGGAACCGGTGCTTAGCTTTTTTGATTTGGAAATTCCCTTGTGAATGAAAGAAGCTGTTGGTGGTGACGGGGATGGCAGCTGCAGGGTTGCTGGAGATGGAGGAGGAGATTGCTTGAAGAAAGGGAGAGCAGAGGCTGGAGTTGGAGCCGGAGCTGGAGCAGGAGAGATGGGGGAAGGACATTGACGAAGAGGCCTTCCACAAAGTAAGGAATTACCCTGAAAAGAGGAAGCTGGGAAGTGCTGGAGAGAGTGTGGGATTGACCCATTCAAGTTGTTATTACTGAGGTTTAACTGCTGAAGGTATGAAAGGGCGAGGAGGTCAGGTACAGGGCCCGTGAAGGAGTTGTTTTGCAGGTTCAATCCAACTAAATGAGTCAAGTTGTTGATGGTATCAGGGATGTTTCCTGTGAAGGAATTGAATGATAAATCGAGAAAGTTGAGCTGTGAAGAAAGATTGGACGGAAGGTCCCCAGAGAAATTGTTGTTCTGGAAGTAGAGATAGCGAATGGAAGGAAGAGAGAGGATATCCGGGGGAAGTGTCCCATTGAGGCGGTTAGATCTGAGACTGAGGGAAGAGAGTGCATCAAGTCGGCCTAAGGTGTTAGCAGGGATGGAACCGTAAAACCCAGCCGCAGGAAGGCGAAGCGCGACCACACGGGTGGCATTATTAGTACTAGAGCAGGTGACACCAGCCCAGGTGGTGCAGAGGGAAGTATTGGTGTTCCAGTTGAGTTTCTTGGGAAGTGGGTGGGGTACAGTTGCAGCAAAGTCAAGCAGGGCTTGCCTGTCCGAGTTTAGATCACCGGCAGCGGTCACCATAATGACACCACCTGTTGTTTTTGTTGTGGATGGAAACAAGAGGAGGAAGATAGTGATGAACAAGGAGCTGCGACAGAGATGAAGTGAGGAGGGATGAGGACGATGCAGGCGAGCCATGGACATTTCGTGTTTGTTGTCCTTGTTACTAATACTAGTGCATAAAAGTTCAAAATAGGAGTCGCAGAAGTGGTGGGAGGGAATTAGAGCATATAGGGAATGCAGGACCAGGAAGAGGCTTGAACCGAGCTTGCAGGCATGGTTGGAGATGGGATGCAACAGGGTAGAAGAATGAAAAGGGAAAGAGATTTAGAGATGATGCTATAGATGGCAACAAAATGAGGGAGTTGGGTATACATAAGTCAGGGGCCTAACTCTTGGAGAGAATAGGGAACATCCTGACAGCTTTGCAGCCTTCATAATCACTGAGGGTACTACTGTATATAAATAGCAGTAAGGAGGAAGAAGATTGGACGGTGGTTGTTGACTCAATACTGCTGCTTAATATAGTACGTAAAACGGGAAACAGCAGGACCAGCCTCCATTGGAAAATATAACTTAATTTGAATGCAGGTGTGCGTGTGTGTGTAAGAAAAAGGTGGGTGTATGTATAGGTTAAGGAAGGGAGAAATTGAGGGTTATTCCTTTCGTGTCCATCTTACGTTCCTCCCTAACTCTCAACTCCCTTCACCGGACATTCCCCTTTTTTTGATCTCCTCTATTCCTTCTAACTCAGCTCTTTCAGCAACAATTCTTAGAGCACAGTTGTGTTGTGATTTGTGCAATTGGATCAGCTTCTAAGTGTTCCATTTCCACCTCCTCCCATTGCTATTATCATTATTATTATTATTATTATTATCAACTATTATTATGCATGATGACCAACATTCACCATCACATCAAAGTGGACCAACTTTTATCACCTTCATCCCCTCACCTCAACTATAATCACATTTTGCTAACATTATTTGTAGTTACAGACCAATGTGCATGTGAGACCTTCTTCTTTTCTTTTCTTCTTTTTCTCTCCAAACTCGGCAAGTTCCTAACCAGTAGCAGTGTAACTCACAGACGCAAAACATACTTTCTTTTTATTTTTTGAAGGGGCAAAAAAGGAAAGCATCTCTTTGTAATAGAAATATCAAAAGAAATCCAATATCAAGCTATTTTCTCTTTCCCACAATAACTACCGGATTATACAACACATTTCAGCACACTCACGAACCCTTTAAAATTACTGAATCAGTGACAGTTATAAAAATTGTCTACAGGTAAGTTTGATTCCACATAGATTTCATGCTGGTATATATCGAGAAATGTTATAGTGGAGGTTATAAGGGATCAAAGGGTTCAGGTAAAGGTTCAAACCCATTGTCAAAGAGAGCTCCTTCATCACCAAATTTATCATCTAGACTGTGCAGCCAATTTGTGTTTTTTAAATCCTCTTTAAGCAGAAGGGTGTCATATCGGGAACTCTCATATATATCAGCAACTGAGAGTTTTGCTGAAAGTCGTTGTTGGGGCTGCTGCTGCTTCTTTGCCTCCTGATCATTTCCATTATTCTCCATATGATATTTACTAACAAAATTCCCATGTTGTTCTGCAGTAGCAGTAGTACCGTAATGGTTGTTGACAGTGATATCCCCATCATTATATGAAGCGGCTTCTACTGCACTTACAGGGGGATTCTGTTGAACTTTTGTGGTGTTGCCAGCAGACCGTATGCTTTGGGGGAAGAGGGTTGAACTTGAAAGAGGACGAATCCCATTGCTGCCATTTCTTATGTCCTGAAAAAAAGAAGAAGGGGATAATAAAACAAGCCATCATGATCATATAAGATTTCATAACAAACTTGGTAATAACCTGTCCACCTCATACTAAGGAATCTTTCCTAAATCCAAGGCTCACTAAACTACTTAAGTCTTGGTAACAAAAAATAATAGGAAAATCCGACAAAATTTTTTCACCAAATAGATAATAGCAAGGGCAAGCAACACAATTCACAAAATGAAGCAAACAACAGACTTATAAGATGATCACAGTCATAGCCTTGTTTGTCACACCTTTTCACAGCCAAGCTAAACAAAGCTAATGTAGAAAGAATTCCAATAAATTTTACAATTAAGGTAAATTAGGTTAACAAATTGAGCAAAAAATAGGAAACCATACTCTCAAAATCTATATCAAGCTTACCATGTGTCTCATTGCCATATCCAGAGATTTCTTTGAAATTGTTCGCCCAAATCCGGTGCTGTCCGTGGATGTCTTTAGTGGTTTCCTCGTTGACAAATCCGAGTTAGATCTGTGAGACTCAGGGTTATGACTCGGGTGCCCATTGACAACCAGTTTGTTCCTTGCAGGAGTTTCAGGGAGCCTACCCCTGGAAACAACAGGTGACGAGTTCCTTCTCTGCAAAGTGACGACACCTTGATTCTCCGTGTTCCCTCTCGAGCTGGCAGCACTGCCTGGCCTAGACCTACCAGCAGAGAGGGGCCTATCTGGCAAAGTAGTCCGAAGGTTCGGTGGTGTTTCAAGTGGAAAATCTGGGAGAACTATTGGTTGTGGAGTAGGCCGAACTCGTGGGCCTGGGGAGCTGGGGCGGGATGATGTAGCCACCAAAGCTCGTCCATTCTGGACAGAGCGACTGGCTAAATTTGGGGGTCCTGATGCTAGAGATGAAGAAGGTGGTGCTGGATTTCGACGTGTAGGGGTTGACGGCCGAGAAGTGCTACGAGAAACAGGGGTGTTCAAGTTTGCAGGTATCTGCGACCTAGACGTTGGAGTGGAAGGTCTGGAATTCTGGGACGGCCTCATCACTTTTTCAGCAGAGGTGTAAGTACTGGCTGTAGGGCGGGATTTAGATGGAGTAGAAGATCTTGACAATGTAGGTCGGGAAGATGGGGTTGAAGGTCTTGCTGCTGTAGATGAAGATCGGCCAGGAGTAGAGGGCCTAATATAAGATGAAACTGAAGCTGAACTAGTGTTGAGAATGGAGCTGGATTTATTTGAAGAGTATGTGCTGTATTGGGAAGTAGAAACAGATGGACGAGTCACGGAGCTACTTCTGGTCGGCCTTGGCCGGTTATTGGTCTCTGATGACTGCGAAACCGAAAGCTGAAACCATAGAACTTGTTGTTACTTCATTGATCGAATGGATTCATCAATAGAAATGAAGACCTTGTCGCATAGAAAATGACAGAGAGAGTAATCTAACTTGAGTTTTGAATAAAAAGGAACCCAAAAAACCTAATCAATAGGATTTATCAAAGTCAAGCAAGTCTATAACTGGCCATTCTGAAAAGAGGCATACACCACCGACTAAAGACAGGTGGAGAAAATCCAACCTCAGGCAAAGACAAGTGAGATTACCCTTGAGGTCTTAGTCATTGTCGATGTAGATGTAGATCTGGCTAAGGAGCTGTTTCTTGCAGCCAATCCCACAGTTTCAGATCCATTTCCATCAGATGTAGGAAATATAGGAGTTCCAGGAGGAGTAAGAAGCCTGTAAAAGCGAAATGGAAAATAAAATGGTCAGATTAATAGGTTTCAGAAATTAGTAAAATCCAGTTCCCAAGGGTCTTCAACAGATAACATGGAGAAAATGCTAACCAATGAGATGAGCGTATAAACTTAGGAATGATCATTTCCCAGGATAAACCATAATGAAGGGTTAGATAGGAGTAAACAAAGCCTATGGTTAGTTAGATTACCGCTAGATTGAGAATGGACGGCAAGCCATGAACACTGTGTTTTACAGCTGGGGTCTCTTCCAAAAGATTAAAAAGCATTCTATCTTGAGGCCAGAAACAGGAGAGAAAATAAAAATTAAATCCTAGGTGTCTCAATTGCCATGCATCTTAAAACGAAACCCCCAACCATAAGTCCAATAGGGGACTAGTAGCACTTCCTTTCTCTGCTCCAGCTCCCATATCTCATCCTCTTTTCTCTGCTCTGTATTAACATGTTCTTTCTTCTGTACAGAGTTAGATATTAATCCAATTGCTTTTTTTAAAAAAAATTTCCAGAGTCTTTTGCGATTCTAGACAAACAATACACGGACTAGACGGAGTTCCAGAAAGGAAACAAGAACACACGCGGAACATTAAAATGAAAATAAAAACTATACATACTGGACAGAGTTCCAGAAAGGAAATAAAAACACACGCGGAACATGAAAATGAAATACAAAAACAATGCGGTTGATTAAGGATTTGAATTAAGTTGGCATCCTATAAGGAATTAAACCGATGTTTGCACAGTTTGAATTATATACAACCAAATGTCAGATCTCCAACGGAAAGAAACAATTAAGGGGAAGCAAAGATAAAAAAAAATAAAAAAAAAATAAAAAAGAAGTAGTAGAAGTTAAGGGGATTGTGACTAGTACCAGTCGTAATCGTGCTTGCCTCCATCAGTAGAGGCGAGCAGATCGTCAAGAGGATTTTTAGTGAGCTTGGCGGCGGAGGTGGTCTTTGATCCAAGGGAGAGTCTGCCCAACCTGGCGGCGACTGAAACTGCAAAACGAAAATGCAAAACGAATTGAAGCGGGGATCCCTGGGGGTTGAGTGGAGTAAGTTAGGTGAGGTAAAGTTTACCATCTTCGGAGTCGTCGGAGGAAGCAATAGAGAGGCTGCGACGACTCCTGGAAAACAGATCGAGTTGGAGGTTGTCGTCGGAAGAGAGAATGGCTCCACCGACTCCATTGGTGCTGTGGCCTCGGCGGTGAGAGGCGGAGGAGGAGGAGGAGGAGGATAGACCGGCGTTCCTAATGCTACTCCCGCCGATAAAACTCCGATTCATGTTGTTGGTAACGGGGATCAAAAACGAAGAATCGAGGGGTCTTACAACATGAAAACGGTGGGACGGAAATACCGCTCCATCTCCGAATCCTCCATGGCTACCGCTTCAATGCGCAATGCAGAAGCGAGGCAGAGGAGTCGGTGAGATGCAGCAATTGCCAAAATATACAACTATGAAAAAAAACCAAAAAAAAAATTGTAGTAGTTTTTGCCTTTCCGGAAAGAAAAAGGCAAAAAAAAAAAAAACGTCATGTCAAATCTGAGTTTATGAGTTCCTTGAACTTAATTAATAATAAAAAAAATAAACTAATATTATAACAACTAACTAACTATGGTGGGATCGTGGACGTTCATCATTGTTAACCCCTCTGTACTCAGTAAACTGACAGATCGCAAACCTCAAATAAATAACTAAATTATAATGCATTATGTACAGTGGATCCATTGGATGGATGGATGATAATTCTCAATTTTCAATGATGTTATGGACTGTGGATTTCTTCTGTTTATTAAAAAAAAAAATATAATTAATTATCATGGGATGGAGTATGGCCTCTCCGGCCCTTCCTTTCTCCATTGTCTCGCATTCTCTCTCGGTCTTTTTTGGGCAGACCACATTTCTCCTCCCCGATTTGACTTAGATCTAAAATAAGTCTCAGTCTCCCTAAGTTCATATTACCAAAATGTCTCCTTAATTTTGTGCAAACGATCAAAATATCTTTTAATTCATATATTTTTTTAATTACAAATGAACATATTTGTTTAAAAATATATCATAGACTAAGTACTTATAATTGTGTATAAAAAAAATCATAATTTAAACTTAAATCATATTAATCCTTTTATATTAATATACTTAAATAATAAAACTTTGAAATTAACTTTATCATTTCTTTTGAAATAAAATAATCTTCATTGATTAAGAATCATGGATTAACTTTCATTTATTTACCTGTGTTATAATTAAATACAAAAATGACGAATCATGTAATTTTTATTTTTTATGGTAAGACAACAAAGAAAAACAAACAAAAAAATGAAAAAGAAGTGTATAGTTACCATATTGATTTTAGTCATTTCAATGTTTAACCCCTACTCTTGAGGTATATTGTAATTTTACCAAAATTCAAGAGTTTATTAGTCATTTTAATGTTTAACCTCTGCTGGTGAAATATAGTGTAATTTTACCAAAATTCAAGAATTTATAATAAACCATGCGAAGAATTTCTTTTAAAATACACCCCAGTTTACTCTTTCCCGTTTATCTCCAACCCCCTCCCCCCTCCCTCAAAAAAAAAAAAAAAAAAAGTCTATATCTACCATATAGATTTTACCAAAAAAGATGAAAAAGAAAAATGTATATTTAACTTATTAATTTTAGTTAGTTCAACGCTTAATCTCTGCTCGTGAGGTAGGTAATGTTACCAAAGTTCAATAGTTTATGATACACCAAGCCAAAACTTTCTTTTAATTCTCTTCACTTTACTCTTTCCGTCATCCCCCTCTTCCAAAAACAAAGGTCTATTCATAAATAATTTGTCCCCCAACAAAATTCATTTTTAAAATTCCAAAATTGAAAAAGAATAAAATTACTTAATAATTTTTTAAAAAAAAATATTCAATTTATCTATTATTTAATTATCATCTTCCTTTAAATTTTATCATCAAAATGGAGCATAAATGAATTTTAGATAATAAAATAGATTAATTGCACCTTAATTAGGTTGATTGGAAATTAAAAAATTGTATGTTTTCTTGGCAAAAGGAGTATAACAAACAACACTAATATTATTTTGTACACTTCATTTGGTACTTTGCAAATCTTCTGGATCAAGTTTTCTCCCTTATTAGATCTACCACTACACTCATAATTAGAAATGGAGGTACAAGAATATCTGGGTAGTATGTAATAACAGTAAATTTAAAAAATAATAAAAGGAACAAAACAAAACTGATGATATATTCAAGACATCTGAACTAGTTTTTTTAATATATATATATATATATATATATCTTTATGAATGACAAGAGATCTTTTGTAAAATTTTCATATTACATTCGTCATGAATTAATTATATATTTGGCATACGTCCAATCCTTTATCTTTATTTTTTTAAAGAATTAAGGCGATACCTGACGGATATCCCCGATTTTATTAAATAATAAAAAAGAATTATACTGGCAGTACTTAAAACTTATTGAAAGGAATAGATTGTCGTACAAAGATTTTCTAAAATTTCATGATAGCTCCATGTGCAAGTTAAAAGAATGCCTTACAAAGATTGTATTAGATTCTCATGGCATCTCTGTATTTTATGATTTAAACTAAGAGAAAGTCTTACAAAGGTTAAAACATAAACCCATGACTCCTCTTTACTTTTTAAATATATTATATATATGGATAATGATTAGTGCAAGAAAAAAAATGACAAGGAAAAATGATAAGGAATTGATCATAACCATTCATTTTTAAAACTTTCCATTTGGTGTTTAAGCATTTAAGGTTATGACATAGTTTTGATGAATGACACATCACTACTTTTAAGTATTCCTTGTAATTTTTCCCTGTATCTATTACTATCCTATATATAGAATATCTATGATGTAATCTATTACACTAAACTCTATCTAATTCTTAAATAAGGAAAACAGTATTTGTCTTAAAACCATTTACCTCATAATGAAGACGGGAGTCCCAACATATTGTAGTGTACTCTCGCTGTCCTGAACTTTATTGTCCAGTTTGAATTTTTAGCTTAAATGTAAATTGAATTGTCCAGTTTGAATTTTTAGCTTTAATGTAAATTGGACTAAAAATGAAAATTCAAAATGTACAATTATTTTGAAACAAGGGAGTATTTGTTATTGGATGAGCCTGTTGTAGTGCATAATTCATTTTTATGTTTTATAGAAACACGATATGGACTCTCAAGAATTGAAACGTTTGAGCCACTAACATACCTACTTCGGGCTCAAACTGGCTGAACCAAACTTTCTATAAATGATCCGACTGATTTGGTCAAAAAATCAGTATAGGCAGTTTGATTTATTTGGTTTGGACACCGTTTAGCCCTTCAAAATGGTCAGTGCACTTTGTATCAATATTTACTTGTGTTTCACATTGATAGAACGAGGCACCAATGCGTTGTTTATTTATATGTTCATGGATCATCAAAGGTATGAGGCATATGCCAAGTAGTATCAGAATTTGTCTTTCATGTTGGACAATAGAAAAATCACTTGGGAGTCACGTAGAGTATAGATCACCAGAGGAAAGGCTTACTTGATGCATAATAAACTTGTCATAAAAAGGATTATGTGCATTGAAGTGAAACTATTTAGAGTGTATCCACCGAGATGTCAGGATGAAAATATAATAATAAGTAATGATACGTGTTTGAATCGCATATTGTTGCATTGAGACATTAATGTATAATTTATATATTTTTAACTTCTTTCTTCTAAGAAAGAGTCATGCTTAAGTGATTAGGGTATTGTATATTTAATCTCGAGGTTGAGGGTTAGACGTTGGAAAAACACCTTCTTCCCTCACGAGTTAGTTTTTGAGATGGATTTTCGTTGGAGGCACGCTACACTACTCTAATAGCAGGTTTTCTGAGATGGATTTTCGTAGGAGGAATGCCACACTACACTAATAGCAGGTTGAATAAAAAAAATAAAATTACAAATTAGTATGGCGTTATGATTTTTACTTTTTGGTACTATAATTTACTATACGAATGACACTTTTTAGGTATTTTACTTGTGAATAGGTAAGGGTAATCTAGGCAAGAGAAAGTGCTTCGCTAGCCAGAAAAAGGAAAAAAAAGGGAAAAAAAAAAAATTCCTTTCCAGCCACTCTTTATCTCTATGCTCTGCAGACAAAGTAGAAAATTAAGCGGACTGAAAAAATTCCCCACCGGAAGTTATGAAGTTCGCGGACGTCCTTCCCCCGGTCGCTGCCCCTGCACCGTAAGCTATTTATCTGCATCACGACGCTTCGAAGTTGCTTTTTTTTTTTTGGCTGGTGTCAGAAGATTTATTTATATTGGTTTTGCGCAGAAATCCAGTAATTTCACTTGCTTATGGTTCGCGCTCTCTCTGCAGTCACGGCCTCAGTCGCAGCAACTACAGATTAGGTATTCTTTTGAATCCGTCTTCGATTTAAAGTTACATTTTTAATTTGTATTTTTCCCGACAATTATCGGCAGAATTCGTACTTTCAGGAAATCTCAACTCTAAGCTCCTGTTGGTATGACCTAAAAAATTGTAAATTTCTGAGCTCCTTAGCTCTCGAAATGATAATTCAGGGGCCATATATATGGTATTATGATAAATAGGGTCTTTGATTGTTTATATTGGTACAAATTAGTGTAAAAGATTATGAGAAAGACCAGATTAATGTGATTTTAAATGAGGACTTGATTTGGCAAACCACAAGGATGGTACATGATCCATGTTGCGGATTTCATTGGAATGAAGGCTGTGGTTCTTGTACATTATAGCTTTTTGTAAGTTGTTGAAGTAAGCAGAATCAATAGCTAAAATTGGAAGGGAAGAGACATTCATGAAAGGAGTTGGAAAAAACTTACATTAAGACATGATATATGTGATTGTGAACCGAGATGAAATCACCACGATGGGTATATGTTCCATTGGTGTTTCGGTGCCTGGAAAACAAGGACATTAAGATACTAATTGCCGAGTCCACAATGCGTACATCTATCCTATTGTATCCAACAACAACAACAACAACAACAACAACAACAATATACCCAGTACTTCACTAACTTTGTTGTAATATGAGGTGTTTAGATGTCCGTAGACTTATCCTTGTACTTCAATACAGGGAGGTTGTATAACCCATGATGTTTGGTGCATTTGATTTATTGATTCCCAACAACTTTACTGAAATTGTGTGGTTCGATTGAATGGCTCGTGACATCAAGTTTCTTGTTGCTTTTGCTGATGAACAACAAAAGAAAAGAGAAAGGAGAATGGTCTTTGTTTATAGCACACCCCTCCAACCATGTTGGAGGAAACGTGTCGAGTCATTTTGATGTCCCCTTTTAAGGCATCTATTGTTTCCCAGCTTTGCAGTGTTACAATGGTCCCGTGATATTTACAGGAAACCGGAGTGCCAAGGTTCCTCCCCTCAAGGCTGGTTTCTGGGAATCAATTAGATCCGGGTAATTTTACACATTTCATTATCCATTTCCTTACTGATTCTGAAACAATTTTCTCAGAAGATTCTCTACTTGCTTTTGGGAAATATTCTTATCCTGTTATGGTGTCATTTCGTGTGAACCCTTAGGCATCCAGCTCATTCCTGTCTAGTAATATTACATATATTTCCTGGGTCCTACCTTTTGTGCCATATTATTTTTATTATTATTATTTTTTTTTCCTTCCTTCGATTTTACCAAACTAGTCATGGTTCAAAATATTTTTCTCTTGAGAGTAATGCTTATTTGCAAACACTTGTACCTTAGTTTCTTTTTAAATACATTTCCTTGGTAATCAGATATGGGATGGCTCTAGTAATCAAGCCTTTTCAGATGTAGTAAGTAATAATCAGCACCAAAGAAAACACTGTTTGTCGGCTGGTTGTACTTCTTCTTCGAATATGGCAGTCATGCTTTTTGTTTTATCCCTCTCAGGTTTATGAAGAATAACACTATGCAGGTCGTAGAGTCACCACCTACTGCCCTCGAAGAGGAAGAATTATTGCCTGAAGAGTTTGTTCTTGTTGAAAAAATTCTACCTGATGGAGTGGTTGAACAAATCATCTTTTCTTCTGGAGGAGATGTTGATGTTTATGATCTCCAAGCGCTGTGTGACAAGGTACGTTGCTGCATTTAATGCAGTGTGCAAAATAATTGCATTGTTTGGCATTGTGTTTTTGTGTTTCTTATGTAAGAAACTGCCCAAATTCCGTAAATATCATAACCATATTAATTACGTTTTTGTTCTTTCTCTAATGAGGTTGGTGCACCGTGAATTTTATAATTGCCTAATGTCATTTTGTTAGGGAGATACTTTTTCCTCTCTTTTCCCATTTTACTGAGATAAAAATAATTTAGAATTATGTTTTCTCTTATTTCATTGCTTACAGCTTTATTACCAGCTTAAATATTATGTTTTCTGCCAATATATTGCTCACGGAAGTGACACAGCTTGATCGCTCTGGACTAAAAGTTGCTAAGCTTGGAGTTCCTTTGGCAGGTTGGTTGGCCTCGAAGGCCACTGTCTAAGTTAGCTGCTGCTTTAAAAAACAGCTACATGGTCGCTGCACTGCACTCCATGAGGAAATCAGCTGGTGAAGGTATGCATATTTTTTAGCACGTTTTTCAGGCACTTGAAATTTTAGCTATGAAGTCCTATCTTCTTGGTTTGGCTGTGTTTCTTCTACTCAGCACATTCACATGCAACCTTGCATAATCTTTATTTGAGTGATGAACATTTTGGTATACTTGGACAAGTGACTTGGCAGAGGGGAATACCGAAAAGAAGCTCATAGGAATGGCTCGGGCTACGTCAGATCATGCGTTCAATGCAACAATTTGGGATGTTCTCGTCGACCCTTCCTATCAGGTATGTGACAGTTGTCATGGATGGAGATTAGTTTGCTTCCTGTGATCCTTGAAACTCATCAATTTAGGACTGACAAGTTAGTGTGCTGTTCTTGATTTATAGATCATCTTAGGAGCATGTATTGTCAATGTGATGTAAGTCTGTGTTGTTTTACCAATATGTGAAAATTAGGATATCTTAAGCAGTTACCCTGGGTTCTTTGTCCTTAAATGTTAACTATATTTTGACGAATGCTACTCATTGCTCCTGCGGTTTATATTGAATACTGAATTTTGAATATTTAATATAATCACGTGACACTTAAATGTGTTAATCCAAATTGGAGACCACCATGATAACATCTTATATTCCTAAGCCTGCCGGTGGTTTTTTGTTCTCTTCTTGGATGCATATATGTTTGCCACATGCTCACCATGCTAATAATTGTTTGGTCTTATTGGAACAGGGACAAGGACTTGGAAAAGCCCTTATTGAAAAGCTCATCAGAAGCCTTCTGCAGAGAGATATTGGAAATATAACGCTGTTTGCTGATAGTCAAGGTATAATTAAAACTAGGAATATATCTGGAAATTTCTATTTAGACTTGTTGCAAAGTCTGGCGATATTGTTGAGATAGTAATGATTAGTTTCTTAAACATTTTGTCTCAGTCGATTAAAAATCTTTTCTTTTTCTTTTGGGGTCAACATTTTTTTAAAACTTATGTTCTAAACTTTGTTGGCAAGAGCCTAAACAGACAAGATAAACTTGTTAGAGGAGTTTCATTTAATATATTCTTGGCATTATGTAATGGCAGTGGTGGAGTTCTACAGAAACTTAGGTTTCACACCAGATCCGGAGGGAATAAAAGGCATGTTCTGGTATCCCAGATATTAGACTGATGGGGGGGCTATGGTGAATTATGCTGACAATGGTGACTGCCAAATGCTGCTTATTCTTGCTCCTGTTAAATGGTTAAATTGTGCAGTAGATAGATTGGTTTACAGAAGGACTATTGTTATGTATAGATAGATGTTTTTGTATGCAAATTTAATGATTTTACACTTTTTGAAATGGTTTGGGTTGGCATACAAGAAAATCTAGGATTCTAAATGTTGGATGGTGGTATTGTTTTGATGGTGTTTTGCATTTTGGTGTAACTTTAATATCTATTTGTATATTTTGAGTTATTATATCTACAAAAAGGAAAGTTCACCTGGAAAACTTGCAATGAACCATGTGCATTGAATTATGACATTCACTTTTACACTGTGCATTCAGGGTTTATTCATTTAAAGCTAGCTGGATAGTAGAGATTTAGTGGCAGAGATTTTGTTGCAAGTGTTTTTTGAAAGTAATTAGTATTCATCACTCTTTGACAATTGTTGTAAGGAAAGACAGAACAACTGATCATTTTGCTTGGGGGAGCCTTTGAATGTGTCACTCAAATTTGATAGGAGAGTCGAGTTTAAGCAAATCTGATAGGAGAGTAATGTTTAAATTGACTTGGTGATTACGTTTTGAGTGGATGGTATATTAGGAAGGATCAATATTAAAAAAACAGCCCCGAGGTTTGACTTATTATTTAAGAAAATATTTTAAAAATCTTTTGATGACTGAAAAAATTGATGTACAAACATGAATTCAGTAAAGAAAGTGTCTCAAAGACGGTTGTAATCAGTAGAAATTATCTTTAATTTTCTTCTTCAAAATCTAATAAAATTAAATATTCATTCCTAAACTCAAAAAACTTTCGAGGGCTTGTAAAAAAAGTGGATTTTGGATTTAGAAATTACATATTTGATTTTGTTAATGTTTTTAAACAAAATCTAAGAGAGTTTTTGTGGCCTCCCTCGGCTGAATTGAAGTGCAAACATCAATTATTTCCGGTCGCCAGAAGGCTTTTTGAACAATTGGTGATTTAAAGATGGTTTTTGAAATTCTTTTTAAACAGTTTAAGTGTCGAGGGTAAATCCCGGAGACGTGGAATTGACGGTCCAACCCGAACGGAAATCTATAAGATGGGGATTAGCACTCCGAATATTAAGTTAGTACTAGAGAGAGAAACAGACAATTAATACACTTAGAGAGAAAAATGATAGTGTGAAAATTGTCTTTGTAATAAATGTATAAGGAGTATTTATAAGTCTCAATGAGACAATACATGTGAGCCCCACGTTAGGCGGAATACATAAATAATTATAAGTAACTCTTAAAAGAGGCGACTAGATCTTTAAAGGAAAGGACAGGACAGCTTGAGCTTATAGTGAGCCCAAGCTGTAGAATCGATTTGGGCTGGTCAGGTTTTGACCCTCAACATGAAGATAATCAATTAAGTTTTGGGGGTGCTTTTTTATATCAACCATATTAGAAAATTTGGAAGTGGAATCGTGATGGATGACAAGTGGGAGTAGTTGGTAAGGAAAGAATTGACTCGAGTTTTGGTTTGGTTTTTTGGTAGTGTCTTTGAAATACAAGATGTGAAGAGCGATAATGGTGTCTATCTGGTGGTGCCGGCCTCCGGTGGAGTATTAAAAGGTTCCTCCTTTGATCGGCGGGTGCTGCTGGAGTTTGAGCTCCGATTTCAACGTTTCAAAAACATACACTACACTAGGTCGAGTTTGGTGTCTCATGCTTTTAACAATATATACTCATTCCGTCCCATAATTATTGTCTAGTTTGGATTTTTATTTTTAGTTCAAATTGTATTAAATGTGAAATCTCAAACTGGACAATAATTTTAGAACAGAGGAAGCATGTTGTTTTGCAGAAGATGATTATGCCGCGGACTGTTTCTCATTCAGATAAAAACATTTTAGAGTATAGAGCTGAACATGTAGGCAGGGTGTTTTAACAAAAAAAAAAAAAAAACAAGTAGGCAGGGTGTGACCGGGTGATGATGTGTGGGTGTAATTAATATTTGGGCTAATGGGAATTTGGATATTAGTGATGGAGTGAAGAAGGCCGTTGAATGGAGATGATCATGATTCTTGAATAAAGTTAAATAACAAGTAAACGGAGTTACATAATTAACCAAAAACGAAAAAGAAAACAAAAAGAAGGAGCAGACAGCGTTCACATTTTGGTTTGTTTCTTCCTGCAAATCGCTTTCTTTCTTGTTGTTGTGTACTTTTTTGTATTATAAAAACTAAAGTCTTCCCTCCTTAAATTAGTAAATTTATATGAAATGTGATGGTGCTTTTAATTCCCAACATTTTCCTTCTTTTGATTCTTCTGCCGCCCCTTTATTCATTTTTTTGTTGTTGCTCTTCTAACTCGCGCCACCACCTAAACTGCCTCCGTCTCCGTCGCCACCGTCAACCTCGTCCTTGATCAATTTTTTTTTTTTTCACTTCTTGCATGGAGTTATTCTATTCCTCTTAGAAAGTCCAAATTCCTCCTCCGGTAACACTATTCTTCCTATCTCTTATCTTGTTACTACAGTACCTTTTTTATTTTTCTTTCTTTTCTTCCAAAAGTAGTTTTTTAAAGTTTTTTAAAGTTTGCTTTTCTTTCCATATGAATAATAATGATTCAAGTACAATCCCTTTCTGGTGTCAAAAGAATTCTCAAACGACTTACGTATGTACACCCACAAGAAACGGCTCAATAAATCGGACACTAACACCTCAAGTAAACTTGGGAGCAAGTTTCATCCTCCTGCACCATAGTTCTATTTCTGGCTTTCATGAAGTTGGAGATTTAAAGTCTTTTCTACATGTTAGTTTGGGTTGATACAGACTGAGGAACTTACTGGGGAAAATCTTCATCATCTTCTTCAAATTCAATTCCAGAAATCTTGTAAGACATGTTGTCGGGCTGCAAAGGGAAGCCATGTTTCTATGCTCTCTGCTTCCTGAGCTGCTGCCTGCTGCTCCCACTTCTTATTGCTGCGGCACCACGAACTCATCCCTCTGAAGGTACTACAATAAATGACCTCTTTTCTTCCTTTACATGAGCCATTTGGATTTTTTTTGTTGCTATACTTTCTTATGCGAGTATTTAAGCCTATGTGTTTTTCTCAGATATGGTGGTGCTGTTTGGGATTAGCCCTCCCTTCCACCCTATACACTTTCTTAGCCCTCATCACAGTTGCACTTCTTTTGTTGGCCTCATCGGTTTCCTTCATATCCTTCTTGAAATGTTAGAAGTTATGTTCTGCTTGGACAGTCTTATAATTTTGAGCTTATTTACATGGAAAGAAGATTGATCTGAGGTTATGTTGGGTGTGACTAACGGTATTAGATTCACGTGTAAAAAAGAGGGTTATCTTGGTATGTGTAAGAATTTGTGGTAAAGTGATTAGTTGCCTTACTGATGTAATGGAAATGAGAGAGATTAGCTTTTCAAAGGTTAATAATAGTGAAACTGGTCTAAAAGAAATTTTCTCTGCAAGGTAAAAAAGGAACAAAAAATACATGTACCGTGTATCTGCAAAAGCTCTATATGCCATCACTATAACTACATTTTCCTGTTTTTGTGGTCATTTCGGTTGCTCTTGCAGTTTCAGCATTGGAAGCTATAGCCAGTGGTTTAATTGATGATCACAAGAATCTCAAGGGATGGAAGAATGGAGGAGATCCATGCTTAAAGAACTGGACTGGTGTTATATGCTTTGACGCTCTCGGTCCTGATGGTTACTTCCATATTAGGGAGCTGTAATGATCGTTTATCTAAATCTTCCCTTTTCCAGTGTTTATATTGAGTGGATTTTGCTTATGTCATGTATGGAAAATGCAGGCTGCTAATGAATATGAATCTCTCGGGAACTTTGGCCCCCGAGCTTGGTCAATTATCTCAACTTGAAATCTTGTGAGTGTTTTTTTCCCCTTGATTTTCTGCTATGGGTTGTGGAGTTCATTGCACATCTCTGCTCACGCATTGATATCTTTTCCTGGCTTTCTGAAGAGATTTCATGTGGAATGAACTGACTGGCAGTATACCTAAGGAGATTGGTAATATCAAATCACTAAGACTTCTGTAAGTCTGATTCTAAATGCCTGATTTTTGGTCTTTCTTAATTCTTTGTCTTTACGGTTAGATTCTGAAGTTGGATTATCTATTATGTTTGCTGCTTTCGAGTTATGCAGATGTAAAATCTTTGCACCCTGGAATCTCCCTTAGAAATGCATCACTGAGCACATATATGTTCACCAAACCTCTGGAAAATTATGTTCAATTTACTGTTTGATGAGGGAGTTGACCAGTATGAATGGCTTTTCCTTAATCTAACAGGATTATGTTGATTGAGCTGCAGGGTCTTAAATGGAAATAAATTGTCGGGGTCTTTACCGAGTGAGCTTGGTTATCTACCAAATCTGAATAGATTTCAGATAGACCAAAACGAGATATCTGGACCAATACCTTTGTCCTTTTCAAACTTAAAAAGTATTAAACACATGTAAGTCCTCTTAATGAAAGTATGTATCCTAGTTTCTAATCTTTGTTATTTTACTCTATGACATAATGGATCTCTGCAGTCACTTCAACAATAACTCGCTCAGTGGTCAATTACCTCGTGAACTTTCCAACTTGTCGACAGTAATTCACTTGTGAGTTATTACTCCTCGTAACTTAAAGGTGAATTTCTCAGACAAAGATGCTCTCTGATGATTTTTTTTTGTTTTTGTTTTGTTTTTGTTTTGTTTTTTGTGTGTATGCACACATATTAAACAGGCTTTTCGATAATAATAACTTATCGGGGTATCTTCCTTCAGAGTTTTCCAATCTTCCAGCTCTACAGATACTGTAAGTTAAATTGCATTGTGGAGCATAGCGACATAAATTTCTATTTTCACGCAGAACAAAAATGGAAATTCACGGGGAAATTCTGTTTACTTGCTTTTCTCTACTAATCGGTTCTAAGATGTTAGCTGCCAATTTGCAAATGCGGAAAAATATGCTCATATTTTATGCTTTGATCTGGCAGACAACTTGATAACAACAATTTCAGTGGCTCTGAAATTCCTGCTTCTTATGGAAATATGTCAAATTTAGTAAAATTGTAAGTTCCTGGTGTACAGTGGTCTTTACATATTGCTTCTTTACTGTAGTAGATTACCTTACCAATTGCAAGTTGTATTTGTTAAAATTACTTTCCTTTTGCTTTTGTTGTTTTGTTAAAGTCTCAAATATATTCCAATGCCATTTCTTATTTCCTTTTTATGGAGGCCAAAGCCTGTTTTAACTGTTTTTAAGTTTTGTTTTTAGCAGTACTAATAATTTTCCTTTTGATGTACAGAAGTCTCAGAAATTGTAGCTTGAAAGGACCAATTCCTGATCTAAGCAGAATACCCACCCTAAACTACATGTAAGTTCATATATTTATTCCGTCTGAAGCGTCCTTGTCCAGCTTTTATAGTTGTACATTCTCAACACAGATTTTATTTAATGATTTGTTGCATGTACTTTGTGCAAATTCTCCCATATCTTTTTACATCTGGGTGCTTTTCTACATTTGCAGAGACCTCAGCTTGAATCAGCTATCTGGAACCATATCATCGATTATACTTTCGAACAATATGACTACTATGTACGTACGCATCTTTACTTGTTTATTTTCCTTTTTTTCTTAACCATATCTTTTCTCTTATACATGTGTTTGTGAAATGAAAGATGGTATTATTGGTAACAGAATCTATAATCTCTCATTTTACTGGAGAAATTATGTTTGAGTTCATCTTCTCATTTACATACTGCTAATAGAATGTAGTTTATGCAGTGATCTATCAGATAATAAACTGAGTGGCACGATACCCACAAGTCTTTCTCGCCTTCCTTCTCTTCAGAAACTGTGAGTGTCATTTCCGACATCTTTGTTTTATAATGTATTGCTTTGGTGTTTTTGACAGAGTTCAATGGGTACATAGGGTCTGTATAGCGACCCAAGCTAGGAAATAGAGGCCACGTTGTTGAATATTATGCATTACTTGCATGAGAAACTTGGGATGCAGACCTAAAACTTCTTTTATCTGTTAATATTGTGACTTAGAGTAAGAAGTGTGTGGACAGTGTATGATTGGAACATATGATCCAAATAGCTGAACTCACAAAATGGGATATAATGGCTTAATAATTCTATAAGTTAGTATAATCTCTGCTGGTTAAAGGGCGACCATTAATTCATCGTGTTTTTATTTGTTACAGGTCACTTAGGAATAACTTCCTGACTGGTTCGGTTAATGTTGATCTCTGGCAAAACAGATCCTTCAGCTCATCTGCCATATTTGTTATGTAAGGAATGAAGGGGAAACTTTGTTCTGAATCTCAAACTTTAATTTCCAATGTCATCTTAATTAAAAGTATGATGTTTCCTGGTCCAGAGATCTTGAGAATAACTCCCTTTCAAATGTCACCGGATATCTTGATCCTCCCACGAATGTTACACTAAGGTATGATCCTCTTCCCATACTATAGTTTATGTCGCCGATGCCATCTGTCCTGAATTTTCCATAAAGATTGATTCCTTTATTTTGAAAAGCACCAGATATAAAAAAAAATCAGCGGTTTGGGGTAGTTTTACCCGTGATGTTATTATATCTAGCTGGCTTGTTGATATGATCATATTTGTTTCCTTGGTCCAGTTTATATTTTCTTCTTCTTCTCTGCACTTATCCTCCAGCAGCTGCTTTCCAGGTTACAAGGCAATCCGGTCTGCAGAAATGCAAACATAAGGAACATCAACTTGTTCTGCAAACCTGAACCCGAAATCAAAGTAAATCGCATTTTATACGACTCAACAACAAATTCATCTGGCATTTGTCCTATTCAAGCATGTCCTACGGGCAATTATTTTGAATATGCTCTGGCATCACCTATCCCTTGCTTCTGTGCATCTCCCCTTAGAATCGGATATCGACTTAAGAGTCCTAGCTTCTTTTATTTCCCTCCATATGAGGTTCCATTTGAGTCATACTTGGCGACTTCTCTTAATCTTGACATTTATCAAGTGTTCATTGACTCATCTCACTGGGAGAAGGGGCCTCGTTTGAGGATGCACCTAAAGTTATTTCCTTTGCCTAGTGATGATCATTCGGGTACGTTCAACAGGAGTGAAGTTCTCCGGATCAGGAACATATTTACATCTTGGCTCTTCCCAGGTAGTGAGTTGTTTGGACCTTATGAACTTCTCAACTTCACGCTGGTCGGACCTTATGCTTATGGTGAGCATTCCAGCTCTTATCTTCTCATTCATTAATTAATAAATAACTTTCTAAGTCCTAGTAAATGTAATACATTCTATTATATTGAATTTTTCGATAAGTTGAAAGTCCATACCGCCAATGCCACTTTTTGCACTGATTGATAACAGCAGTTATGAAGCATTTCTGATTTCTTGGAACATGCTGTCTAACTTGCTACGTGGAGTTTTTCTTGTGAAATTCGTCCTGATATTTAATGATGGCCCTAAATGGACTGGATCGAGAACTAATCAATAGCTATCACAGTAATCCTGCTTTCCGCCTTCTATTATTCTCTGTTTAGTGAATTCGGATACTTCTCACAACGGCATGAACAAAGGCATCTTAGTTGCAATTACACTCTCTGCGGTTTTTGTTGCGGTAGTTATCTCAGCAGCCATCACAGTTTTAATAACAAAAAGGCATGCTAGACGCCAACTGGGACGGTCAAGGAAAAAGCATTGTAAGTTATTTCAACAGCTGATGTTCACTTCCAATGCTGTTGTGTGCAAAAATTTCTGATGTTTGAGAATAATTTTGTTGACTTTTCCAGCCTCTAAGCTTTCAGTAAAAATAGAAGATGTTAAAAGCTTCACTTTTGAAGAACTAGCATTAGCGACAAATTGTTTCAGTGAATCAACCCAAGTTGGCCAAGGAGGTTATGGGACAGTTTATAAAGGTAGTCTAGCTGATAAGACAATTGTCGCAATCAAGCGTGCTAGAGAAGGATCTTTACAGGGGAAGAAGGAATTCTTAACAGAAATTGAATTGTTATCGAGGTTGCATCACAGGAACCTTGTTTCACTTGTTGGATACTGCGATGAAGAAGATGAGCAGGCAAGCCTCTCTATGCATGCACAACATGCATACGCGTTTATAGTTCGTTGTCTTTTTTTGTTGTTTTGTTGTTGTCTTCTGTGTGTACAAGTTTACTGCCTCTGTTTAGATCCTTTTCCAGTGTGTATTTGCAGGTTTAAACTTGAATCATGTAGAGTACCCCTAGCATGTTTCTGATTTCCTAGAGTCGTTAGGGTAAATCCAGTTCGCTCATTGCTACTGATCCTTATCTCTGAACGGTTTATCACTCGGAAAAATTCTGCTTTCTTATACTTCCAGATGCTGGTATATGAGTTCATGCCAAATGGAACATTACGAGACTGGCTTTCTGGTAACGGTAATATAACTTTAATGATATTTGAGCCTTCTTGTCCTTGTTCGATATTTCGGTCAAATTTTGGTCATGTGGGAACAAAATAGTTGAATATGAATCTGACAAACTGATTCAGTGGTCTCTTTCTAATATTAGCAAAATCGGGGGAGACATTGAATTTTGGAGGAAGACTACGCATAGCGCTGGGGGCAGCTAAGGGCATCCTTTACCTTCACACTGAAGCTAATCCACCTATATTCCACAGAGATATCAAAGCCAGCAACATTCTTCTAGATTCTAAGCTCACTGCTAAAGTGGCCGACTTTGGACTTTCACGGCTTGCACCTCAGCTGGATGCCGAAGGCGACATGCCCCAGCATGTATCAACAATTGTTAAGGGAACACCTGTGAGTCCCCATCACTATTTTCTGTGATCGTTTCTCATCTTTGATCAGCTTAAGAAGGATAAAGAGATCGTGACCCTGAAGAAAAGGGAAGCATCCCATTGAAAATCTGATCTCATCTTCCATTGTTATGACAAAACAGCCCCCATCTTCCACTGGTTTTCAATTGCAGAAAAAGGAATCCTTGATTGGGAGATTTCTCGTGTGGATCCATTTGGAGTTTTAACATGCGAACGTATCTTCATCTGCTGCCTTAAACTTATGTGACTCTGTATATCTGCTGCAGGGTTACCTTGATCCAGAATACTTGTTGACTCGTCAGTTGACAGACAAAAGCGATGTTTACAGTATAGGAGTTGTATTCTTGGAGCTTTTAACTGGAAAGCAACCCATAATGCACGGGAAGAACATTGTCCGTGAGGTATTGATGTTATCCCCTTTGTCCACATTTCCTGAGTCCTCATCCTGACCACAACAGTTTTACATCTAGTGGAGTTAAGAACAAAAGATGTATTTATTCAATGGCACAGGTAAATTTGGCCAAACAATCGGGCACAATGTTCTCCATCATAGACAGTAGAATGGGATCTTATCCTTCTGAATGCGTGGAGAGGTTCATTGCTTTGGGACTCAAGTGTTGCCAGGACAAGCCGGATGTGAGGCCATCAATATTGGATGTGGTCAGGGAGCTGGAAAATATTCTTGCAATGATGCCGGAGACTGTAGTAGACTCATCATCAGATTCTAGATCCAGATTTTTCAGTGAATCATCAGGGATCTCCTCGGCGGCTGCGGATAACACCGCGAGCAGAGATAGGGACCCCTATGCACCATCATCATCGTCATCATTCATTTCCGGGGGTGATCTTATCAGTGGCGTGACTCTCACAGTCATACCACGCTGACTGAAACACTAAAAGAACCTTCAAATGCAGACCAGTATCATCAAATGCAAGCAAAATTCATAACCAATAGTTCAGGCAGTTCATGGCAGGATAATAGAATAGTTTTAAAGATAGGAAACACTTCGCTTGTTATTTTCTCTATTTTCTTTTCCCTTTTTGACCTTTTTTCCCCCTTCTTGTACAGGAAATTTATGTGCAGAATAGAATACCTACCCACAAATTCCAAAATCAACACATCAGTGAGAAAGATTAGTTTGGATACTACAGTGAGAAATGCCACTAGTACGAATTTTGACAGCACGGCATAAGAGCAGGAAGGACTTAAAACATCATAGTAAAACTTCCCTGCTAATTCAGGTTGCATTCGGTATAGAATAATGCTAATTCAGGTTGCTGATAACCTTCCCTGCTGCACCCATTTTACAGAACTCAGGTCTGGTGGATGCATTAATAGTAAAATACAGAAATCAAATGATAAAACTTTTATACAAAACCAACTCTCTTTTGTGAGAACCAAGCAATGAGGAGATTCTCGACATATTCATCATCATCATCATCATCATCATCATTATGGATATCGAGAAATTAACACTGTAAGTCGTCGGATTTAAATTGAAAAGAAAAGGAAAAAAAAAAAGGGGGGGCGAAAAAACCAGCCCTTTCTCTCCAATATATGGAATTAGGGGGAGGTGTACTGTAAACTACTACAAGCTATAGCCGTAAATCACACTTCACTTGAGTTCAGATTCAGCAGCTTCCCCACCATGGTCAACCAAATTGTGTTTCTCATCAGCAGCTTCCTCCTTACCAACTAAAAGTGGATCTTGTTCTGCCACCGCCAAGTCAGTAGCAGCCGGCGGCGCAGCGGCGGCGGCCTGGGAACCGGTCAGCCTAGCCAGCATAACAAAAGACATGCCTCCTAACACATTATTCATGCATCGCAAACCAACCACGGATGTCTTGAACACCATTTGAGGGAGCACCTTCTCGAGTAAAAACTCCAATCCGTTGAGCGATTGGTATCTCAGGTTGCTGCTAATTCCCATGTGTAGGGCCCATGTGGAGGCGTTAAGCAAGGTGGGAGGAGGCTTATTAGGAGTCTCGAAATTGGGATCCATCTTCTTCCTCATGGCAATCAACCCATTGGATAGGGCGGTTCCGACGAGGCCGGCGGCAAAACCCACAGCGGCAAAGACAACGCCTTTGTAGACGAAGGTGCCGAGACGGGGCACGAGTCCATACGAACCGGGCTCGAACATATGGCCTGGGGGACAGCCAGTGAAGATGGAAGGGAGGGTGGCAGAGGCGGCGGCCCCGGCGGCGGAGGTGGGGGCTAGGAGGTACATCAGGGTGAAATTAAGAATGCATCCGACAACAAGGGTTGAGAAGACGAAGTCGAGCTCGTTGAGTCCGAAATTAGGACGGGAGGCCATGTCGCCCAGCACACAGGCGGTGACCCCGACTAACTCTTCCATCAGAACCTTGAACGGAAACTGTGGATCTACGGCGACTCTTGATCTCCACCCTTGCAGAAAAGCCCCAATGGGGCCGAATCCGCCGTCGGATGAATCAGAACCGTGATCCTTGGGGTGATGATCATCATCACCACCACCACCGGAATCTCCACCGCCACCACCTCCTGAAGAGTAACCCCCGCTTCCGCCGCCGCCGCCGCCACCGCCGGCAGCGAAAGGGACGAGGTCGGGTCGGTGGAAATTAGGTAGTGAGATAATGGAGGGAGGAGGAGGGTTTTGAGGAATGGAAGGGAATTTGGGAGGGAGGAGGAGATGGCGGGGAGAGGGGGAGTAGTTGACGGCAGAAAAGGAGGAGCAGCGAAGCTGAGCCATGGCAGACGACATTTTTGGCGGCGAGGGGGAGAGAAGAAAAGTAGTAGTGAGAGCAGCAGACCTGGTTATGTGAAGATGAAACAAAAATTATTTCTTAAATCTATAAAGTAGTAATTGGGAACCTAACAACAACACCAACAAAAAAAAAAAGAAGGAAAAAAGAAAAAACTAAACCCTAATAAACCCCTGCTATGGTAACCAGACGACGGGGAATCTTTTTTCATTAAATTTGCAGTTTCCTAAAACGAAAAAGTCGTCTTCCTCGGTGGAGATATATATTATATAATAATATGTATTTTTTACAAAAATATATAGTAGTATAATAGTAAGGAGAAGAAAGAACAAAAAAAAAGAGACGAATCTATATTTTTTATTATTACATCCGTCCTAAAAAAATAGTCCATATTGAATTTTTATATTTGTATTGTTTTTAGCAAAACTTAAAATGGACTATTTTTTTTTTTCGGAACAGAGTGAATATTTTTTTTTTTGGTGGGAGGGGGGGAGGGGGAAGATTCGACCGGAAAAATGAAAAACAACAACAAAGACAAAGAGGGTATACTATGCAGCCATCTTATAGTAGGACACCTTAGGACAATAGGAGTGGTAAAACATAAGTGGAAACACAATTTACTAGCAAGGGATGACACATAAAGAAAAAATAATAAACGGAACAACATTATTAAAATTTAAATTAAGTTTAAGTGGGTATTCTCTCAAGCAATGATAGTAAGGTATAAAAATAGAAGGATACAATTTAAAAGATATCAATCCTTGAAAGTATTATCACAGCTCATTCTATCACATGTATGTTTTGTTCATGAGTGGATGTTTTTTTTCCGGATTGGAATGTACTTGGAAGAATTGATCGTTATTAATGAACAGACTTTGAAGAATTGGGAATAATATTCTTCTAAGCAAATTCCATAAAGCAACAATTTTTATTTTTGGCCCTTTACATTCCTTCTTGACGCCAGCTCTGCAAAATAAAGGGACCAACATACATACCACAATTCTCTCTTTTATTTTCCCATCTTCCCACCTGCGAGATGATGATGATGAGCTTTTTTGATTCTTGGGTCTCTGGGGACCCCTCCGCCTCTAACCATCGTATCTACCCCAATACCCCCACCCACCCCCAATTTGTATTTTCCTCAGCCGGCCCACAATTCTTCTTTCTCACCAACCCAAACCCTTAAACTACAAAGACCCCACCACCCTTGAGCCTGAAAAGAAACCAACAAACCAAACCAACACTTTTTTAAGCGACTTACTTACTACTAACTATCCCATGTGCAAGTTCCAAGTACAATTCAACTGAACCCAATCGATTTGATTGTCAACAACAATTAACATGCGACTCTAATGATTGCAATGAAACCACCATTAACCAACACCCAACAATTATCATTATATATATATATATACTGTATATTTCACTCTACAAAAATATTAACATAAGAATAAATCCAATGACTCCCCACACTCAAAACGAAATGCGGTGAAATAGCTTACAACAGAATCTCCCCCAAAACCTAACTTCTCACGTACCCCCCAACTATAATGTTTCTGTATAGTAAAAAAATAATGCCCTTCGCTTTCTCCTCCTTTTAAACATCCTTTCTCTCCCCCTGGTAAATATTTCCTCCAGTCCCCGATTTCTTATGTCCTTCAGTAAACAAATCAACGCAATAAACTAGACAACTAAACGAAATTAACCTTTATCTGCAAACTCCACATCGACAACCCCCCCCCCCCTCCCTCCAAAAAACACTTTCCCTTGTTAAATAGAGACTGTTCTTTACAATTCCTTCCCCCGATATTGCAGACACCATGTTGCAGTGTGATTTTCACGATCATTTGTCCACATCCAGGCTTATTACTGCAACAGATTTACCCACACGCAGCAGCAGATCATGCATCATATTCAACGCCCTGTTTTTGGACGTTTCATCCCGCTCGTATTGAAAGGTGACACACTGCCACTTGGTCCTGGACTCTCTTCTCTGAAATTGGAGTTCAGCATTGCGAGTTCACGAAGCTGCTGTCTCTTTATGTAGTCCTGAGACTCATCCTGATATTAAAAGCAAAACAAAACACACACAAACACACACACAAGGGAAACAAAGCACCAAAAAAAAAAAAGAGAGAGAAATATTAGTAGGTTACAAAGATTTGTGTAAATATCTCACTGTACTACAAACAATAACAAGAAGGTTGTGTGCACTCTTGTCAAAACCCAAACCACAGTTTACAAATCACTCCACAGAATTTCCTAAGTAATTTCTATCTCCACACACTTCTAATGGAGGGAAAACACATAGCCATAAAAAATAAATCAATAACAATACTCAAAAGAAATCGGTGTGGAGTCAGGTAAGGTTCAGGATAAGTACCACAGGCTTAAGTAATTCCTCTATAATTTCCTGGGCCTGCCTCAGTCTAATATCAACCACACTGGCAGGTAAATCAGCCTCAATCAGAATATGAAGGGGCTCATTAAGGTGCTCATAACCCGGCCTTCCCCGCAGCTTCTCTTCCTTGAAAATACAAGAATCAGAAAGGTCAACAACAAGATATGTCTAAATATAAATTGAAAAGACATCGATTTCAATGTATTGGGCTTGCAGATGTAAAAACAATACGCAGACTACCTTGTCGGGGTCCTTTATTGACCCTTTCCCTCTTATATATACACGACACCCAGTAGTTGCTTCCACCCGTTTCAATGAATTGCCCCTGGGGCCCAAGAGACGGCCCACAAAATTGAACTGGGAAAAAAACAAAAAAAGAAAGACAGAGAGAAAGCTAGCTCAAAGATTTTGTTCCAAAGTAGTAAGAAAATGAAAAGGGAGAAACCATACACCTAAAGCTTACATTTGGATAGGTATCTACAGGGATTTCAAGACGCAAAATCCGTTTGACAGTGTATGAGCTCGGACTAGCGGGTGCCCCTTGCCAGTCCATTGTCATTCCCGGAGTTCCACCTAATCTCTGCGGTGGAAAGAAGAGCTTGTAACACTATAGTGGAACGACAACACACCTATAAACATGGAAACATGAACTCCACTCGCACTCAGAATAAAGAACTCATCTCAGATAATGGAACCATGATCAGTCACAACAAAGACTTAAGAATGAGCAATATAAACTAAGGTACTAAAAATACTATTAAACAAGCAGCATATTTCGATTTCCTTGCACACTGAGTGAATGAACATAAGCGTTCAGTCAATTTTCCAAATCTTTGTCCTAGCTGCTAAAAAATTTAGGCTGCGCCTCCAGCTTCAAAGGTTCAACTCGATTGAACGACTGCAGATGTATTGCACTAGCAAATGGTCCTTTACAAACTCTAGTGCACATGTGGCACAAAATTACATCCCAACCACTAATGACCACGAGCACAAGACAAAGGCCATTCAGGAACGAAATCTTCTAACTACTTGAGACTATCAAAACCACTCATTGGTCAAGAAGGAATCAATGGTTCAAAGAAACACAATAAAGAACGACATCAAGAGTTTCCAGTTCACGCATATCTCATTAATTTCATAAAGAGAGATAGAATATACTCCCTCAATCCCGAAATGATTGTTTATTTTGAAACAAGTGAATATTAAAGGGAGAGTGCTAATATAATATGACATGAATTTAACACGTTATAAATGATCGGGTGATACATTGCCTTAGAATGGAGAATGAATTGAACGAAAAGTGAAAATCCAAATTGGACAATGATTTTGGGACATCTTAAAGACATAAACAAAAGAGTATCATGGGGGGGAAAAAATAGTTCACATATAAAACTAAAAAAGAGTCATCATTGACAACTCTTTTAGCTTTGTGGTAATAATGAACTTGATCAAAATGACTCAATTAAATTCCAGTACTTCTTATGTTTAATGAAGTTGCTAGAAATAAATACATCAAATACACCAATGCAACTTGGGTTGTACTTAAGCAGCCTCCTCTACGTAAGGCTCCGTAATCCTGACCCCCTAGACCCCAACAAAGTTGGGAATATCAAGAGTATGTTGTTTGGGCTGTACAACAAACTTCATTGAAGTTTCGAGCTTTAAAAAAATTGCAATGTAAGTAAGAGACAAGCAAAAGTTAATGATTTATTTTATTTACAATACATATGTACAATGGAATATGCTTTGTTAGAATTTAAAATTCAACATTAAGGCATTATAGAAGAAGAGTCTAGAAACAAGTTCTGGCTGAGAAGATATTCCAGTGTTAGATTCAGAAAATGGAATCAAAATTCACTATGTTTAGAAAAATGCAACCACTTACTGTAGTTTAAGGGAGTTACATTGATGTCAGAAGAAGATATCTTATATTTCGCAACTTCTTCAGTCAAAATTGGTTATCTTATCTAACCTTATTTAAACAGATGATGTGCCCGAATGCGAAGCAACAACATGTATTTAGCCAAATTCCATAATAGAGGAAATAGAGGGAAAAAAAAAATACTTGAGAAAGGAGAAAATTTCATGGGAGAACAATATTTACCTCCTGTGGAAGTCCATTCCAGCCAGAAATACCTGAACCAGCGATATTTGGCATAAGGTTTGATGATGCCATTGGACTGGGACTTCTATGTCGCAGCCTATCAAGATCACCAAAACCTTGATTTGGCACCATCCCGGACACCCGTAATATCTCTGGAAGATAAAAGGCAAGTCCAACTAGCCAATCAGTGATTGAGAACACAAAGAGGCAAGCAATCAAATATAAACACGAGAAAGAAGCTGCCTCGTTGAAGTTACAGCAAATTAACAGAAAAATACCAAAAATAATTAGAAAAGAGTTCAATCAGAAGAAACATCAGTTGTTTAAGCACCTTTAAATGACCATAAAGTTGGATGTCCAAACATACAGCAACTAAGATTGGTTTGGATAACATGCTAGAAGTTTTAATTGGTACCTCTCACGCATTTCTCGTCTCTACCATGTATATGCAACTCGGAGTAGACAACAGAAAAGCTTAAAAGACACACAGATAATTTAATTTCAAAAGAAAAAGGGAAATGAGGAATAGAGAGTTTTTAATGTAAATTTTTTATCTGCTTCAAATCAAATAAAATATCAAGAGGTTCCAAAATATATAGTGGCAGTTTAGTAAATGATCCTCAATATTTTTTGAAGCCCAACAGACTACACACAATCGAAATAAATTGCACAAAACCCATCCTGAAAAGAAATTGAAAACTAAACCAATGGTTGACAACTCCCAAACTGCCAAAGTAGTGCCCATGTATTACTTAACATCAGTTTCCGAAGAAGCGGAGAAAATGCTTGGCCAGCAAAAGAAGCATATACATGAAACTAGGACAATAATAGTAAGGCGAGAACAGCAAACCACTTGATTCCAGTGCATCAACCAATTTGATTCTTAGGACAATAATCATTTTATTGCCATTAAAACAAATTTACTACATATATTAAGGGGGGAAAAAAAGATTGAAACAAAACAAAGTTGAATTATTCCACAGATCTAGCAATTCACAAACAATCACAGCCGAACTTCCCTGCCCTACCCTACCGTTGCCTAGTTCAAACAATCAAAAACTGAAAACAAATGGCAGAGATCTAAATGCAGGTAAATAAGGAGGCAAAATTGAAAAAAAAAAAACCTTGATTCAATAGGCGGCTACATATAGGGAGGACTTGCATGAAGGGTCCGAGCTTCTGATGCTCCGCTAATAGCTCCGACAAGTACTGATTACTGGAAAACCAGATTCAATCCACACACAAAAAGGAAAAAGGTAAACGAAGTAACTTAAAGTTAGTGTTCGCACAGGAAATAAACTAGCGAGTAATATGAAAGAAAAATAAGACGACCAAACCTGTCAACATCGGAAGTTCTAATCTGAGGCGAAACAGCTCTGGCTGGCGAGAAGTTTGGATTATACATTCCGCCGCCGGACATAGCTGCCGAATTGAGTTATCACCTAGTTTCCTTTCTCCGGAATTAAGTTGGTTTTGATTTGGGGGAAAAAATGGTCTGGGGCGAGGGTTTTAGTATACAGTTTCCCCCTTCCACGCCGCGGCCGATAAAAATGAACTCCCCAAATACAAGTAAAAACGAGGACACAGCGAGAAGTCTAGTCTAGAGTGAAAAGAGGCCGATAGTTTAGACCTTGGAGTGCTAATTTTATTTATTTTGAGCGAACTACATTTTTCCCCCGAATTTTGGCTCGATGTACCGTAAACCCCAAGAGTTTTAGTAAATACTAGCATATACCTCTGCAAAGGTTACACATTAAAATAATCTATCTGTAATACTACCCCAAGAGCTTTAGTAAATACTACCATGATGGTGATTTATTAACTGTAATAATAATAATAATAGCACCTATTATATCAAAAATCATGTTTCTCTTAAAATTTCAAGTATCACTTTTTACTTAAAATTCTCCCACCCTAATCTCCAAGAAAAAACAAAAAAAAAAGTATTATCTTTTTCAAAAAAAAAAAAAAAAACGGGAATGATAATCCCCTTTTTATAATCCATGTTTCCCAAATACTTCAATTATTATAAACATTAAAAATTGCTATATCCATATTTTCATTAAAATTTATGATACTGTTTCATCCAAATAAAATAAAATAAAACCTCCTAAAATAACCTCCTTATAAAAGTCACTATCACTATAATCCACGTTTCCAAATATTCTGATTATGATAAACCTTAAAAGTTGCTCCATCCATATCTTCATTAAAACTTCTTATACTATTTCATCCAATTAAAATAAAAATTTAAAAAAAAACCTCTTAAAATAACATCCTTTTCAAACTCACTCTCACTATATAAATTCAGTTCCTTCCCCCCCCCTCTCCCGAAAAAAAAAAAAAAAAACTCTCTCAAACAGTATTTCGCTCTCCTCATCCTTATCAAATCGTAGAAGACTCTGCAAAATTGCAGCAAATTCAATCTATTGGTTTTGCCTTTTGGATTTATGTTTTCTCAAACAAACTTTATTTTAGGTTTAAGTTCTACTCCCTCCGTCCCGAAATTATGATCCAGTTTGGATTTTCACTTTTAGTTCAATTTGCACTAAAAATAAAAATTCAAACTAGGCAATAATTTTGAAATGCAGGATGTAAAACATAGTTTGTGATTTGTTATATATTTTTGCATCATCTATTACTTTATGCTTCATTTACGTCTTAAAAAGGATCAGTAATATTTGTATAACTCAAAACAATTCAGGGACTAAAGCCTAAATCCGTACGAATGTACGGGTCCAAAACCTAGTTTAAATAATCATAACATTAGTTGAAAGTTAATCCATGATTATAATAATATAATATAAACTTATTGTACTTCAAAAAATAATAAGTTAATTAATAAAGTATATTTTATTTTTACTAGGTTAACGCGCGGCCAGTATGTATTTTTTGGATATCTAAGATATATAAAGGGGGAGTTGCACCGGCCATGGACCTGTTTAGGTACGGTTACCGGTCACTCCCCCCAATATGTTCTTTCTTCCTCTTTCAGTTCTAATCGCAATCAAAATATTTCTTCCTTTCTTCTTCCTTCTCTGAGGTTCTTCATCGGTGAAAACGAAGCAAACTCTGTGGTTTGAATTCTGATTAGCCTCTCAGACGGTAAATTCTCCAATTGTCGCATCAAATTGTTGGATAAGCACATAATTTTGCTCCCTTTTTTCATCCCCATCTTGCAATCAGAAAGTGGTCTTTGTTTCTTTCAGAGTTTATTGCAATTTCGTTCCAGTAGGCCGGCAATATAGAAAAAAATTGGCTTCGATTTCCACTTTCCGTTTGAATCTTTTTGGAAAAAGCTGAATCTACCAAAGGTGAGTTTATAATTATGCTCTAAGCTCTTTGATTTTTCCGTTTTCCTTTGGTTTTCTCCTCTTCCCTTCTGAGCGGTGAATGGAAACCGTTTATGCATATAAAATATTTGATTGTTTTCCTCAAAGATTGTAACCAACACCTTCGTATTGGAAAACAAGAATATCGACAATTATTGCTTTTGCTGCGAGAAGAAATTAGATGTTGGTTTTTCATTACTTTGTTTTTCTCTTTTGAATTTAGTTAGATTCTTCTCAACCGATTATTTAGGTTAGCTTAAATTGAAGTGAAAGATTAAACTAGTTGTGTTCTGTGTGGATCAGAAAAGTAAAGCAACGAAACTAACTTGTTAAGGAGTTGGGATACATTAATTCTGTTTTATTTCTTTGCATATAAGGGTTTATGAAATGGAAGTGATAAATTGAACCCAGGGATTAGGAAATAGAGTTGTGCTTAGGAATTTATTCTATTTGTGATTTGAATGTTTTCATGTATACAAAAAATTCGGTTTGTTTGCTAAATCTAAACTCATACGTTAAAACTCAATTTGTTAATATGAAAAACTATGAGAGATATTTTCCTTCATTGTTAAGGTTGAGGCAGTATATAGTGTAGACGTGCACTGGAGGAAGAAATCTCATAGATTCATAAAATTGTAATTGTTTGGATTCTAGATCATGTGTTTGTTTTTATCCGGTGAGTTGTGCCCATTGCGCAGGTCCGAATACTAAACATGTTTTTACACTATTATTATCATACGAATTATTATGAGGACTTAAATTTGAATTCCAACTGCAATCTATATGGGCAAAAAAATCAATACCAAGGTCCTGGTTACATTCTTTAGGGAAAACAATCAAACATTAGATGAACGTTATATCCTTCTTTGCAAAAATCTTGCAAGCTCTCTGTGGTTATTGCACCTTCATGATAGCTTAAATTTTTCCATTTACAGAGTTATCATTAGGTTTTCTCTGCTTCAGATTTGAATCACTTTTAGTATCCCATTGACACGCCGCATGAAATAGAAACAAGTACTTGCTGGTTTCTTAATGTTGAATTCTGCTTTAATGAAGAACCAAATAGCATATGCAATATAGAGTATAAGTTCCATGAACATAAAAATCTTTGCTTTGATCTTTTAATATTCTTGCAACTTTAACAGAAGATGGAAGTAGAATCACTCGTCAACAGTGGAAGTGTAATTTTGGATCAGAGAGGGATGAAGGAAGGATAAAACCATTTCCTGTTCTCTTTATAAATGGTTATGCATATGAAAGTTACTGCTTGCCAACTGAAAAGACAGATTTGATCAGAACTTTTCTGCAAGAGGGGGATGAAACTTGGCTACTACAATCAAGATTGCATCCATTAGCTTCTTCGAAATATGCATCCATGAAGGCATTGGAAGATTTGATGTGCCTGCAGGTATGAGTTATCAGTTATCATGATTAAACGATCCTATAATATGGCTGAATGTAAAATATTGATGAATATGTAATTTACATGGGTTTCTCTGCAGCAATCAACAAAATTGTTGAGCTTAATGGGACGTCGACTAAGGTACATGTTGTTGCGCATTGTGTTGGAAATCTAGCAATGCACATTGCACTGATGGAAGGACACATCTCGGGCTATATAGTAGACACAAATGGAAACAATACTTACTTGATTCATCCAGAAAGAATGGCACTTCCTACGCTGTATTTGTCGGGCGGACGCACTCTTCTTCTGATTCCTCAAACTTCTATCCAGGCTAACAGTTCACAAGGCTACACCAGCCAGGATTTAGGCATGAAAGAATGGTGGTTAACAGGTTTGGGCACTCGGATCTGTGAAGACTCATCCAATGAAGTTTTCCCCCCACATTTTATCGCATGTTGCATTGGCAGAAAAAGAAAATACAGCTTTATAATGTTCGAAATTGTTTTACACGATAAGTGGACAAATTACATCATGAATCTGTCTCTTCCTCTCTCTCCCTCTTGGAATATTAATCCGTCCGTGAAATCGATAGTATAATGTGAAGTTGTTTCCCAACCCTTTTTGTTTGAAGAATTTCATTTGTACTACTCAATCCTCAATACTGAGTACAAAATTTTCCTGCTTGGCCTCAAAAGTAAAAAAGAAGGATCGAATCGCTTCATGCCCGAATGGAAATGTCAGAAAGGAATTCTTCAAGGTTGATAATCAATAAGTAACCAGATCTGTCGTTGATCCTAATTAATTGTTAGTTAGTCGTACTTTATATTAACAATAAATTTTGAGAAAAATACTGGGCTACCACTCCCCTTTTGCTGCACAACGTGCAACCCCTTCCCCTAGTTTTATATGAATGTATGAGTTCGTATTTTTATTTTATTATAGATAAATGTCAGCACTAACATTTTTAAAATAGGATGTATTTTATAGTAATGTTTAAAATGAATAAATATTAATAATAAAAAGTTCATCATAGGTGGTTCAAATGGTATTTTGGTTACCTTTTAGGAACTTTTATAGCCAACATTACAAAAAAAATCTAGACCAAACCATCTATTAAATTAAGAATTCTATGTCCAAGTAATCTTATAGAATTAAAATATGACATTAATCTTAATGCCAAAGGAGAGAAAAAAAAAGTCTTATAAATAACAGATCAAGTATATTTTCAAATAGAACTCCAAGGATTACAATATGGTGAAAAGATTTGTTAACAATCAATATATTCTCATTAATACAGAGATAGATCACTATTGAACACCTTAAGAAAAATCCAAGGCATTGCCGGATTCAAAAGGGCACAATTTGTACGGACAAGTACAATGATTTGAATGGAGAGGCACGTTCTGCAATTGAGACACCTGTAAAAGGGAAATTTGACTCTGCTGGTTTGCAATATGTCCTGTCGCCCAGAGATGTAGTGAATATCAGTGGCGGAGCTAGGGCGACCGGCGATCCCCCCTCGCAGGAATTTTTCTTTAAGGATTGTTTCAAATTTTTAGTGTAAATTAATTTCTTTTTTCTTAGATTTTTACCCCTGTAAAATAAAATTTTGGGCATTTCGCCCTTGCAAACACAATTTGAAAACAGAATTTGAAATCCCCGGTGTTTACATGGGTTTAATTGGCATTTCAGCCCATAATCTGATTGATTTCCAATTCAAATTGAAGGTTCTTACATTCATGTCCATTTCTTCATGTTTGCTGAGATTTCAATTTTTTTAGAACTGGAACATGTTTCATTACACTGTTTCGTCTATTTCTAGCCGGAATTTGGATTTGTATTCTGAAGAGAAATTGTAGCCTTCTCTTCTAGCTTTACAACCATATGAAGAATTTCTAAATTCGAGCTCTGAAAGTCTAAGTTATGCTCTTTGGAAGTTGATAGATAGTTGCTGAACTCTGCAGATTTTATTTTCAGTTCTGACAACAGATTTTTAACTGCATTTTTGGCCATTGAAAAACCTGAATTCAGAGAAATGTTCTTCATGACAGAGTTGGATCTCTCTTTGAGCTTGTTGGATCTCTCTTTGAGCTTTGCAACGATATAAAGAACGTCCAAATCTGAGTTTTGGAAATCAAGTTATGGCCTTTGAAACCGGCCTAAGAGTTGCTGATGTTCTGCAAACTTCATTATCTAGTTCTGACAGCTAAGATTTCAACTACATTTTTTACGCATTTATGATATGATTTTGGAGAAGTATGGTTCATGGTAGTTTTAGCTCTCAGTTAGGGTGTTGTTCATTCCAAAGAGCCTAACATGTCACATTCTTGGGTAGGTTTCGGATAACAATAGTCTTCATGCCAATCTTAGAACACATATCCTCCACTCCAGATTTATTCATGGCCTTCAACACCTTCAGCCTGACCATATGTTGTTTTGACTGTAGTCGCAGACTCATGCTCTTACCTGGAGATAACAAATAAATTGTTGTTAGTTGGAGGGACGTGGCTTTATGCGTAAAGCTTAGTCATCCACAAAGCATTATGTTTCCTTTTCTTACCCCTTTTGCCCTGCTTTTGGCATGTTTTCATCCTAAGCAAATTCATAGAAATTGGACATGCAAAATGCAGAAAATTCAAGCATAAAGAAGCACATGCTTATTATAACTCAACCAAAACATGCCCTATTCAGAAAATTATGAATAAGCATGATAATCGAAAAACACCAGCTGCTATAATCAGAAAATTGCTTAATAGTGAACCCAAGGTTAAAATGTCAAAGGACTACAAAACCAAAACAAGGAATTTACTAATACCGGAACCTAACATACAAAAGCTATAAAATCCTAGAAAAGAACAAGCGAAGAATAACAAAACAAAAATATTTTTTCATTACAAAATGTATTCACTCAAATATGCAAATTATGATGAGCATAAGTATGCAAATTCAGATACAATAATCAAGAGGTTCAACAACTCCAAATAATAGGCCAAACCTTTTTCTAAAGATTGCAGAACAAAAGCAATCATGTCAGTAAGTTCCCTTTCTTACTTCAATGACTCAACTATTAGGTTTTGAAATTAGGACAACGATTCAGAGTTACAGAAACAAATGAATATGCTTTCAGGCACCATTCTCCTGTCCTCCTTTGCCATTGATTATTGTGTGTCTAGAAGATGGAAAACTTGAAGCCTTATTCAACTACTCCATGCAATTGAATGGAAACAGAAGATGGAAAGCTACAAAGAATGATGTATGTATGCTAGACCACTAAAGTAGTCAACTCTCAAACATACAACAATAAAAGTATGAGATGCAGCTGTTGAAAATTAAAACAACTTTTACAAAAAAAAAAAAAAAAAATCACTTTTCCAGATTTGAAGTCCGCAACACAACACTTTTATTCCAAATTTGGCAATAAAACCAAAACAGTAAGGAATAGAAATATCAGTAATTTGTTTCAGTTAGAACCAACTCAGTACAGACACTACAACAAAAATGGGTTATTAATACCTTTATAGTGGGACAGTTTTTTTAAAATGTGTCTCATTATATGTATTAGGACATTTGCTAAAAAGTTTCTTATTAAAACTGAAAAAGTGTATGCATATTACGAAACACTATCATAAGTGCACTATGTGGGGTTGCTTGTGAACTATTACCCTACTTAATGGGTCACTTTAAAGTGTCTTAATAAGTGACAATCTAATAATACACTTTCAAATGTTTTATGACTTATTGTGACTCAATTATAGGAGACACTATTTCGTAGTGTCCCACGCAATGTGAATCACATGAGTCCTATTACACCACTTATTGAGACACAAAAAAGTGTCTAAACTACTAATTTTTGTTGTAATGAGATAAAATGACGCTTACCTCTGTCATCATCTAGGAAACCGACCTTAAAATTCAATCCCAGACCAAATTGCATTGTGTCCAAAGAAAATCGCCCAAATTAACATCAACAAACCGACGACCGCCAGCAACAAAATTTTGCACACTTCACAAAACACAAATACACATCTTAGATAGAACACACCAGCAGAAGCATTCTAAAAGACTAAAGCTGGAAAAAAAAAGTACAATATTTAACATTATACAACATCTAGTGCAGACAAAGATTTTACAATTCTATTGAGACCCTTTTAATTAGCAATAAGTATGTGCTAGCTAAATTAGTAATTTTCACAGTCAAGCAAATCGGATTACCGTTTTCCAATGGCGAGGGATTACAAACAATCGCCTATCTTTTCTGTTGATAAACCTTTCCGATGGAAATACCCTTCACCTCGTTCCTCTTAGGTACGATCTCGTCCCTTAGAAAGAATCGATTTCATAGCTCCAATACTCCATATTCAATATTCAGCCTCTTTTGTGGGGAGAAATCAACTGTGCTTCGTTTTGAACCCTCCAAAAACAAATGAAGCTATTGACTGGAGCGAATTAGGTTATGTAAAGACCATGATAAGATCTCAGGAGGGGTATTTTGGAGCATCACCGCGAAACCTCTAAAGTCACCACCAGTTCCACCTTCTACATCCCATCCTCTAAACCTCTACCAACACCACTCCACCATCGATACTCTTGTCAGCAAATTTGGAGGGTGTAATTGGCCCGAGAGAAGAGGTGATGGAAAATTGGTGTCTAAAATTGGAGATTAACGGAATCAGGAGAACACCGGCGGGAAGAAGGCCAAGCGTATAAAATCTGATGTTAAATAGGGGGTTTTCTTTTATTTGGTGATTGAAAACGATGTCTTTTTGAAACGACGTCGTTTCGATGTTCAAGTGATTATTTCGTTTGGTGTTTTTTACGTGTATTGGGGGAAAATGTTTTTAAAAAAATATTGTATTTAATTAATGACAATTATAACCCTTTTAAAAATCGCTGATGTCATCGAAACTTTTCAGCCAATCAAAATATTACTTTATCATTGAAATATAATTCAAGGTGGTTCTTTTATAAGAATAGGGAAAAGACATTATATAACTATTATAATTTTAAAATTTTAACATGTATAAAAGAATTAATATGGACTATTTACAAATTTAACTTATGTTATATTTTTAAAAAATATTAAAAAAATTTTATTTAGAAAATGTAGATTGAAGGGTATTTTTGTCTGTTTGAAAAAATTGATGATGATATTAATATAATTAAGGGGACATTTGGTAGTTTACTATGAGTCAAGAGTTAATATGATAATATTACCAAAATTCAGAGGGTTTTATTGTAAAATGGATCAAAACTCACTGACAGTAATATATAGTTCGCCTTTTTATTTTAGTTTGGAAATGTTTTTGCTTTTTTTTCTCTACTTTCCTAGCCTTCTAGTTAGAGATTTTGTTTAAAATCGATAGCTATCGACTATAGGACTACTAAGGGTGCGTTATGTTGTTTGGTCCTCTATAATACTCCCTCCGTCCCATAATTATGGTCCAGTTTTACTAAAATGAAAAATTTTATTTTTGATCAAACTTAACTATATTTTACCTTAAACAACCGGATATACCCCTACATAAGTAATTGTTTAACCACTAAGATTTTATGGATAATGTTTTTTACTAAGAACAAATGTGTAACTTGATCCATAAAAAGTTAAATTGGACAATAATTTTGGGACAAAAGTTTTTGGCAAAGTGGACAATAATTATGGGACGGAGGGAGTAATATTTATATAGGCCACCTACCTATTTGACTAAGCTACTGAGGTGAATTGCCTATTTCCCGCAGTCCGCGGTGAAAATCAAATTTTCAATATTGCAGTTAAAAGGTACAATGGTCTACTTATCAAAGTATGACTTAATTCCTTTCAAAGTCTATGTATTTTGAATGGAAAATGTAGAAAAAAGTTTTATGTGTACTGTAAGCACATACATATATACACACACACATATACACAAACTCTTATAGCCACATGAGAATTACAGGTGTATAATTTTTTCTTTGAAAAAAATATTTAGTTACAATTATAGGTTTTAATAAATAAAAAGAAAAAAAAAACTTATGAACTACTTTACTCAAGTACAATGTGCATCAATTATTGGTTTATGTGATCTCCTTAGTTCCGAAATTTAAGATTAAAATTATTCATATTTTCACCGTGATTAGAAATATATCTCAATGTAGAAATTATTTTTCCCAAGTGAAATTAGAAATATTATTTTTTAAAATTACATTGTTATATCCTTCCAAGATAAGTCAACGAGTATAGTATACCTGATTATAGATTCTTTTACTTCATAATACACAAAGAACTTATATGAGGTTTGATTTAACATTTTTAATATTTTATTTAACTAATAAAATATCGCTTCATGTATAGTAATACTTTAAACTTCTATACACATGATATATATATATATATATATATCTATAGTATATTATAAAGGACAAACCAGAGAGAGAAATTGGTTGATCCTTCATAGAGTGTCACATAGGCTATGAATTCCAAATAAAAGAACTTTCTGTAATAACAAATAAAGTCTTCATATATTTAATCAATACAATTTCAGTACAATTAATTTGTTTAATTTTTTTCATACCACTATAAAACATAATATGGCCTCTATTTTCATCACCACTAAGATTAAACTCTTTCAAAAATTACATAATATTCAATTTAACATTCCTTACATATTTATATCTTGATATTTGTAAGTAGATCTTATAATTTTTATTTAGTCATATCCTTTATAATTTTATACCATCACAACTCATTAACATTATTTGTGTTTGTCACAGTTTTATTTTTTCAAGATTTTACCATATTGTGTTTAGATGAATCCCGTACATCGCACGGGTTTAACATCTAGTAAAAATATATTACTAAATTGCTAATTAAATGTAAAAAATAACATTACATATCTAATTTATTTTTCACCGTGAAATAAAATTTTAAACGGGTGATACGAAAACCAAGCATATCACGCAACGCTTGAAATGAGTTAAAAAGGGACATGGGCAAATAAAGTGATATATTATCTAAATCTTCAAATCAAATCTAATCTTACTAAATTAATTTTCATTTGTTCAAATAATTATGTTGCTAATTTCTTTGAAAGTTGAATGTTTTAAATGAGTTTTAATATGGTTATGAAGTGTGTTTGTTTAAGGTAATCAATTATTGACTTTTTGGTTATTTGAGTTTGAGTTTAAAGATAACTACATGTTTGGCCCAGGCAGATGCCCGGGCGCCCCTTCTAAATTACTATTTTATTAAAATCTAATTGAATTACTATTTTTTGAGGAATTAATTTGGCGTATATATCATTTATGCTATGATTTGGGGCTTAAAAAAATATACCTATAAATCTGAGGTTATAAGGGAATAATAAATAATTAGTTTATAAGGCATTATTCTTAATTGCTGGATTTAGGTATTTTTATTTTTTGTTTATATTAAGCCTGCAAAACTATACGATTGGACATTTGAATTTGTATTAATATATCCATTCATTTGAAATGTAACTGATCCTTATTTGTAGTAAAACATGTGTTTTTTTTTTTAAAAAAAAAATTATATAACTTCTAATTAAAAGAGACTTACAAGTGGCAAAAAGACTCCTGAAATCTGAAATATGGTGCATTGGACCCAAAATAGATGCATACTTAGTTGCCACATAAGCTTCATGTCTTCTGCTTTAATAGGGTAAAAGAGATATATATATTTTTGGGATTTTTGTAATTTCAGTCCGTTTAGTTTTTCCCCCGCCATATGCGGCATTTTTTTAATTTGGGAGATATTTCCTTAAAAAAAATTAAACCATAATAACATAGTTTTGACTTGATGTATTTTAGATGAAAAAATCTATCTATAAACTCCATTATAGCAAAAACTATTTTTAACCTAAAATTCCAAGTGTCAAATTATTCTTGAATTTCAACCCAAAATTCCAAATGTCAAATTATCAAAAAAAGTTTGTCAAAATTATAAAACCATTATCCAAAATAAAATTAATTTCCTAAACGTAAAAAAAAAATGGAAGTATCAGAATAGTGTCCTTAAAATTCCAAATGTCATGGTGTCTTTAAATATCTCCCCTAAATTTTAGACATGCAAAACCAGAACCACTTCGTTTAGTAACTCTTCATCTTTTTTTTTTTAAAAAAAAAACCATCAATCTTCCCATGTCTCAAATTCAAATTCTTCACTCATGTATCTTAAAATCCCAGCAAATTAAATCTATTTGCTTTGTCTTTTCGAATTGGATTTATTTTTTTCTCAAACAATCTTTGTTTTGGGTTTAAGTTCTAAAACATAGTTGCAAAAGTTTCTCAGTATGTAAATACGTTATGGTTTGCCAGTCCTTTCTTCTTCTTCGATTTGTTGGAAGTGGCGACCTTGGACAACAATCAGCATCAACGAGATTAGTTCCATTTAATTTTTTTTTTCTTTTTGTAGCTCTTTGTATTAAGATTTTTTTAGTATAACATCTAATATTTAAGTTGTTCCGAAAGAAAATTCAAGTCCAACTGTTCTCTTCAATTCAGATCTAACATATGGATAATCAGCGATGGCAGTGACCTGGTACCCGTATTATAGCATAACGGAGAGATGTCATAAACTTCGACAAAACAAATTCAATTCCTTTGTTGGAACAAAATTTGTAAGGTCCTGAATTGTTGGAGAAGACAAATCCAACAATAACTATGGAAAAAATTGATAGATTCTATCAATCTTATCAAGGTATAAAAAAGAAAACTTTTCTTAATAATTTATCGTTCCTTGAATAGTACTGTTTGTGATGTTTTTATTTCTGGATCTTTTTCAGAATTACCATGAATTAATTAATCTGATTCTTAGGGAAAGAAGTTGTGATTTTTTAATTTTTTGGTAACTTGTCGTGATTTTTTCTTAAGCTGGATCCATTTTTATTCTTTTTTGGAGTATCAATTCATGGGTTTCCTTTGTACAGGTTGCTGTGAATTAAGCTTCTCCAGTTGAAGATGTTGTGAGTTTTGATTTCGTCCTTTAGTGTTTTCGCTCCTTCGATGTTTTGCTTCAAAAGTAGAATAATTAATGGGAGATAGTAGCTTCAAGACCCTAAAGCCTACCTCAAAAACGATGCAAATTGGTTGTATCTAAAGGCTGTTTTTGAAGCAGGGGATATTCAGAAGCTAAGAAGAAATTTCATGGTAATTCTACTTTTGGAGAGGAGCAAAAAGACCTCCTTAATGCCTGGATGAATTTAGGACAATTGAAACTCTGAAATGCCTGGATGAATCATGAAGATAGTTTATCATATTAAAGAGAATCTTTTAGGTTGTTTGGCAAGTTTTTCAATGATCCTGCTTGAGTCTTCGAGAGAAAAAATTTGCTGCACTTCTTTTTTCCCCTTTTGTTGTCTTATAGAACTTATGACGATAATATTTAACATAGATATTATGTACAGTTCTTGCTCCGTTTCCATGATAATAATTTTATAAATCAAGAAAGTGCTAATTTTCTTTTATGAAGTGGAGATTAATGTCCGTTTTCTAAAATTGAATTTGTCTATTCTAATTATGTGCATTATTTTAAAATTTTTTGTCAAACCCGTGCGAATGCATGGGTCCATATTCTAGTTTTAATTATATCACAATCCATTAACTTTACTCTCTCTAACAATTGTTTTAATAGGATTGATGTTAGAGCAATTGAATTTGAACGAGATGAAAAATGTACGTTAAGGTTTTTTTTGGTAATTTTATTATTGAAATTTTGACATTGTCTTCTTCTTCTTCTTCTGCCTTTTTTTTTTTTTTAATAACATAAATGGCATCTTCTTTCATTTTTTTTTTGAGAGAAAACATTGCACGAGAGTTCAAATAAATTATCAAAATTTATCTCCTACTGAGAAATAGTTTTCATGGGAGCTTTTTTTTTTTTTTCTATGTATTTAGTTAGATTTTTTTTTAAAAAAATCAAAATGACAAAATATTTACTTGATATGTCTAATTTTTCGCTAATTTGAGGAGATGCCATCTAATCTATAGTATCGTGCCAGGAGTATGTTATTTAACCTTTATCAATGTTGCCTTTAAGATTGGGTGGAAAAAACAAAGAAGAATGAGTAAAAGGGAAAAGTGAAAATTAAGTTAATGTAAAGTAGGAAATGATGTCCTACTGGTTAAGATATTGTACTTTGAATCGCAAGATTGAGAAATTGATTTCCACCGCATAAGTGAGAAGTAGATACTTGCACGAAAAAACAAGTAGATGAGTCTAACAGTTTGATAAACTAGACAATGCCCTGTACCTCAGAGACGACGGAAAACCTGACATTGCTAGAAAGAAGCTGATAGGCCCGCTTGTTGTAACAATGTAGTTATGCTCCAGGCACCAATAGGTATATATATATATTTTTTTTTGTGGGAAAAAAAAGTTAATGGTGAGGATTTTCTTGTCTTTTCATACAGGTTACTAGTTGACTTGCAAGATTTACTGATAAAATGGAAATTGGTTATTTTCTCAAACAATGAGGGGCACTGGTAATAATACTGAACCATGGGGGGCAAAATGTAATTAACTGATAAAGAAATGAGAAATAAGAGGTGGTCAGGGGCAAACTGGCAAAGCGGGGAAGAAACGACGACGGAGATTGATCGACCGATCGATTGGCGACGAAATTCGAAACAAATTGGGGGAAATGGCGTGGGTGGTGTTGGAAGCGTTCCTGCCGCTCGGAATCATAGCCGGCATGCTCTGCGTCATGGGCAACGCTCAGTATTTCATTCACAAGGCTGCCCACGGCCGGGTCCGTATTACTTTCCTTAAACTTATCCTTTTGTTTTTAGATTCTGAATCGTAAACTTAATTCGTCGTGACCATGGATTTCTTTGATTTGAGTAATTAATTTTTTATTTTATTTTTTGGTGGACAGCCGAAGCACATCGGTAACGACGTGTGGGACGTGGCCATGGAAAGACGGGACAAGAAGCTCATGGAGATTCTATCCTCTTCTTCTACTGCTACCTCTTCTGATTAGATGGTAAGATTCCTCCATCCTGCTCTGCAACTTTGAATCTCTGATCTTTCCTGTTTTTTGCTTTTTTTTTTTTTTTTGGGAAAAAAAAAGCTAGACAAAATGGTGGTTGCAACTATATAGTGGACCCTGGTTTAGGGTTTTATAGATCTAGATTTACGTCACCTATTACTAGGTTCCGAGAAACTTTATTGCTGCTAGGCCTTAAACCCTGGAGCTTATTCGTGGAGTTAGCTATGTTTATAAATGCTGGAGTAATGTAGGTTTGGGGGCCGATTAAGCAAGGATGTTACCAAATGTATGAGTTTTTCCAGCAATTGCTTTCTTGATTATCAGATTGCGGAGTGGAACTAGTGTTGCTCTCCAGGGATTGAAATGAATTCCTTGAAAATAAATATTGTTTTCACTTTTGCGGTAGTCAGATCAATTGAGCATCTGGGAACATTCAATTGCTTCTTAAGTTGTTTCAAGTTAAGCAATTTAAAACACACAATTGCCTAGATTTGGAGTTCATTGAACATTTTCATACAAATTCTATAGCAGATTGATACCTCTATCTTTGACCCAGTCAATATTCTAACTCCAGTGATGTGTCTTCCCACTTCAAGTTCTTGTTTTTGCCTGCAAGTGCTTGCATTTTAATGTCAATATGGGGCTCAAGGAAAGTTGTCCTCGCTTGCCGGCTGAAATTTCCTGATTTCAGTATGAGTTTGGTATCATTATATTACCGTTTATCAGTCTCACAAAATCTGCTTTTATCCCGAGTTTTGTTCGTGGAGTACAAATACTAGGTATAGGGGTTGTTGTTTGTGTTTTGTCATATTGGTGAGAGTTTGAGTTCAAGAAAGGAAGTTCTGTATTTGTGGTCTGCCCTTTGATTTGTAGATTTATGTGTCTTTTTTATAATTTCAATGATAAGGTTATGTGCCCTTTGATCTGAATGCCTCATAAAATTTGGATACTCCTTTTCTGATACTGTTATACAAGATTTGACACGCTGAATCAACTTCTCATGCAACAGGAAGAATCTCTATTGGCAGACTCTGCAGAAATAAGCATCTCTTCTAGCCTGAAGTTATGTGCAAACATGTTCAAATGTTGTTTCCCTCGTGTAGCTCTTCCTAAGATTTTTGAACATTGAGTGAAGGAGCAATTTAAGTTTTTGATTTGACTCTTTGAGTTGGTTTACTGGAAAACGACTAGAGATGTTTGATTCATTACTTTTCTTGAGTTATCATCTCTTTCCTCCTTTATCCTACCATATGCATAGTTTGATCGGCATTTGATGTTGTAGCTTCCTGAATGTCTGTTTGTTTAATGTTTAAATTAGTCTTTGAGTCCCGCGAGATGCACTGTTGCAATATGGTGATCTCGTTGCCCAAAGAACACTTGCTTTAAATAAACCAAACTCATTAGAAACCATGGTTTTCCTTAAATATAGTGAATGTTTACACCAATAGGTTGGAATCTCCAATAAACCAGAGTGTCGAGAGGATGAAGGGTAAGAAGACTATAATTTAGACGATGTCAAAGAACATACTGTTTTGATTGTTGGGGGCATATTCAGGTTCAGTGGGTTGTGTTCTAGTAACCGTAGCTGCAGGTGCTTTTGTGCTCCCAAGACCCTGGATTCTGGTGTCCTTGCTTCGTTTCTGAGAATATTTAAGCCAAGCTGTATATCCGCAAGATGCAGATGGGTTGAGAAGCAGTGAAAATGTGTACTTCATTGTTGGTATTCCTGTGATGGCTCTTTGCATGGTCCTTTAAAACTTGGCACCTAAACTTCCTGTTATTAGGTACAAGAATGAGTTGAAAAGTCAAGCGTTGAATGATGAGAAGCGAGCGAAAGGTGACCTCACTAAAGAACTCACGGAATCAAGCTTGTGGAATGTTTTTGGAACCATCAAAGGGGATGGATTTGCTACCTGCATCATGTCCGTTGTTACATTATGCATTTTCCTGGATTCTCAAGGATTGGTTCCCAGTACTCTTGATAACAAGCTATAACGTATTTGATCTGGCCAGCAAGTCTCTAGCATCATATGCACAAATTGCCATAAGTGCCTCATAAGGTTGCTATTTTTACCTCTTTACTAGGGTTGTTTGCTTGGTCTCAGAACAGAGATTCCAGTTACCGGACCGAGCTGTCTTTTGGGACTCCCCAACCGGTACTTTACCAGCGGTGCTAATGATTTTGACTCTCAAGACTGTCCAACTGCAACATGGTGAGACAACCGGGACTGTTCTCGGTGGGTTGGTCTTGCCATGGCCCTTGGTCAATATGCCTGACTTTTTTGCTTTGATTAGGTTGACCTTTAACTTTTGTAATTCAAAAAAAAAAAAAAAATTGTATTTAAAACACGCAATTAATCCGAATCAAGCCGCTTATGCCTCTTTGAAATGAGTATGTTTGTTTCGTTTTTTCAGTGTGTGTTTATAGGTATTTTTTCCATCGGAAATGTAAAAAATTATATCGAAAATGTAAAAAAATATGTTGGAATGAGACCGTTATTATTATATTATTATAAAAAAAATCACGAAAAGAATATACAAATATAGTACTCCCTCGATCTCATAATTATTGTCGAATTCATGTTTTTATTTCTAGTTCAAATTGTATTAAAAGTAAAATTAAATTGGACAATAATTTAGAACAAAGAGTATCATTATTGTTGTACATACATATGCATGTGTTTACATTGAAATCTTCTTTCAGTATCTTTACCATTAGACTTGTTGGTCCTATAGTAATTTATTTAATTGCATATAATAAAAAAAGTACTCCCTCCATTTCAAAATAAGTGTCGTTCTACACTTTGTACATAATTTAAGAAATTCTTAAATATGGTAATAAAATTACTTGAATATCCTCAACCAACCCCATTATAAATTTGTCCACCAATAGCATAAACTCTTTTAAGGGTAATTTTAGAAACTTTTGACAAAAAGTGCATTGAAATGTGAGAACGACACTTATTTTGGAATTTCTCCATTTTACTAAAACGACACTTATTTTGGAATGGAGGGAGTACATGGTAAACATTGTATTCAATCACTCTCAAAATAATGGTAAAGTTATAATTCGTAGGGAAAATGATAATTTAAATTAGAACAATTGTTTTGTGTCGAGGGGTATTAAATGGGGATAGTTTCGCAAAAGAGTAAAAGATAGGAGTTGTTTTGGATCGCTCAATTCCACCAAAACCCACAAAACCAAATTCCCCCTTCATCGGAGTCTTAAAGGCAGCCTTCTCCTCCGACGGTCGGCCTTCTCAGTCATTCTGTCCATTTCCAGTTTCCCTCCATAATAATAATAAGACTATCGTAATGCTTTTTATTGCCAAATTTATGATATTTTTAGTAATAAATAGGAGTATGTTAAAAAAGGATTTATTAAATAAATAAAAATAGACCAAACATAGTTTGCTGCTCCACCGGCAGATTGCTCCTAATTTGGAATTTTCAATCGCAACGAACAAAGCCAGTCAAGTAGTACTATAATTTTTGTAGAGAGGGATAGAGGAGACCGCCGGAGCTCCTCCTCCCTCCTCTCCGCTTTTGGAATTTGATGATTTATATGCGAATTTCTCGTCTACTACTTCTCTGTTTATTTTCCAAAATATATATTAATTTATGATATTTGACTATAATTTCTTTAATTTTCCCCAAAGAATTCTATCCACATTTGTATTTTCATTTTGGGCTGTCCGTGCTTCTCAAAAACTCCATGAAGGAGACGGTGATGCGCTTCTTCTACTAATTTGATTGATTAGCGTTCGGTTTCAACGGAGTTTCGATCTCGGAGGTAATTTTAAAAGTTCCTTCCCCCCTCCCTCTTATTTACATGTATGATGTATTCACATCCGGCGATTGTTCAATAATCCGAATGGTTTAATTCTCTCTCTGTTTTTTTTTTTTTGTTTAATTAAATATTTTTGTTCATATGATATTAGGGTTAGGTTTAGGATTAGGGCACCGTTGTCGTCCTCGTCTGAACCCTCCATGAGAATGGAAGCAGCGTCCGGTGGTGATGACAATTCTGACGCTGCTTACCGAAGCAGTGGTGCTCCAGCTCCTCCTCTTAACGTCTTTAATCACGCGGCGGGGACGACCACATCTGCCTCTGCAAATAGTAGTAGGGGCTACTCCTCTCATTCTAGGAGATTATCAGCCTCTAGCATTCTGCGTTCACCTCTATCTGCCATTTTGGAATACTCCGGCATTATCAGGAACCGCCCCTCCTCTCACCTTTCTGATTCCAGTACCATGACTTCCGGGGCTGGTCTCTCCCGTGCCCATCGTGATCGCCTCCGTGATTCTTCTGGTGCAGCTCCTTCTCTGTTGCCATCACAGATTCCCTCCTCTGCCACTGGTAATGGTAGTGGAGCAGGTGAGGTTTCAATACGGATCATTGGTGCTGGAGAACAAGATATCCTTGACAGGGTATCTTCCTCCCCATTGTTGGCTGCGGCCAACTCCCCAACCCAAATTGAGAACTTCCCAAGAACTGGCTCTGCCGTATCATTGGAAGGTTTGAATGATCGAGGAGGGGGAGTGTTGTTAGATGGGCTTATGCCTTCAACAGGTGTAGGTGCGGATACTGAAACTGGTGGGGATGGAGATGGAGTTGGTGGGCCTACAAGTAATATTAATAGGGACTCTACACCTTACCAAAGATATGATATTCAACAGGCGGCTAGGTGGATTGAACAGGTCCTTCCATTCTCTTTGTTACTTTTGGTGGTTTTCATTCGGCAACACTTGCAAGGTATAGTGAAGTGAAGATGTTGTTTGTTCACCCTTGTAACAGGTTTTTTTATGTGGTTATAGTTTTTCATGACCTGGACACTGATGGGATGTGGTGCCTTGCAGGTTTCTTTGTTACAATCTGGATTGCTGCAGTAATGTTCAAATCAAATGATATTCTTCGGAAGCAGACGACTCTTAAAGTAATACCACGAATCTCACTTGTTGTTTTGAGTTCTATTTTGAAATTTATGTTGTCATTATTGTTGGCTAAGTTTTCAGCAAATGTTAAGGATATGATATTGTTGTGCAGGGAGAGAGAAAAATATCTGTTCTTGCTGGCATTTCTATTGTGTTCATGCTTCACGTGACTGTTGTTTATTGGTGGTTTTGGGGTGAAGATCTTATATATCCATTCGCCATGCTTCCTCCAAAGTCAATTCCACCTTTTTGGCATGCTATCTTTATAATAATGGTGAACGGTATGTCTCTTTGGTGTTTGATGATTTTCATTTGACGCAATAATTGGGTATTCTCTTTCTTTCTTTCTTTTTCGGGTGTGTGTGTGTGTTGGGGGAGTTGACACAGGGTGGCTTCTTTTATTTTTTGTCGGACAGTTGAGGGATTTTCACCTATTGTAGATGCTGCGTGGTCAATAATTTGTGAATATTACCGTCTTTGTTTGGTTCCATAAGGCTTTACTGGGCTAAAACAATAATTTTGGTGAGGGGAACGAGGAGGCATTGTGGAAGAGTTAGATTTTGAGAAATTATTGAAAGGATCTATGACGGTGACATAAGCCATTTTTGTGTTTGTTATTTCAGATACTTTGGTACGCCAAGTGGCTATGGTTGTTAAATGTTTAATCCTGATGTATTACAAGAATAGCAGAGGCAGAAGTTATCGTAGGCAGGTAAGTTTCTATTCAACTCTTAAATTTAAGTGATTGGTCCTTTGTAATTAATCTTGTATAATGCAAGATTTTGTTGTCACTATCTGAAGGGTGTCCTTTTTTATCTGTTAGGGTCAAATGCTAACTTTGGTCGAGTATCTGCTGTTATTGTACCGTGCACTGCTGCCAGCTCCAGTATGGTATCGTTTCTTCTTGAACAAAGAATATGGTAGTCTTTTTTCGTCGTTGATGACCGGTCTGTATTTGACGTTCAAACTCACGTCTGTTGTTGAGAAGGTAAGAATTTCGAATGAACATCTTTGTTTGGTTTCCTTCCCTCTTTTCCTTTTTTCAACTCCAATATTTAGCTTAGTTCTGCATGGTTTGTTCATTTTTTACGCATAGCTCTCATTTTCTTTAAGATCTGGGTGACAGTTGTCTCTTTTTTGCTTTTCTCCAGGTGCAATGCTTTGTTACTGCTTTGAAAGCTTTGTCACGCAAAGAGTTCCATTACGGAGCTTATGCAACTTCTGAACAGGTGATTATTCCTGAATGAAGCTGTATCCATACCTTAAGTCAATGGTTTCTCACTTTTTCCGTTTAGTTTGTCTTGAGCTGAAAATTTTATACCTTAAAAGTCTTTTTATCTTTCACAATGGGATTACTATTGCCTTTCTAGTGAGCAGTTTTTACTTTTGTTAGGTTTTTTTTCTTTTCTTTTTTGGTTGGGGGTGGGGGTTGACTGAGCATCCATCGTTTTAGCCATTTTAAGAAATAGATAGTTGAAAGCGTTGCATCAAAGGTTGAGTCAATTTGATGAACGTGATGTATGCCATTCTTTTCCATTCAGATAATATATGTGTGTTTTGGCCTAATCTTTACTATTTTATTTAAAATCTTAGTTTTTTATATGAATTTTGATCGATTATGGGGGTTATGGTTATTATATTTTACCATATGTATCATTGAATTTGAATGATGATATGTGTATTGATCGAGCACGGTGGCAACATAAGGTCCATATATCCAACTCCACATAGTGGAAAGAAGGCTGTTTGTTGTGTATGCTTAACACCTATGATCCATTGCACAGGTCAATGCAGTTGGCGATTTATGTGCTATTTGCCAGGAAAAGATGCATGTACCAATCTTACTGCGGTGCAAACACATATTCTGTGAGGACTGTGTTTCTGAATGGTACTCTTTTGTGACTTCTAATAAAATTTTGATTATCCTTCTTTTCTCTTGTCATTGTTCTAAACCTCTAATTGACACGCAATTTGTTTCAGATCCTATATTTGCTCTGGCAACAACGTACTTTTTGTTTCATTTTTTACTTCCTTTTCTACTTAGGTTAATCAGAGATAGTTGTGATACTTTTGTTGACCATATAAGTATATTTTTGCTGTCTTTCCTGCTTATGACCATAACTAGCTACTCGAAATGTCTTTTTCCTTTGAGAATAATCCTTAATCAAGCAGCATTTAAGAATGTAAAGAAAATGTAATTGCGAATGGAAAAACAGTTAATTGAAGTTTTTGCTGTCCCAAACTGTAAAATTAAAAGTCATCTCAAGTATCTCTATCTAATTTTTTCATCTTCCTGTTGACATCCGAAGCTTGTGGAGTGGTGCTGCCTTACGTTTAATGATTGTAACTTGGGTTTATTGGTTCTGACTTTATTCACAGAAAGATCTCTTTTTCTCATAAAGATTAAAATTTTTCTCAATTGGTATTTGTTGGATTTGAACCTAAGCAATCGTTGCACAAGTTTTTAGTTTCACAAGCGGACTTTGAATCTATGCTGATCTTGGCTAGATGATGCACAACGTTATCGCTGGAGTACAAATTGGTAATTTGACTCAAGGGCTAAATTTTTCCCCTGTTGGTCCCAAATTATATGTAATGATTAAAAATTGCGGAATTTGCATCTTAATATCATCTGGGAACAGTGTGTGGTGATGTGAATCATAATGTCTTTGGTTGTCGTATTTGTATGACAATGGCTATTAGCTTTTCTTGCAAGTAAATGGCTAAGAAGATCATGTGTATCCAGGTTCGAGCGTGAGAGGACATGTCCGTTGTGTAGAGCATTGGTGAAACTTGCTGATCTAAGATCTTTTGGGGATGGATCAACGAGTCTATTTTTTCAGTTATTTTAAAGAACCCTTTCTGGGATTTGAAGCCTGTCCAAAAGCGAGGATTTACTCGAGCAGTACATCCACAACACTGAGAGTTATATTTTGCTAATTCAACTGTTTTTTGGGTTTTGACTATAGGTGGCAAAATATAGTGGTGTAAAGAGCATTATGTCCGTATTGTAATGTAAGAGTAAGAAAGAACTTTTATGTATAATGCCTGATGTAAAGTCTACAGGTGCTGTCAGGATTTGAGGAGGGAGAGGCACTGTAAATGGGAACGTTTATACAAAAAAAAAAAAACTGTGCATTCGCCATATTGGAAAAAGGTTGCCCCAATTCCATATTTATTTTCAGTAGTAGTATTTGGTCTCTTAGTCATTTCTCTCGTCTCTCTCTCTCGCTCTCTCATTTTGGTGTAGTAAGAAGCATACAACCCGGTCTAGTCAGGTTAAAGGTACGCATTCTTTGATGTAATGTTATTCTTACTTGCTCTTTATTAAAGATAAAACAGCCCTTAGGTGCGGGTTGTGAAAAATAAAGAAAAAGTAGTTGATTGGAATTGCTCTATTCGCTGTAATGAAAAAAAAAAAAAAAAAAATCTATGACAGCTTGTCCACTCAAGAGTTTGTCATGTGGTACTCCACTAATTTAATGACAAGTAATCAAATTAATCCACTTATCCACCTCATAAACTCGTCTTGAGTAGGGAATTAATATTTCATGGGGTGTTTTTATTGTTGCGGAGGTTCAATATTTGATCTACAAAAACCTGTGTGGAATTCTCATTTGATTTACCGATTCATTGCCCGCCATTTGGTTCTTTGGTTTGGTCTACAAAAACATGTGCTGAATTCGCATTTGATGTTACCGATTCAGTGCCCACCATTTGGTTCTTTAGTTCAGGAGCCATCGCAAGCATTTAGACCTTTGATCTTTAATTGAAAGCCATTTTAAGGCTATTTCATTCAATTTCTCAAATCTACTGACTTTTTGTGGGACGAGATGCAAACTGGAGTTCGTGGTCTAGACTTTCATAAATTTATAAAACCACCCACAAAAGCCTAAAGCTTTAAGAATGGTGCGACGCATTTTGTTAAGCGGTGGGGGTTTTATGTCTCTGTATTTGGATTGTTGTAATTGTGTCACTTCACATTCTTTTTTGAGGTTATTTCAGAGTATTTCGGTGTTACATGGGCATGCAAGCTTGAAACTCTTAGCTGAACTAGTAGTATAGTTAAGAGCAACGAGATTTGGAAATATTCTTGTATATATGTGATACTAGTTGTCTGTGTGAATTGTTTGATCCGAAGTCTCAACCAAATTCTGTTATTTCATTTGGTGTTGTTGATATGTACAATCGCTTATTGTTTCATGATTTGTTAGTTTCACAAATTAGTTAATCAAAACAGGATTACGTAACCTAGTAGCTGCATCAAATATGCAGCAGCTAAAGCAACCCTAAATACGAAAATGACTTTACCTTGTAACAATGTAAAGGTTTGTTGAAATGTAATTCAAGATTATTGTTCAAAAACAAAGACAATTAAGCTAATAATGATGTATGCCTTGAACGTAAAACCTTTCTTATGGATGGGATTATAAAATTGCAACCTGTCTCGTTTGGGGGCGCCTAACATTAAAAGCTGAGGTTAGGTATTGACAGTTGGATTGGGATATTGAAGGCATATTTCTAGAATCAAATAAAAAACATTAACAAATATTCCTTCCATTCCAAAATAAGTGTCATTCTACACTTTACACATAGTTTAAGAAACTCTTAAATAGAGTAATAAAATTACTTGAATATCCTCAACTAATCCCATTAAAAAAATATCCACCAATAATATTAATTCTTTCAAGGATAATTTTGAAAACTTTAGACAAAAAGTGCATTAAAATGTGAGAACGACACTTATTTTGAAATTTTTCCATTTTGTTAAAACGACATTTAATTTGGAACGGAGGGAGTACATTATACCAAATTACAAGATTTTAATCAACTACTAAAATAAAATTCGAACTAAATTTTTAACATTTGGACCTTCTGGTGCAATTAAGGGTAGTGTGCAAAAAAATTTGGTGTATAAAAGTGCTTGGAATATTTTATTTATGCACACAGTTTAGTGTAAATTATAGAGGAAATGTAAAAGAAAGAAGAAAACGTGAAACCACCAACAAGAATAACCATTGAAGTCCTTCAATCACGATGTGCTGATTACAAGATCCCATGTTACCATAGTCTTTCCTCTCGATACATATAACATGAAATCCTTGTGTACAGCAAGTAGCAACACAAGTTGCATCCTTTATAAGAATAAAGTGAATTTGGTAAACTAATTATCTCATTCCTCAAAACAGATTTCTTTTCCCACACACTCTATAAGCCAATGTGAAAATGAATCAAAGAATAACAAACAGACAAACAAACAAACAAAGATACCTTCTTTTAGGAACAAAAGAATAATTACGAGTAACAAAACCTTCAACTTCAATGTCGAGTTGAAGAAGCAGCTTCTGGAGTGGACTCTGGACTACTGCTCCCACTTGTTGGGGCTTCATCTGCCGACTGTGGGACCTCAACAGATGCGGTGCTGTGGAAGTGCGGACCACCATCAAGCGATAGCCTGGGGATAGGAGAGGAGGTTGTCCTATATGGTGAGGTCCCAGGAGATGAGTTCTGGGATGAGGGTGGTGAAGCAGAAAGCATTCTTGAGACGGCAGGTATAGGGTAAACTTCTGTGACCTCTTCGATTCCCTCATCCAAATACACAACATCCTGCATTGTCAGTTGGTGATATTCGACTATCTCCCTCAGGAAGCGATTCTCCCGTGAATATACAGAATTCTCATGGGCCAACCTTGCCTTCTCAGCGAGAAGTGTCTCAAGTTGCAGACGTATCTAAATATTGCGACAAAAAAAAATAAAAAAAAATAAAAAGGAATCACACAAAATGTTTCAGTAACCAAAACAGCTGAATATGATGTAGGCAGTAAAACATTTCTTTTCTCTTTTTGGAAAGCGAATGAACCTCACAGCATGTTTAGTTTCTGGGGTAGAAATTCAGTAACCACAGTGCCAGAATTTTATTTTTTTTTTCGAAAAAGCACTCATGATTAAATGTACCAGACTTAGTAAATTAAGATTTCTTAAAGAAAAGAATTTTTTTTCAAAATAATAACCATTAGTTACATACAAAAAGATACAAATGTTTATGAACTATCTTCACGCTTTTGTGGAAATATCAGAATAAGTAACTAGTGCTTAAGAACCAGAATGCAGTGATTCAATAAAAAAGATAGTTGCAGAACTCAAAGAGGGCAAATAATAATCATTCTTACTGATTTTCGAATACTTTGGCACTTTTGGTTCTTCTTTCCATTACAATCATTTACTTCAGAGTATATAGATTCAGTAACTACTTGCAATTTTCATCCTCAGAATCTTGACAACTTCAACAGTCAGGACTTCAATTTTTAATGACATTTTCTTTTTGTTCCTTTTTAACCACTTCTCACAATTTCAGACCACAAACCAAACAGTAATTGGTAAAAACTAGTTGTAGAATTTAAGAAAACCATGATAGTAGTACCATGTCATCATCTGCAGGGTTGTCTCCCGTATCCCTGGCCTCTCGAAGGATCTTATTTTCGTCTTCCAATTGAGAACACCTCTGTTTCGCAAATGCCAGATCCGCCTTCACAGTTTTCAGTTCCCGAAGCAGTAGTTTTGCTTTAGCAGCAGTAGCCATTGCCACCTGTAAACACATGTCATTTTATCCGATTTAGTAGGTAGAAGTGCAATGGACAATCAAGGAGATGGATAAAGATCTCGAAACAAATGACAAAAAGTTAAAATAGTGGCTTAATGCTTTCAAAAGTCAAAGGCACAAATCCTCCTATCTTTATCGTCCAGAATACTAGCCTAGTAAACAGACAGAAGATGTATCCTGTTTTTTACATAACGGCTCACTAAGTTAAACATATCAAGAGGTGTAAAATAAATATAGTGATCTCCAGAAAAAAAAAATAAAAAAAATCAGACATATGCTTTCAAGACTCAAAATTGCCATGTGAAAATAGACAAAGTGGTGCTGAACCCTAAACAAGTTCATCCAAGCACATGTTCTTTTCATGTTTGTAAGAATGAACCACTTACCCAAAAGTGGCTGCTAAAGAAACCTACCACTCTTTGCAGAAACCATATCATCACTGGCCCTGCTTAACTATATGATGACCAGCTTGCTTGTCATCAGGGGCACATACACCCAAGATGGGGCAATTGACCCAGCTGAAATTTTTTATTTTGCTAATTAGTCCCTAACATATTGTTTTTTCAAAAAATTTGTTTTTGCGCCACCTAAATTTAAGATGTTAAGGGGCAAGCATATTAATTTACAAGTGTTGAAAATTTTGCCCCATCAGATCTCGTGGGCTCGGCTCTGCCCCTGCTTGTCGTCACTTGTAGCCCTAGGAGGATGTTCTTGATATTACAACTAAAAAAAAAAAAAGAGTTGCTCCGGTGGATAAAAAGATTAGATTTTAGACACCGTATCTTTTGTTGAGGATTATACTGCGAAGTTGTTGTTACTTCGTAGTATATAGGTTGAAGCATTTAAGTAGTGTCTTTTTATAGGAACAAGGAGTGATAATAAACCATTACAAAAGTTGCCACCTTACGTCGCGAGATGCTTTGATTTGTTCCTCTGGACTGGCTACCATCTGTTGTGGTTGCACCGCTGATTCCTGATTATTCTGTTCCTCGAAATTAACTCCTCTTCTTCTGATCTGTAATCTGCGTGTTTCTTGAATGATATCTGCAGTTTTACTTTCAACAATAGTACGGCCTTCCTAAAAACAAACCAAAAAAGAGAATAAGTGTTTACTTTGTAAACTTCATTGAGGACCGAGTTGAATCTCAATAGGCAACTTATAGCTTCTTTGTTAAAAGCCATTGGGTTAAGAAGCGGTAGACGAGAAACAGTAACTAAACTAACAATCCAAACAATAAATTGAGACTTGCCACTGTGGATAATCAATATACAACCTCACCAGGAAAAATCCAACAAGTTCCGTAAGACCTTGTGAATCTGGAGTCCAACATCCGACAAACTTTTTACACAATTACTAAGAAAGCCAATATACCAATCCCCCTTTGAATCAAAAAATTTACTTCTCAAGTCCAAATTAATCATGCCCTTCTTGTTAGTTTCCTACTTCCTTTACTATCTTCCCCTTCCTCTTTTAATTCGAGTCCACAATTCCATGGTTTGTACTCCAAAAAAAGCACAGCATGATAAAAAAAAAACAGTATAAGAGCACTAGAAAGATCACATTGTCCGAGCAAAATTTCACATTGAGTAACAAATTTCAGGGAAAAGTTAAGACCTCAAGTGCATTTCCAATGGTATCACCAATGCGGTTCATAGAGGATGTAAGCGCATCTAAGCCCTTCCGGATCCTAGGATTGTCTATTTTTCTGGAACTTTCGACAGGATGGAATGATGAATACTGGAACTGAAATCAAAAGGGCTATTAATACTATAACTGCAGCCATGATCATAACTATTGTGAAACAACATATCTCATTCCAATTTTTTTTTTCAAGTAATTACCTGGCCATCATTTGTGAAAGTAACAAATTCAGAGTTCTCCCTAGAATTGGAATGGAGTTGATGGGGAACAACAGTATCATTTTCATCAAGGATGGATTTGGCTTTCCTGGCTAGAACACCCCAAAAACCACCTGCTTCGTTTGAACTTCTCATTGAAGTGTAATCATAGGTAGGACCCTATATTATTTTTCAAATAGTTGAAAAAGGGGAAAAGAAAAAAACAAAACCGATAAGATGGGATAATTTTAAGAGGGGGTAGACAAACGGTAATACAACAAACAGCTTAGCCTTTATTTACCCCAACATGGGGGTGGAGGCAAAAACCATCAAGATCCAGAGAAAAAAAACTAAACACAAACCATATAAATTGGGGGATTAACTGTAAGGGCCTTATACATTGGCAGGAGCTTTCCAGAAATTGTTCTTAGAGAGTCAAACATTTATGTTGGGAAACAACCAATTTCATCTCTATATTTCAGAAACTTAGACATCCTGTAATTTGTCAATTTTCAACTGCCCAAAGCGCGATAAGATTATAACAGTATCATTCCTATTTTTCAGAATTCATATTCTTACCGGCTCATAAAGGTATTATTCTCTAGATTTTTAGATACATTATCAGTATACCAGAGAACAATGCTACATATAATGCAATATTTGCAATCTAAAGGGCTGTATGAATTATAAATACACATCACGTAATGAACACTCTATTATGGGTCTACTAGAATGAATAAATGAAAAGGCATCCTATATAATAACAATCCAATCAAAATGAGTGAAGCAGAGGGGGAGAAGAAAAAGTAGAAGCCAAATTAAGCAATGAAAAGAAAGGATTTGCATAGACAGACGAAGTTAGCAAGTCTGAGAAACAAAGAAGTTTGATCTTGATTAGGTCCTGCTTTATGTACACAAGAAAGACACACCTAATCATAGGTTGATCTAGAATGATAACATAAAATTGGTGGGAAAAGAAAAAGAAAAAAACAGGTGAGAGAAGAACCTTGGATCTGTCATTGGAAAAGGAATCGGGGGAGGCATAAGCGGAAGAAAGAGAAGAGTCGCGGTGAGCGGCGGATGCACGGATGGCCTGGGCAGCGAGGGAGGAGGAGGAAGGCGGTGCTGAGGTTGGAGGAGGAGAGGAAGAAGAAGAAGAGTAAATGGAATCTTCCTTGAACGTAGAAGCCCTGGTGATCCCCTGTCTCCTTCTGTACGCCATATTTGTGTGATTTCAATCAATCAATGGCAACACCACCACCGACTGGGGGCGGCACCGCCCGGTCGCGATCAATTTTTATAATAAAATATCAAAATCGATGGGAGAAAAAATTGAGGGAAGATGTGAAAATATGGGGGGTGACTCAGCAAACGCCATAACAGAAATGATGATGATTCCAAGAAGTTATATATACACACACAGAGGGAGTGAAAGTGTACTATCAAAGCGCGCGTGTATCACCAACTGTGTGAGAGAGAGAGCGCAGTTTTTATGAAACTTTTTATTAACGGAAGAAATAAACTCGTAAGAGTCTTCTGTCCTTTCTTTTCTTCTCCTTTTTAATGGAGTAATTTGCAGTAAGGAATTTTTTTCTACATAGTTATTATTTTTTTACAAAAAAGAAATTTGCAATTGGAAAACCAAAAATAAAATAAAAGAAAATAAAAAGAAAGCTGGAATCATATTATTGTAGTATCTTTTTATCCTTTCCTTTTCTTTTTCGCGTTTAATTTAAACAGTTTAACTATTCTTTCCAGGCTCGCTTCCTCCTCTGTGGGGAAAAAGAGGAAATATGTGTGTGTATGTTTCCAGCTCACTATGCAAATTCACATTTAGTAGAAAACTACATCCTGGGACAATAGTTCACCAATTTTAATGTAAACTTTTTTTTTTTTTTTTTTGAAATGGGAAGGGTTATTTTCTTTTTTTTTTTAATTAGAAAATATACTCTCTTTGTTTTAATAAAATTATAATTGAGATTTTACTAAAATAAAAATTCAAACCGGACAACGAAGATAGTATATTAGAAGATGGAGCGGGAAATTCAAATTGAATCACTCCACGGGACCCCACAGGCTTCCCAGGTCACTTTGGTGGGCTTTTTTTTTTTTTTTTTTGCGTCAGGTCTCTAGGAAAGCATTTTAGTCCTTCTTCAGTCCACTTTGTGAAGTATCTCCATCTGCAGGCACCCCCCACTTTTAACTTTTGGGCTTACAAACCCAACAAAAACAACAAAGCATCCTCTCTCAAACTGTGCTGGAAAAGTGGTTTGGTTTGTCCCTCTTGACTGAAGACGGGTACTACCTGCTGGAGATCGGACGGAAACGGTCGGACGGGTTGCTGCCCAATAATTGACTTTACCCCCTATATCTATTTACAGGTTTTCCAATCTTTCTTTCCTCCTTCCTCTCCAGATTTCTCATTTTTCATCTTTAGCTCTCTGGTGTGATTTTTTTTAATATATATATATATAGGTTTTTGGTCGACCTAATCGGAAATGCCAAATTCTTTTTATTTTTGTTCTTATCTGATGCTTACGTTTGATACTTTTACAAATTCTGAAGTAAAATGGTAGATGATGTGATAAGGTTTAAGATTACAACAGTTATTGTCTCAGGCTGCTTACAAATTCGTAATCAACCACACTGTTTCTCTTCCATGAATGCCCCCTTATGTTTCGCCCTATCATTTCACTGGATGATTCCTCGTACTTCGACCTTGTTATTTTTATTTATTTTTAGTTATTAATTATCAAAACAGACCACCAAAATTTTTTGCATCTTGATTCATGAGATGTCAGGGTGCTATACTCAGATTCATTGGAACATTGCATCAAATGCCCTTCGGTTGTCGCATTGCACATGCATGTCCGGTGATTGCCTGTGTCTGTGGTCTCTTTCCTTGATATTGTATTTTGCAACAAATTGAGACTATACAGGATCAAGTTTTATGTTCATTACAGCGTTTTTCACATTTGAGTTCAAGTGTGTTTAACTGATGTTATTTTTTGCGTGTATAGGCTGCAACTTTTCAATCCAGTATTGATGTTCTGTTGATTTATTTTGGCCATCTCAGAGTTAGATTGGCATAATCTAACTCTAACTCTTGAATTGTTGAATAATTCTCCTACTTGTGAAGTTTTTCGTTGGTTTCTTGTTTCTTTTAGGAAGGATTTGTGCTCATAGACTGATCAATAAGAGAATCGTGTTTGGCTTGTTCTCTGTTGTTCAAATGAATGACAGAGATGACTTAGCTCCGGTTGTTTATTCCGGCCTTTGTGCTTCTTGTGCTTTATGCCATCGATGTTTTCCACCTGAAAATGAGGCCGGTGATCTTCAAGCTGTTATTACTATTTGTGGAGATTGTAAGTTTTTGCTTTTGGAGGATCACCGCAACCCTGCCCTGGAAGACTATGAGAGAGAGCTTCGAAGGTTATCAGGAAGGATGCGGCACCATGTAAGTTCTGAATCATTCGACGATCTCTTTTCTCGGCGATTCTCGCATGCCGTTAATCCAGTTAGGCAAAACCAGGCCAACAGCTATGAGAATGATTATTTAATGTTAAGTCGCCGTACGAGTACTAGAACTACACCTAGTGGATCCAGGAGAAGGAGATGGGTTTCACTTTCTGACACAGAAACTGATGGTTTTGATTCTTTCCTTGGAGAGAGCGAATCAAATTTCAGTTTTGGTAGCTCTAGGTTTATGCTGGGCGAAAATGACTCAATTTCTCTCAGGGGTTCTGATGCTTTTGCGGATGATCATAATGGCTTCTTTGAAATTGACGAGTATAGCCATGCGGTGGGTGGTGTAAGTGAAAATGAGCCTGATACTGATATCGACCCAATGCATGCAGGTCTCTACCCTTGGAACTCGGAAGATATAGAAGAAGACGACGATGAAAGCGTGTATAATGGTTGGGAAGAGAACACATTTGCTTCTGTGGGACCTGGTTCTCGAGTTCATAGCCGCCAACATGCTCTCTCACCGCATCAAGATAGCACAATGCATCTGCAAATTCAGGAAATGACAACAGGAACCATTATGCTTTCTAATTCAGAGGAACAAAATTATGTTCCAAGTCCCGAACTCCAAAACTATCTTCGCCTTACTGGAGTTGACGAAATGTTGGAGCATCTTGCGGAAACTGAGAACTCCTCAAGTCGAGGGGCCCCCCCTGCTGCCATTTCTTTTGTACATAGCTTGCCACAACTTGTTATTACTGGAGAAGATCATCCCGAGGGGAAGTTGGAGGAGGATGGATTATTGGCTTGTGCAATCTGCAAGGATTCTCTTCCTGTTGGCACGGTAGTGAATCAGCTACCATGTTCTCATCTCTATCACCCCTCCTGCATTTTGCCATGGTTAAGTTCGCGAAACTCATGCCCCCTTTGCCGGTATGAGCTCCCAACCGATGACAAGGATTACAATGACAGAAAGCAGCATCGCACCACAGTGCTACTCGATTTCGAACGACAAATCCAGCAACTAGAATTGAGCGACAGAGATGGCTACTCAGAAGTGGATCAAGAAATTGATGCAAGTGTGGGTCATGCCGTGTATAGGGCGAATACAAGAAGAGGTTGGGTATATCTGGCAGCCGCTACTGCTCCATTTTTCGGTGTCCTTTTGATGCTATGTTTTGGTGGCAACCGTGTTGCTGGCAGAGGGTGCCGGCGGAATGATACTGGGACTAATTTCAGTTCATTGGGAAGACATCCCATTCCTGCTATAAGAAGGGATAGTGGCCAGAATAACAGACCTTGGTGGTTTCCTTTTTAACTTTTGTATAGTGGTTTGTCTTTCCTTTGTTTGAGATGATTTGTTGTCTGCATGAGTTAGGTTTTTCCACTCCATGTCATTTCACCAAATGTCAAACCGACCTCTTTGGTTGGCTGAAGACAACTAACTCTGCTTCAGGATCAGTGCTGATGTCCCAAAGTTGTATGTGTCGCAAGCTCCCAACCTGGCGTTGCACTTGTGCTGTCTCCTGGAAACTGAGTGTTGTTGATTTAACGTACAGTACTAAGTTATTGCCGCATCAAATCAGTATTGGACCTTCCCCGGAAGTTCAGCACCCTTACCCGATGGGAACCGGACTGAAACAGTGTAGGTGTTGGGTAAGTAAATATGGGAGGACTGAAACAGTGTAGGTGTTGTGTAAGTAAATGTGGGAGGAGAAAGTATTTTGTTTGTATGTAACCACGTAAAATTGTTGCAGCCAAACACAATAAGTAAAGTGAAATAATAATTTTAAAAATTAAAGTATAACTTCTATGAGAGTTTTAGAGAGTAACTTCTATGAGAGTTTTAGCAACAAATAAAGGGAATGGATTTTTCCAGCCACCCAAATTAGTACTTGAAGCCACCAATTTTGAAAAATTCCTCTTTTGCCCCTGTCACTCGGACTGAACCGGGCAAGTCATTTGGTTCGATTCACATGAGAACGGACAAATTATTAATTTTTATTTTAATGTTAGTTTATTCGCAGTATTTTTACATGTTGAATATCTCGTACTTAAATATTATTAACAATATTTATACTTTAGTGCTTAAACTCTCGATTTTATATTTACTTGAAAATAAACAAGTAATTAATTTTTACTTGAAAATAAATTTAAGATTATTTGTTAAGTTAATTTATTTGAATTGATATTAAATATAAATTTTGCTTTAATCATTATTTTAAAGATAATTTTTAGTTAAAATAATTATTATACATTTATAATGAAAAATAATAATTGTACTACAAAGATTGTGACTAATATGTGCAAATAGATTAACTATTTTTTGTACTTCAAAGATTGGTGATACTTAATGTAACTCAAATAATAAATTATTAATAAATTTAATGACTTAAAAACTAGATTAACTAATTACAATAAAAAAAATCTAAAAATTAAAAAAAATAGCAATGAATCCGATTGATATTTTTTAATTTTTAGACCTTTTTAAATAACAATTATTGCTATTTTTTAATTACAAAAAATTTAAAAATTAAAAAAAGGCTTGCGGTCCGGTTCACCATATCAGACCGAACCGGGACTGGCCGAGCAATCCACTCGTCCCAGGTTAACCCGGGACGAGCAAAGAACGTATCCTCTTGTTCGGCCGAACGGGTTCATTGCGCGTCCCGGATTCAACCAGGACGCGCAATGAACGCGTTCGGGCGAACAAGAGTACGCGTTTTTTGCTTGTCCCGGGTTAACCCGGGACGGGGTGGACCGCCCGGTTGGTCAATTTTTTATTTTTATTTTTTAAATTTTCGACTTTTTTTATTTTCTTGTCAAATTATTTTATTTGAAAAAATTATAGGAGTAAAATGGTCCAATTTTAAAATATGTGGCTTCAAATAGTAAAGGTGGTGGCTTTGAAAATAAACACTCCAAATAAAGGGGCTGTACCCAATATTTTTTCGTAGGGGAGACTTTCGGGAGACAAATAGAGCATGATTCGCTTAATCGCGATTCTATCTGGGATGACAGAGATAGTGACTAATTATAGTGAAAAAGTATAGTAACTAATGAAAAGACAAATGAACCATCCTCACTAAAGGACGAATGCACGTTTTGGTTCTTAATGTATTGGGGTAGTCTAAATCAGTCACCAAAAAGTTTTCACAACCGATTTCAGTCCTCTAATGTATTTTTTTGCCTGATTTTGGTATTTTAACAAGTTTTTTGTTCCAATTGACGGAAATTTTAACCCCTCCGTTAAGCTCTGAATTTTATATTCATTTCCTGCCGGTGGTGAGTCTCACGTATGATCAACGAACGCGGGATCTATCACTAGATATATCATTTTCCCTAAACTACTATAACTTGAGTTCAAGTGTTCATCGAGAAAAGGTTTCCCGATCCACCACGTCTGCAATGAAATGGGAAGTGCTATTAAAATAAAACACTAAACAGATACCATATCATAGTCATGCCTGAAACACGGATACACAATTGAACTTATTCGAAACGAAAGTGCAGATGTATTTATCAGTATCACTTCTATCTATTACATATACAGTACATAGCTGTCTTGAGTCTTGCTGCATTCACGCTAAAAATAAAAAAAGAGACTTCGAGTGGCGCTCTCTTTCCTTGAAAAGGAGCTTGAGAATGAGCACGTAATTCTTTCATCTCCATTTGCTAGCTCGAAACACAGCATCAAGGCAGTAGCCTATAAATAATAGCATTACCTAATCTTCTATATCTATGAAACCTAAAACAGTATACTGAAGTACAAAATGATCCATCCTGCCATTGAGAGAATAGCAAATATATGCACCCAGAACAACACAGCTGCCGCTTCCCTTCCACACCCCCTCAAATTTGCCACCGCACCTGTCATAAAAAATGGTATGGTGTCAATATCATCATTTGTACTAGTAATGAATTACAATTGAAGAGTCCGTACACAACTACATCTATCAATTTCATCATGTTTGATGTTTTCCCAATTTTTATAAGTTGCGAAAATAAAAATAACTTCTGGAGCTAATTTTTGTTATGTTGGACAACCCTTAAAATTTACATAGTACAAGTGGATTATGCATGGTAAATGTTGTCCAAGAGCAAAAAATAGATCACTACCAATAACAGAGGACATATGGTCACATATGGAGGCCCCCCAACCCCTATTTAGGGAAATTCTTCCCTATAGAAAATCATAAGGATATACCCACTGCAAATGAAGCTGGAAGAGTTGTTGTTGACAATTCTTTTAGCTTTGTGCTAATAATGGACTATATCAAAATAGCTCAACTAAATTCCGGTGCTATATACTTCAGTGAAGTTGCTGGAAATCAATACATCAAACAAACCAATGCATCTTGGCTTGTAATTAAATAGCAGCCTCTTGATATTGAAATACAGGAGTAAGGTTGCATACATTTTGATCCCTCAGACCCCCAACAAGTTGGGAATATATTGGGTCTGTTGTTGGCAGTGGTGGTATACAAAGGTGTAAGGATTATCATGAAAGATTGAAAACACAGACACAAGGCACAATGATCCAATTTCTTCTAAAGCAAAGCAGATAGCGGCAGGAGAAAAGCAAAACAAGGAAAACAAACAAATAGGGCCAAAAGATAAAAGATCAGCTAATGTTCTTCTGGTTACTTCATCATCAAGTCAATTGAAGGATTCAAAATAAACTTTACGGTTTTGATCTTTGCATTTGACAGCAACATGACAAATTCCAGGAAAAAAAGCATCCTCAAATGTTTCAAAACAGGAAACTTTTGAATTACAGGTAATTATATTTACCTGCAAGAACAGAGGTTGGCATTGTATACTGTAGAAGGAGGACAAATTTAAACATCTTATCACCAGCAGGAAGCAAGCCCAACTTATCTGCCAGCGTTACAATACCTAGCCCAGTTGGTGGTACCAGAACCAGCCGTCCGAAAATAATGGCAGCAGTTGTTCGAAAACCTAGTTTTGAGCTTCCCGGTCCTGATATTTATACAACACCCCCAAAAAAAAAAAAGGAAAGGAAAAACAAGACAAAGAAGGAATACACGTCACCATAGTGTAGGGCTTAAACGAGGCATCATATCGTAAATAAAATGACATGAGCAAAGAACACTGTCAGATGAAAATTTGACTTACCATCGACCAAGTTACCACCTAGGGCCAGTAATATGCATGGGATCATAGCTTCCCTGGAAAAACATATGCCATCAACTACAATATGAGTATAGCATATAAGTTGTCACTAAGTTGTCAAGCTATTCAATAGATAAAGTTATTCCTTTACACTAAATCAAAGCCTGCAGATAGCCAAGCTAGAAGTATAATAATGAACCAGTAGTAACAACAATTACATAAGACTGCCTAAGTTAGGTTCGTGTATGCACCATGTGATTCTTATCCGTATAAATTGAACCAAATAGCTCAGGTATCAAGCCTCCCACAGTAAGAAACCTTATTGATGTTAATGGCATTTAATACGACATCTTAAATGCTTAAACCATTATAAACGATCTTCTAAGGTAGAAGCCCTTCTTATAGGTGAAGGAGCTCCAAGAAAAAGGCATTGCTAAAATTCAAATCAAGAAGTGAGGCATACCCAAGTATCATACAGCTGTCAGTGAAGAAGTATAATGGAGCATCAGAAGTGAAGATTAGCCGCTTCAAAAAAGGCACACATCCTATAAAGATGGCGATGACCTGGGAACAAAATATCAGATTTTAAGGTTAAGGCAGGTTAAGGGTGGTTTTCGTTGAAGAAAATGCTCAAGGAAAAGAATAATAGAAGAAAATGGTGGGGAACGCATTCAAAAAATCAACTTACAGAAGCAATTATAGGTGGTTGAAGTATTTGCTTCAGCTTCAATTTATCATACACGAGTTTAAGAAAACTTCTTATCTGCATGGCAATATAAAAGGCAACGAAGCACCATGGTTAGCAGATGGAAAGTTGAAATCAAATCAGGCAAACATATTGTGAAGTAATAATTTTGTTCTTGGTTAACTGTTAAGAAAATATTCTTATCGCCAAAACGGGAATCACCTTATTCTTGTTCAGTGCAGTATCAGCTGATGCAGCCTCTTCATTAAGCAGAGGAACTTGTTCAGGGGAATTAGCCTTCAGTTGACTCTGTGAGCTACTTTTTGAAGGATTTTTGATATGACAATTTCCCTCTTCAACGTCAAACGTACCTTCCGGAGGAGGTGCAAGCATATGGAACACATAAGTGTATAGGACAATTGCACCAACCTAGAATTGACAATTAAGTTGTAAGCCCTCAGAAATTGAACATAATACAGAACAACTAAATATTTGTCAACTTAAACATACTTAATTATTGAATAAAAGCCGCCCAAGAACCAACTTGGTGTGCTAAATCTCCAAATGGCTTACCTTTGCGGATAAGGAAGTTGAAATAGTTAAGTTTTCCTCTTTGGAAAAGGAAATAATGGAATTTAGTACTAACATAACAAAACATCAATTGAATGTACTCAAAAGCAACGAACATGTTTGTGTTGACTGGAAACAATGACAGTCACAAAATAAATATGCATCATATATGTTGACTTACCCACTGACCAAATGAGATGTATGCATTTCCATCTTGAGAACACTTTTCAGAGTCACCAAACGGGTTTGATTTATCTCGACATAATGCGGCAATCAAAACCAGTGGAACATTACCAATATTTCCTACAGATTAAAACATAAAACAAATTACATGCAGGAGAGTGTAAACTATCTCACATATGGCCCTAAAATTTTTTTAAAAAAAAAATTGAGTTTAAAATAGAAAAATAAGTAAATAAATAAAAATCAAAGCCTTCCCCATCTCCGACATCCATATTTTGAACTCCAAACATAAGTAAGAGATTAGAGAATTTGAAGACAGCTAATTAGTGAAATGAATGATTTGTTTAACCACATCAAAAAAAGAGGCCAAGTTATATGGTACATAGAGCCAATTCCACACAGTGGGATAACGGCTCCTTCTTAATGTTGGTGTATTTCATATCCCCGTCATTATTTGTGAAGAGGTCAAGTTCATAAGCATGCGTGGTAATTAGCTAAAACAACAAGTGAAAATAGACAAAAGATTAACAATAAGGAAAAAGCTTACCAATTCCTATTTGGACAATGGTAAACTTGAAATATGGATAGGGAGGCTTCACAATCCATGCAACAACTAGACCTATAATAGATCCCGCAATTGTGGTGAGTATAATATTAAAGGGTATAAACCACCTGCAAATGAGAAAAGGGTAAATTTTCATAATTGCTTCAGTTATTGCGACGGAAAGTGGAATGCAGTCATCCATACAAAAGAAAGTCTCAAGACAATACCATTCAAGCATTTTCTGGAAAGTGATTGCCTCGCCAAGTTGGGAAAATATCAGACACGGTAGTAAGAGTGAAAAGACTAGCTGCATTGAAGAGGGGAAAAAATAAATAGTGTTACATTAACAACATTACTGAAAAATGAATCTCCTGCACGAGCAAGATTAAAAAGAAAAAAAGAAAAAAAAAGGACCAGTTTCTTCTCCCTTTTACATTCTGTAACCAATGTTGCCCTGAAACATCCTCTTATAGCATGCATTAATAGTTAATGACTCAATCCTCACAAAAACACAAGCGTTCCCTCTTTTAGAAGGCTTCTTTGTTTATCAGGTATCATAATTTATTACCTTGGAAGAACAAGGATCCACGTGATTCACATCTCAAATATAATTCATTATTTTTGTGATGTTTACAATTCGGTAAACACGTATAACCAGAAACACAACACAGAAAAGGTCGCTAATCCGAAACGGATATTTGGGAAAAGTTATACTCACCCCATTCAAGAGCTTTCTCCCATTAGCAGGTAGGATGTTAACGTACTTTGAAGCCATTAGAAATCCCATGAAGCACATGGTGAAAACCTTGGCTATGGGTAAAACAGCTATCCTGATGGTGCCGAGCAGCGACTCCCCTCCGCTTCGGGGTTCAGTGAGAACCTCCAACAGAAACCTGTGCGCTTCCATCTTTTCCTGTTACCGCCCGCAAACACCAAGTATTCAACAAAGCCAAATAATATTTCACCTCGACTCAAACTACACTTTGTTGCCGAATTGTTTCCTGCAAAGTTATAATAACAATTATTATTATCATTACAATAATAATAATGAAAAAAAATAAATAAAAAAAACATTGAAACCTCAGGTAATGTTAACAAGGAGAATAAAAACTAAGCATACATCTCAATCTGCTGAACTGACTGTATGAATTATTGATGCCTAACTTTGTCAAAAGCACAAATCATTGAAGTTTTTAAAATTCAAAAATCCAGGTGATTTTGGATTGGCCTTGTATTGAGTATATTGAAAAAAATATATCAATAAAACAACAATCAGTTCTAGGGGAGGTCTTCATCCAAAAATATAAGTAATTGGATACATCATATATTTCGCGCCATCATGTTCATCCAACGAAACACATAACGTAAAATCAAAGGGAGAATAATTCAGAGAAGATATTGGTACTACACGAGGCGTTTCATATAAAAATTAAAAATTAAAAAAAAAAAAAAAGAAGTTGGAAGTAATAAAACAAAATAGAAAGAATCAGTATATCGGGGTTCCAATCCAGAAGTGGGAGCTGAATTGAATGAAAACTCAAAGCAAAACCAAACGAAATCTGCAGAAACGAAGCGAAATTCATACAGGTAGATACATAAGCACGTGCATATTTTAATTAGTGAACAGTGGTGAGACCAAACAAAAGGAGAAATATCCGAAAAATAGAAATCCTACAAAGAAGTAATCAGAGACGGGAAACCAACACCCCGTACGATCACGCCGGAGTGTCGAAGGAAATGGGAGGGGAGAGGAACTATAAAAGAACGTACCAGTCGTCAACTAAAGAGCTGGAGGTTTCAGCTGCGATTTTTGATGGGTCTTTTCCGGCGGGTATGCGAACTATTTATTTATTTATTATTAATATAATTAATTAATGATAATATTGTAGTACATAAATTTTGTTGTTATTTTTATGGTAGGTCTGGACTGGACATAGCCAGGAAGGAGGCAACCGCTCAATCATTCATCTATACAACTGTACTATATTATCGCTTGAAAATTAATCTACGTGTTTACTTCTCGATTAGTTTCGCTTCCAAATTTTGGTTTGCACTAACTCGATTTGAAGATAAATTAAAACGGTCTTAGGAAATCTGGAAATGCATATATTTTAAAAGGTGTTATTTGGAGTAAAAGTTTTCAATGTTTTACACATATGATTTAAAAAATAATAAAATACTAATCATTTTACCATACTTCGTTATCGTCAGACCGTCACTTATATATATTTTGGCCAGTTCAATATCCGTGATATCTGAAAATTTCGTAAAATTATTTTTTGAATGAAATTTCCTATCCAGTTTTGATGGTAGGCAATAATTTTCAAAATATAGATAGCGCTTTTTTTTTTTTGATATTTGAGTCTCAGAGGTAAAGAATAAAAATAACAATAATATAAAAAAATTTGGCATAAAAGTTTAAAAGAAATGATATGACTGAATCTTAATTACTTTTTGAGTCGGAACCGAACCATAAAATAAGGTTCTGGTTCTTGAACCGCCTTTAAAGATTCTAAAATCGGAACCGAACCTTGTATTGGTGGTTCGGTTCCGATTAAAGTTTTATTATTTTTTAAACCGTGAACCGGCAATTTTGAACCGTAAAAATCGACAATTCAATTATCGGTTATATTGATTTTTTTATAACTTTAAAAAAATATAAAATCTTCCAACATAGTTATTTTATCGGTGTTTAAAAAATAAACTGGTGGTTCAATTATCAGTTAAACCGCTGCATAGTTATTTTTTCAAATATGAAATGACTATCTATTTTTTTTATAGATAATGTTTGTAAGGATGATTTGTTGAATTGAGTAACTTTTACGCACCATGTACTATTATTTTTCATATGGTTAAAATTTGAGATATACATGTCAAGTATCGTCCTATTTTTTTCAAATATAAAAGATGAATTTCTTACTCAACAATTCATAATACTTTTCAAAAAAGAAAAAGAAAAAATTCATCTAACAAAAAAAAAATAATCCAACAAAAAATATTGTGACCAAAACCGCCACACTGTAAAATCAAAACCAGAACCAGAACAGAATCGGAACCAAACCGGAACCCGAAGGTTCTCAAATCGTAACCAGAACTATAGTATAAAGGGGCGGTTTTAGTTCTTATTTTTATCAAACCAGAACCGTCGGTGCTAGAACCGTAACGACGATTCCAAAACCGTGCATATGCTACCTTAACCTATATAAATAACCTCCTAAACTGATATGTAACTTTTCTTAATTACCCTTGCAAGTATTAACGTGGTTAAATATTAACTTTTTCTTAACTTTAAATTGATAAATGCCTTAGGGTGAGGTATATATGTATGGATTGTTGTGCTTTATTTCTTCTAATTTTCCTTGCAAATTTCTCCTTACATATATTATTCTTTTGATGGAAAAAATTAAAGATCCAAAATTTCTAAATTGAATTATTTCTTAATTCATGGAAATTTGAGAATGTATTGTATATAAATCTCATTCCCTCCGGTCCTGATTATAAAGTATTTTTATTTGTTTTATATTTTATGTAGTACGTTTTTTAAATTTGGAAATATTTTTAAGTTTTTTTTTTAATTTAAAAAACATACGAGGTGAAAATGAAATCTATAACAACTCGAATGCCTTATAATAAGGACCGAAAGGAGTGTTACTTGGTTGTATTTATTCATGAAATTGCTCAGAAATGTGTTTTCTAAACTTCAGTGTTCATATCATGATCATGTTTTATACTTTTGATCTTTTTTATTTGCCCACCAAACTACCTTTTTTTTCCCCGAATATTGTCAGGAATCTAATTACAGAGAAGTGAACTCGTACCTATTGCAGGAATTTATGAACCATAATTGAAACTAAACCATCATTGGGAAGTTCTGACTAACACACTTGGATGTGAAACCGATAGTTCGTTAATGCAATACAAAACTCGCACACAAATCCTCACAGAGGGCTAACACTTATTCTATGTTGCAAGGAGAGAGAGAAAAGGAGGGAAACCCCAGTGCACATATACTCACGCACACACATTCACACACACACATATATATATATTAATAATAAAATTAAAAAAATATAATTAATCGGGTTTTTTGGGCGATGTTTGAATAAATATTTTTTCAGTCACCCGGACCGAAATAGCTATGCGGTTAATCAAGTTGAACCATATAGCACAAGAATTGGGCCGATTAACCAACTTGTTTAACCCGAACTTTGTTCGGTGCGAGTTGACCCGCCTAAGTAGCACCTATATCCCTTGTAAAGTAGCATGGTGGGCATATGGGCAAAATGTAATTATATTGATCAGGAATATTTTTTGAGTGTTTGGATCGTCTTTTCGTGTGCATTTTTATGTTTTTGTATTGAAAAATATAAAATAAAATATATTGAAAATATAAAAAAGTATAATTATTAATAAAAAAGTAAAAAAATCGTGTTTTAATCTTTGTTCGATACTTATTTTTAATGATAAATATAAACTATAAATCGGGTTGAAAAATTAAAAACTATAAATATATAAAAAAATCGGGTTGAAAATTAAAACCTATAAATTTTAATGATAAATATAAAAAAATCGGGTTGAAAATTAAAAACTATAAATTTTAATGATAAATATATTAATAAAAAATTATAAAAACTCGCAAAAAAAAGCTTTGTTTAATTTTTTTATATATTTGTTTTTTTTATTAAAGAAAAGTCTTGTGTAAAGATAATCTGTCAGCCAAAAAAAAAAAGAACTGCGGTGAGTCAAACAGTCAAAAGTGCCGAGTCAATGGGGAAAAAGACTCGAAGACGACTCACACACTCACTCACATTCAAAAGAGCCCAGGCCAAAATGGACGAGCTTAGGAAAAGCCGCTTTTCTATGTTTTCCTGCGTTTCGTCTCTTTTGTTGCGTTGGTGGTGTGCCTTTGTCGCTGTGTGAGTGTGTGTAAAAAAGCTGAAAGGAACAGCGAGTGAGTGGAGCGGATTGAGTTAAATTAATCTTCAAACCCCAAAACAAAAGAGAAAAAAAAAAAGGAAAAAAAAAGAAAAGAAAGCTACGAGCTCCGTCGACTCGGGTGCGGAGGAGTTGGGTCTCAGGAGGAGAAAAACAGAGAAAGGAGGATGAGAAGATGCTGCTTTCATAATGGGGAATTGCGGAACTAGGGAGGAATCTGCCGTCGTCTCCGGCGCCCATCACCAAGGTCGCCCTGCCCCTTCCTTCTCTCCATTTTCTCTACCTCTTAATGTATTTTCTACTAGATCTCCTCCTCCTCCAGATCCATCCCTTCATTTGTTTTCTTCTTCTTCTTCTTCTTCTTCTTCTTCTTCTTAAAGTTGATTGAAGTCTACTTTCCTAATTAATTCATTTGTTTTAATTAATTAAAAAGAATGAAAGAATTTTGCCTAATCTATATATTTCCGCAGTAGTCCAGCAGCAGCAGCTCCACGGTTTGCCGGAATCGTCCAGTCGGAACGCAGGAGACAAGAGGCATTCCGTTGGCGGGGGAGGTCACTGGCGTTCGACGTCAGATCTGAGCGTGACCAATCCCTGTTCTACTACTCCCCGGCACAATAATAGCAGTTTTGAGGATTCCGTCGGCGGAGGCGGTAGTACTTCTAGAAACTCGGTTCTGTACACACATGTCATCGCTTTCACTTTATTTGAGCTGGAAACCATCACGAAGAGCTTCCGTTCTGACTATATCCTCGGCGAGGGAGGATTTGGAACCGTTTACAAAGGCTACATAGATGAGAACGTTAGGGTTGGACTCAAGTCCTTACCCGTTGCTGTTAAGGTTCTCAATAAGGAAGGGCTCCAGGGACACCGGGAATGGCTCACCGAGGTTAATTTCCTTGGCCAGCTCCGGCATCCAAATCTCGTCAAGCTCATCGGCTATTGCTGTGAGGATGATCACAGATTGTTAGTTTACGAGTTCATGTTCCGCGGCAGCCTCGAAAATCACCTTTTCCGAAGTAATACACATCTATATCTCCTCCACTTAGATTCCTTTTTTGTGGAAGCTTTGATTTGCTACTTCTATGCTTTGGTAACCTAGTATGCTATGTGTGTAAGATTTATACCTGTGATTATCATGCAGCATTGTTGTTTTAATAATTGCGTCTTTTTTTACCCTGACTCTTACACTAGTAGATACATCTGCTGAATTAACTCACTGATTAGCTATCTGGTATGTTACTTTTGTTGGTTGCTTTAATCACGGGCAAGATAACAAATCTAGTTAACAGTATTTACTATGTTGCTTTCTTTATTTGAAAGCTGCATCTGTTTTTATCACCATCGTGAACTGCGTAACACATTTCAACTGTATGTCTGTTTTCTTAGGAGTTATTGTTCTTGGTTTTGTTAACTAAATTTTGATCTAAAATTTCTTGAGGCATTCAGAGTCAACAGTTCCATTATCTTGGTCTACGAGAATGATGATTGCACTTGGGGCTGCTAAAGGGCTTGCTTTCCTTCACAATGCGGAAAGGCCGGTTATCTATCGGGACTTTAAGACTTCAAACATATTACTTGACTCAGTAAGTGTTCTTTTGACGTAAACATTCCACCCCGGCTTTGTTACTGGTTTCTTTTCCAATAAATGGATTCTTATGCTTTCTTGATAGGATGACGCCTTTTTTTTTCTTTGTAAAAAAATTGCAGGATTACACAGCTAAACTTTCCGATTTTGGCCTTGCTAAAGCTGGGCCTCAAGGTGATGAGACCCATGTTTCCACTCGAGTGATGGGTACTTATGGTTATGCCGCTCCTGAGTATGTGATGACTGGTATGTAAATGTAACTGTGTTGTCTTCAGCCGATTTTGTTTTTGCAGCTGGTGGAGATTTTGTATATTTTATTATTGATGTCATATGTGAATTAGTGCTTATTTTTGTTTGCCCTTGTTATTAATTTCTCTGCACCAAACTTGGCTACTACCCTTTTTGTTTTTTCCCATGAAAACCATAGTTCTGTCCTATTACTTGACAATATCCAGTATTCAGTATCCAAGACCTTTGTTTGGTATTATTCTTTGCTTTGATAGTTAGTTTTAGAACTCAGGTTATGTTTGTATCATACTCTCAGTAAGAAAAAAGTAGTAATATTTTTTCTTTAAAAGGGAAAAAATCTGAACAATCACTAATACTTCGAAATTTAAAACTTAAATTACCGCCTGAAATTTTCTTTCATTTCAGAAACTCTTGTCTGTTACATTTTTCTCACCAAAACTCCCATCAAAATTTTGTTTTCAAGGGACTCTTCTGTCACTAGAGAACATTTAAAAGGAACCTCAATTTGGCATCTTGAAGTTGTGCAGTCATGTTACTAATTCGCATTATATTGGACAGGACATCTCACTGCAAGAAGTGATGTGTATAGTTTTGGGGTGGTCCTTTTAGAGTTATTGACTGGAAGGAAATCTGTTGATAAGACCAGGCCAAGCAAGGAGCAGAGTTTGGTGGATTGGGCACGGACGAAGCTAAACGATAAACGTAAAATGCTCCAAATAATAGATCCTAGATTAGAAAATCAGTACTCCATTAGGGCAGCACAAAAGGCATGCAGTTTGGCATATTATTGCTTGAGCCAAAATCCAAAAGCAAGACCTTTAATGAGTGACGTGGTCGAGACGTTAGAGCCTCTGCAATGCAATAACGGTGCTACAGAGGAAAAAAGCTCGTTGTTATCTGATGGGCCTATTGGTGGGTTAGGTAGGACTGCCCGAGATTACCGGTTGCATAATAAATATGGTGGTGCCGTTCGGCCACCTGCTGGTTGCCGCTCTCCCAACCCGAATTGTTCTCCAGGTGGTGGGCCGACAGCATGCCGTGTTAGATGATGATAAAATAGCCATCAAATTATGTTATTGATCAGATTGTCATAATGTTTGTTACCATTGTTGTGTAGTCAAGTGTGTTCGTTTTGCCTGGTTTTCAGTTGGCGATTGTAGTAGTGTGTGTGTTGCTTTTTCCTGATCTAACATTGCGAAGTTGTCAAAGAAAAACGTAGTGAATGCTTGCAAGGTTCTGTTTGCTTGTCAGTGTTTCGGCGCTCTTTGTTGTATGCTGGTATGTAGTCTTTCCCCCCTCTTATTTGGCTGTTTTGACGAAGCAACACTTGTCAAATTTACCAATTTTGAGAACAAAAACTAACTCCAGAGTTAAATTTCACTCCATCTATAACGGTAGCTGTTGTAGGTCCCTTGGTTTGGGTGTTTCCTGGTTCCATCTTTCAAGTAGTGTTTTGTCATTTCTCTTGCTTCTCTCTATTGTCTATACAGTATATAGCTCGAACTTGAAAGTCATTTACAAAGAATTATACATGCTTATCCAATCACTAGTTATGAGAAGGATGCAATTTAATAATATTCATGTGAATTGAGCAAGCTTAACACGAAAGAATGAGCCTAGAACAAACAAGCAAGAGCAACAAAATTATGGAGCTATTAACTGGAGTATGTACGAGTTTATATAGTATGGCAGCAGCCCAGCAGCTCCTTATTTATTTAAGGGGGCTGGCTTTACAAATGAGAAGTCACTTTCGTCCTTTCCTTCTTCTCCCTCCAACTGTACATGATGCAATTTGCTTGCAGCATCCTCATTGTGATCATCAACTGTAATTAGAACAGTGCTGTTGGTCGTGGGAGTCGATGGATCGTTTTCCAGGTCGGATGTGTCATCTTCATGGGGTACTGTGTAGGTGAATGAGCGCGTGGAGTGACCGGTAGTTTTGAAGCGATGGAGTGCAGCTCCGGTGGAAAGGGAGTGCATGGTTGAAGCAATTGACGATGCACTTGGACTCGCATCACCACCCCCTAATGTCCTGGTAGGAGACTTCCCCCCATGTTTCTTCTTGACAGCCATGTGCCACTTCTTTAATGCTTTGGAGGTTTGTTCATCAAATATGGTCTTTTTCATGTGCGATCCCATCTGCGAGCAAAATTAGGGTACACATAACAGTTGCAATAAATGAAGCGCTGAGGGACAATCTCCCTCCACCAAGTCCACAAATCAGTTTAAACAATTACGATAAGCAGATTTGCTCAATTTTCAATGCACAAGAAACACAAAAGTTTGCATAAAAATCTAGTTAAAACACAAAACGTAAAATCAAGTCAAAACGCAAAAAGCAAGCCAAACGGGTTCTTACCTGGGCGATGAGAGCGTAGAGTGGAAGAGTGATGTAACTGCATAAAACTAGGACTCCCACCCTGCAAGAACAAAAACACAAAGAAAAGAAGCTTTCACTCAGTTCAAGAAGATTTTCAACCGATATTAGCAGTTACTAAGGACAGAATAGTAATTGTAACTACCCAAGTGCAAGCTTTGCAATGACAAGCTCAAAGTTGTCGTGGAAGCAAGATCTTAGCCCGAATTCATACTGCATACAAAATGAAAAAGACGTCCCCCAATGAATGATATTTTAAATTGTAAATGTATATGGATTAAAATGTCAGAGAATGGAAGATCATTTACCCAAATCCACAAGAAGTATGTTACTTGGAACGCATTCTACCCCGAAAAAGAAAAAAAAAAAACACAAAAAAAGGTTAGATGAATTAAAAGCACTTAAAACAAAACAAACACAAAGATGCTGTAGAAGGTGCGCATATTCCAAATTCTGCAACATTCTAGTCTCCTCAAAACAAACTATACAGCCAGAGCAAAAATTGGTTTTAGTTATTTCGACCAATACTACCTAAGCCAATTTTGTACCGGATGGTTACATCAATCTTCGAGCCAACAAGCTAATAATACATACCTAATAAAGGAGAAAGTAAATGATTGTACCTGAAACAGTGCGAAGTGGATAAGATGAAGAACTAATTGAGGACGGCCAAACCAGAAATATTTGTCCGAGCCCTGAACAAGTGGAATGCCTTGAACCACAGCATGTCTCTCCGTGATTTCAAGAGCCATCCTTGTCAATATAGCTTGCAGTTTTGTTCCAACAGCTAAGATGATCTGCATGGTAAATGATGTAAATTATTAGGATATTTAAGCTTGGCTTTTGCACAGGAAAACTGATTATTCGAGTGTAAAGAATGTATAGAAACACTTACGATCACAGGAATTAAGGAAGCCCAAAACAATGCCTTCCACCCTGAGCTCAAACAACGATGCTTCACTTAGAAATAACACCAAAATTTTCTGTTTGCAGACCAAAAGCTTAAATAGTATCATGAAACTGGCTGGTTATGCCAAATTGATTCTTACCACTAACATTCAGGAGCAGGAAAGCTACGAAGGACGCCCATAAAACCGGGCTGCCAACATTTTCAAATGAAATAATCAGCAAAGAATGAAGGGGTTCAAACTATTATCGTTATGCATATGACAATTTAATCTAATAGCCATAACCTCATACCTGACTCCGACAACAGTCTTGAAATCATCCTCCAATGATCTTTTGATATACTTTTGGAAATTAAATTTACTACCAGGAGCTAAATGAACCTGTAATCGAGATAATCAATTTTAGACTTCAAATTAATTGTGACATCCAGAAGCATTTAAATGCAGCATACTTACACTAATGAATCCATTACGCAGCGTCAAGTAGTCAGATTTACTAACAGATCGGAAAAACTGTCTGAAAAAGCAACCCTGTCAGAGGGAAGACACTGTTAAATATTTACTATCAAGTGATAATTTATAAGGACCGCAAAAAGCTACTGCGTAAGTACCAATTATGCTTTTATTAGGCTCAAAAAACAAATACTTAACCATGCATAAGTTATCATAACTCATTAGTAGTACTTCTACTCACAACGTAAAAGAAGATCGGGATCCTGGTCCAGAAACTTGTATGTGCTCTTACAAATGAAGTTTCATGAGTAAGCCTGAATCTTGAAGGATCTGAAGGTTCAAAAAGATCCCACATAACGACATTTTGCATTGTTTTCTATTTGAAATTAAAATGGGCATTGTTTTCTTTTAGACCAACGACAGCATTTAATGACATAATACCATTTGAAAACTCATAATGGTGGGATGATGTCTCCTGTTCCCATTCCTTCCAGCCGCGAATCTGAAAACAGAAATGTCATAAATAAAAATGATCCAGGCAAAATTATTAACTCCAACAAAATATCTTCTTAATAAGAATGTTTCAGAAGCTCGTGGAAGCAAACTTCTCTTAAACGGAAACAATGAATATACACAATAATTAGGCAGAACAAATTCAATATTTGCAACTTTCTGCTTTTGAATGTGCCAAACAGTGGGTGCAAAAAGATGGAATTTCATGGAAAACCATAAAGCTGATAAATCCTAATGTGAAACTATAACCTGGAATTACCTTTAGTCTTCCAAGAGCCATAGTTATGGCACTGTATATAACATGAAAGACAGCTAAAAAGAATATGAGAATATGTAACTGATGCAGTCCATTAACAGAAATTAGCGGCACATGACCCTGTTGCAAAAATGTCAGCTTGATTAGTACGCGTAGGAATCTATTGAATATTACAAATATCTGATAATGAAGGAAACTTATACGAGAATGCTCAAAATAATGCACTAAAGAGTCAAAGAAGATAGATAATGAGCTAAAGCGATGGGATGGCGCTAAACCAAGAAGAATGGTGGCTAACTTTTTTTGCATCCAGGAAAAAAAAAAAAAAAAAAGGCTACTGGCTAGAAATTAACTTCTCATTGCAAAATGGAAGAAACATACAAAATTTTGATCAAAATAAAATCATGAGTTGGAAAACAGAGCAACAGCCAATAACAGTACAATGAGGATTGAAAAGTAGTAAACACAGCAGAGGAAGCAGCCGAATAAGAAAGGTTGTCCAAGGCTGGTCTCTGAATTGATATTGTGGGTACTGCACTTAGTAATAGGAATGATAATAGAAAGAGCTAATTGAAAGAGCGGATGATAAGGCATAATAGAAAAAGTCAATAAACATGCATCACAATCTGCATTTCTAACAACAAGTAGAAAGAGTTTGGCATTCAAGCTAAAGAAGAGTGTGGAGTTACCTCTTTGCAGGAAGGCTCACTACCAGCAGCCAAAACTCTTCTGTTTTCATACCACAGTAGCCTGCGGCGATGTCCTTCTTTCTGTTTAGCAGCTTTGGCAAGTCCAGGACAGGGCAACATAGAGTTGGCAATCCCGGCAGGTACACATATTTGGGCAATATAGTACTGGCTGAACACCAAAAGTAGGGATATAAATCCCAGAATCATCAACTCTGCTCATCACAATAACAAAGTGTCACCACTAATGAACGAATTTGTGCTGCCCCCAATGAGAATCGAACCCCAAGAATCCCCACCCTAAATCCTAACCATCCCACCCTGCACTGTTGTAACTTAAAAAGTGAAATTAAATAAATAAATGAATAAAATGAAATAATATTTCATAATTATTTTTACCAGTTTTGACTTTCTCCAGAGCCTCATACAGTGCTCTCTTGTGCCTCTCCGTTAACCACTGAGAGTTGACGAAAGTACCAAATTAATGATAATAACATAGGTTTGCGTTCGATGTACAGCTAGCGAAAGAAAGACTAGGAACAAGGTAAGCAGTAGGCGAATTAAGATAACAAAGGAATTTTTTTATTTTTTTTTTGTAACTAGTTTTGCGAGGGTGCCGGAAATTTAAGAAGAAGAAAAAAAAATAAATAAGAAAGGAAAACAAAGAGGCAGCAGGAAATAGAATAGAAAATTAAGCCAATAGGCGGAGCAATAAGCCAAGAAACAAGATAACAAGTGGGAGGGAAACGGGAAAAGAGGAGGGAACGAAGCCGGGTTGATAGTAAAGAAGACTTACAGTTCCAAGTTTATGAAGAATCTTCTCTAAGGCAATGGAAATGAGGATAATAACGGCACAAACACTGGCAACGGCCCATGTGGGTGTCTGATCTAGCTGCCTTGACTCACCTCCTCCTCCACCGGCCATAATTGGAGACTGATGAACGCAGTGGGGAGACAGAGAGTTGAGTCACAGAGTGAGATGATAATGATGTCTGTCGTCTTATTCTTACAAAACTGACGAACAGAATAATATTGTTCCGATGTCAGCTGTTGGTATAGTACTTTGTTTCCAACTGGAGGACTTGTGATTTAGATTCAGGACATAATTCCCTTGGCTACATACAGTTGAAATCAAAGGAATAGGGTGAATTTCGCTTATCTCTCTTTTTTTTCTTTTTTCTTTCTATTTTTCAAAATTGAATGAAGAAGAAGAAGAAGATAATAGGAGACGATGGAGGACGAAACGGTAGAGAAGAGAAGGGGGGTCAGCGCCTCTTGGGTGTGAGAGACTTTTGAGTCTGTGTTCTTTCTTTCTGGATCCCCATATGGGTTTTAGACGTTTTTGTTTTTTAATTTTTTTTTGGGTTTGTTCATGGTAAGCTTATTATAATTATTAAATGAATGAATAAATGAAATGACTGGGGTTACTTTAAAGCTTTGAGTTGTGCACATAAACACGTTTGACTTTGTGAGGAAGCATCATGGAAAGTTAGATAACAAAGAGAAGATTTAATAAGAGGTGTGTGTGTGTGTGTGATGAGGATGAACAACCTCTACACATTTGTACATACACCGGGGTCAACTTCATTCCTTTTGGATTTTTTTTTGTTTTTGGTCTTGTCCCGCCTGAAAGGGCAAAAACGCGGGCTTGCCTTCCCCTCATTGGTTTTAGACGGGCCCCGCCCAGCCATTTTAAGACCAACGAACGTTGATCGCGGAGCATTACTGATTAGTAAACCTTACACTATTTACCTCTCACCGCCCGAAAGGAGAATTTTCAATCAGACAAATGGAGTAATATTAGATAGGGTAATTCACATGTTAAAAAATTAGATAGCTAAGTCCACATGTCGTAACCATATCACTCTAACATTTAATGATAACTTTTTGAAGTAAAATCATAAATTTATAAATAAAATTAAATTTACGGGGAGTTTAATTCCTACATCCAAACATGGAGTAGAAGTTGGCTCTCTTTTTACTCTTTTTTAAACAAAAATTAACTATGGTGGTAAATTAACAAGCACATAAGACAAGAACAAATTTATTTACCCCGCACATATAAAAACTAATGCAAAATATGCACAAATCAAAGTGCGTACTCATCAATATATAAAAATAAACCAATTAATCTAGATGTAAAGAAAAGATGATGCTCATATTCGAAGATAATAAATTACAATTAGGTTAGTTATTGCCAAAAAAAAAATACCATTTTCATATTTGCATAAGAGTACCAAGAATAGTCATTAAAATACTCCCTCACGTTGCTAAACAAGCCATAAGCGATATGAAGTACTATCTTAAAATATTACTATACTAAAAACAATATTATGATATAATTAGAATTTCATTAATTGCGCACATGATATTAAGTATAATAATGTTTTCAATGATAGTAGATTATAAAACTAATGATTAGAATGCAAATATACTAAGTTAATATAATAAAATAATAATATTACCATATTATCTAATTATAATAATTATTAGACGATATATATATATACTAATATAGTATATTGTTTATTAAACAATATACTAAATTATAATTTCATATTAGCAATTGGCAAATTATTATAGTATAAAATTAACTAATGTAGAATTGTGGCAGCTTGTGTTTATCATGTGTGGGTTGAGAGCAATTGCAGAAGGTTTGCACGGGAAAGAAGAAAGAAGAACAGTAGAAGATAGATTTAATATACAAGTCAAGAATTGATTTGGAGAGCTCAACAGTGTTGTATAAAGCCTAAAGCAGCAGACATGAAGTATTTAAATAGTCTTTGTATTCAAGTTAGAAGATGGTAAAGTATAATATACACGAAAGTAGATGGTACGGGATGTAAATGAAAATCTAGCAAGAAAAGAAAAGAAAAGTTAAGACGATGCAACCAAGAAAAAAAGAATAATGTAAACACTATATTATAGGAAATATACTAACAAACTTCTAAACAAAGGTCACAAAAGCTATATAGAGAGATAAAAAATAATGATAAGTGCATGGTAAGAAATAATAACAAAATTTTTTGTAAGAAAGAGAGTTGAAAATATATGACACAAGAAGAAATAATTAGAGAGATCATTATAAAAATTAAGAAAATACTTTTAAAGAATATAAAGTTGATCAGGGAGTTCCATCTGACAAAACAGCAAGGGACATGGAAATCCAATCGAGGTAACTATCGGAACAGCAACAAGCCGGCGTCAGAACTAGCTGGAACGCTAAAATTCATATTCAGATCTGACCAGGCCAGTACGAAGCATAGGAAGGTACTCACCGCTTTTCTGAATTTTGTGTATTGGAAAAAAATCCTCTTTTGTGCTTTTGTTGAATCAATCACAGGAAAATTATGATAGTGGATGACCTATTAGCATTATTACTTTCGTTCCTCTATTTGATGACTAATTGAAGAGGAGATGCTTGATTGATGAACAACCGATAAGGTAGCAACGTTGGCGCGGAACCCAGGAGCACACTAGCCTTTTTGGATGAATTAGGGTTTTGACGGTTTTGAATTTTTTTTTTTTTTAGATAGGGTTTTTTTCAGTTTCAAACATAAAGGATCACATCTTTAGATTATATATTCATGCTATTGAATAGATGAAGATTCATTTTTTTAAAAAAAAAAATTGTTTTAATGATTCAGCCGGCAGTAGGTGTTTGAAAAGGCCTCAATTGCTCTTTGCCGATTATAATTTCCTAAGATCCTGATGAGGTCCAGATGGAAGCCGGCTCGATTGCCGCTTTGTGAGATTCCTCTTTGGCCTAAATCTTCTCTTGCTATACGAAAAAAGGCCATATGGCTCCATAAAACTCTCCGGTGATTCCTCAAATGTAGAATTTATAGAATTCATATTTTGGTAATTGAAAGTTTTTTCTTTTTATTTAGTAATGATTTCGGTACAGGGCATCGATTTTGAATCATGGATGGCGAGGTACTGATTAAGAATCGGATTAGGGATCGTCAAAGATGAAAGCTCATAATAAATAAGAAGGAAAGCATAACAACCACATTTTTTTGATGTTTTGTTCAATGGTACTTTTGCATGCATCATTCTTTGATTTTCTATGTAGTTATGGATGGGAATACATGAAACAGACTTTGTTGCGGTATTTGCCTTGATTGGTGTTGAAGAAGTGAGTGGGGAGACTCTAATCTTTGTAATGATCTGCCTACCCTTAATGAATAAAATTGCATTTTGTGGAAAACCTTTTCTTCAGTTCTGCTAATTTGTTGTTATCATGTTTGTTTATTGTTTTCAAAGGGTACTAGATTCTGACATGAACTAAATATTTATGATTCCTGCTAATATGTGATCATTTTCTCTTTTAGATGTGATGGATTATGGATTTGCAGCAAGTTTTATGTTGTGGATTTAACGTGTTGAGGTTTTAAACAAGTTTTCCTGCAAGAGATATAAGGCCTTTATTATTACATAAAGTTGTAGCCTACAACTTTGTTGCCAAATTGTTATCATTATTAATCAAGGAAAACTTTGTATTATGCAGGTTTGTATGCAAGCAGATCACATTGGAAGGGCACCAATGTGACAAAAGCACTAGCTTCCTTCGCTACAAGCTGAGTTGAAGGTCTTTAGTTCAAATTAAATTCTTAATTTTCATTTTGAACCAAAACTCCCTGGTCAAGAGTTTGTGATTTCTCTGATTTCCTGCAAAACCCCTATTTCGATAAGATTTGGATGGATTGTGAGTTTGTGTACGTATGTTCCATGTAGTAGTTTGCATGATCTTTTTTTTTTGCGTGGCACTTGAGAGTTTTATGTTGATTAAGGTTTTGTACTTTTTTCTTTGATGATTGTGTTTGATGTTGATTTAAATTTTCATTGTGACTGTTGAACCAATTTGTACATTTGTATAATTTGATTGGTTTTCGTGAAAATTCATGAAAATGGAGATTCAATCTTTGCTTAAAAAGCTATTGGATGTAAATAATTCAATGAGCCAATGTGTTGCATCTGCTGCCTCTGCCGCCTTTGCTACTCAGAGAATTCAATCAGGTTTTCCTCTTAGCTTGGCATGTTCTATGTTTAGTTATACCCTGCCATGCTTAGTTACACTCTGTCATATTCAACCTGTGTTTGTTGTAGGGCTTCTTATGCACAGTTCATCTCCTCTTAACTTGATACCTTTGTTTTTTGTAACAAAATTAATTTCTATAGGTTCGAACACATGTATTTGTAATTTAGATTATCACATCAGGTAGGTATTTAATTATATAATAAAATGAGAGATGAACAAAACTGGTCAAGCGCCCAGGAGCTTGAGGTCGAGCATGCAGTGAACAATCTTAAATCGAGATTATGTCGGAAGATTCAACGGCAGAGGAGCGATGGGTCTAATGTTGACTCTGACTCCGTTTGTACTTCAATTTGTAGATTATCATACCCATCAATTTATCAAGCAAGATTTGTGTATTTTTTATGCAGTAATCCCCAACTTCTAATTATTTTGTCAAATGTACGAAGAAAAGCATAAATCAACACGTCCATGAAAATTTGTTTCCCAAATTTCTTTCGAGATGTGGTTATTCGTCTTGATTTGACTTGGAAGAGTAGCTGGAGGTTAGTTAGGGTACTGAGGAAGTCATTTTACTTAAATATTGATAACTAGATGATTAATATCCCGATATTTTGAGTATAGTAGCTGTGGGACATGTACCAGGTTAAGAGCAAAGATTATTCTATACCAATTAGTGTCATTATTTACAGGCACAAAATTCTACATCATCTTACTTTGAAACACAGGTAGTTCCCGAGCATTCGTCCAGAGCAATTATATAAATACATATTTACAACATATATAATATTTAGCGGCAATATAAATATTTAGGGGTTCGCCCGGGCGCAAGCATCTAGTTTTATATTAAAAAATTACTATTAAATGATGGAGTGATGTGTTTGCGACATGTGGACTTGGTGGAAATCAGTGATAACTCAGACAGCACAGCTTTCACAAAAAAAAAAAAACTGAAATAAAAAGGGTAATTTGGTTTGTTTTGGACGGGAAATTGACAACGTCAGCGTGCGAGGTCACTTTCATAATGAGCAGAGTGTAATCGACAAGTTGACCAAGAGTCAGGGGAGGTAATTATAGTATTATCGAAACTCAAGATTGATATAGTTTAAGGGTTAAAACTCGGGGGTAAAATGTAGTTTGCTAAAAAAAAAGGAAAAAAGAAAAGAAGAGAAAACCGACGAGGAACTTGAGCCGGTCACCCGGTGAACCGCAAACCCACACCCGTCAGAATTTATGAAGTCAGTCAAAAATAAATGAACGCAAAAATAATTTTATTAGGACGAAGAACAAAAGAATAATCCCCTATGAAATTCTCCAAAATATACTCCTTTATAGACTTTTCGCGTAGCGACAGCATCAGCAAGACTGTATCTGCGTCGGTCGTCGGTCGGGAGTGATCGGGGTTTTCAGTTTCCGCTTATATAACGCTTAAGTCGAGCTGATCTCGAGAACGGAAGAGGAACTCCAACCAAAGGGAAAACGGAAAAGAAATAAAAGAAAAAGAGTTGAAGGGAAGTGGAGATTGGAATGTCGGCTTCAACCGAGGGTCTGGTGCCCATAACCCGGGCGTATTTGGCTTCTTACTACGACAAATACATTTTCCCTCCTCTGTCCGATGACGTCGTTCGCCTCACTGCCGAGATTCGTTCCTTGTCCGGCGATCTGCTTAATGACTCCGGCTCCCCCCCCAATCAAGGTTAATTATCTGAAATTTCTTTCCTTGCTAATTTAGCTTTCTTCTCCCCCCGCAACCCCCCTTTCTATTACCCCAAAACCCTCCTAAATTGTAGTACTCCCTCTGTCCCAAAATTTTTTGTCTTAGTTTAGAATTTTTATTTTGGGACAGATGGAGTAATACTTAGCTTATATGGTGCATTGTTATGATGTTGTTTGCTAATTATCGCTATAGAGGAGAAATTATTGAGGGAGGAGGCAGAATGCGAGGCTCCCCACAAAATCGATGAGAATATGTGGAAAAACAGAGAACAAATTGAGGAGATTATGTTTTTGCTTGACAGTTCAACATGGCAATCTTTGGTAAGAAACATCATATTGTGTGTCACTTTAGGAGTTACGCCAACAGCTCACAAATATCTTTCACGAATAAGGATCTTAATTTGATTTTCTCCTTTGTTATGACCTCAAAAGCAATCCCCCTCAATGCCTCAAGTATCTTCTCGTGTTTCTCGACTAAAAGACAAATTAGCAAGCACTTTCAAGGTTTTGGAGTATTTCCAGACCAAGAATTCTGAGTTCGTATTCAACACAGGTTGGTTCTGGTTATGTACGCGTATCATTTGTGTTTTTGTCTCTGGCTTTTAAATTGTTAACGCCACCCTGTTTGGATGGACATTTTTTCAGTTATGACCTACATGCCCCAAGATTTTAGGGGCACCCTTATCAGACAACAAAGAGAGCGGTCTGAGAGGAATAAACAAGCTCAAGTTGAGGCGTTGATTAACTCCGGGGGAAGTATTCGTGATCGTTATACAATGCTGTGGGGACAGCAGATGGAACGGTTAAGTTTCTACCGTCAAATTTCACCATTTTTTTTTTTCTTGTTGGACAACACTGGTTTCATTGTACTTGGTCTGGTTCTTGTTTGCAGAAGGAGACAATTAGCTCAGCTCGGTTCAGCCACCGGTGTATATAAGACGCTGGTGAAGTACTTAGTTGGGGTCCCGCAGGTAATTTTTAAGTTAGGAACGAATTATTATTTTATAAACTCCACCAGTGTTCGACACAAAATCAAATCTTTTTTTCCCCTCTCATCCTGTGTAGGTTCTGCTGGATTTTATTCGGCAAATAAATGATGATCAAGGGTAGCAACTTTACCTGTGTTTGATAATGTCCATTTCAATTTGTGCTTGATTTTTAGTTGGTTTCTTGGCCTTTCTGCTTGGAGATTTAAACATTGTTTTCTATCCATGACTTTCCGGATTATTCTTGTTTATTATTCACCAGGCCCATGGAAGAGCAGCGTCAACGCTATGGACCACCTTTGTACAGTCTTACAACTATGGTTCTTAACATTCGGCTTTTCACCTATCTTTTATGGAAGCGCCTTGAGGCTCAAAAAGTGTGAGACTTTCTGGGCATTACTTGAGATACTTGTCTAATGTGCACACACGAACATATGGACACATGATTCTGAACCTTTATTTCTCTGGCATTTTATTGCATGAAACCAGACAGGAAAGTCATCTATCGTCCTTAGAGGCAGCAGTTGCTGTTTATACATCTGAATTTGAACGATTCATAAAATTTATTGGGTAAGTTTTTTCTGATGTTCCTATATCTCCAGGTTTGTTTGTTTGGTACAGTTGCCTGTCTTGAAAGTTGCCTTAAACTGTAGGATTGAGTTATGCACATGGACTATTGGCCACTTTATAGCTATGCACATGCTAATCACTTTTTTCAATATGAATCCTGAAGTTTCCAGGAGCTAACCTAGATAATGACTCAGAATGTTTTGGAACCCTTGCTGCACTGTTGGCAGTAATGTGGATGCTCAAATATATGCCAGCTTTAAAGCAGCCACTTGCTTAATAACGAGTTACCTGTTAGATAAAATTGTATTTAATGAGGAAAAAAGAGTACGTCCTTTTTTGGTGAAATGTCCTTACTAAAGGTCTCATTTTGCGAGCACTTACTGATGTTATTGTTCCTGCTTTGTTATTTTCTGCTCAACAGGGAGGTGTTTGCTAATTCTCCCTTCTTTATCAAAGCGGAGGATGCTGGTGCATTGGAGGCCAGGTTGTTGTTGTTGAGAATTATTAAATTATTATAAACAAACAAATTTGATATTTATTTACTTTATCCTGAGGTGCAAGTTTCTCAGCCTTGTAGCTTACTGAGCTTCAATTTTTTTTCCATGTCTTCCCAGTAGAAGTAGAATCTCATTGGACCTCAAATATATGCAGGAAAAATGATGACTTAAAGGAAACGAACGTCCCTGCTGGGAAAAATTTTGAGGTTTGTGTTCGACCTATATGCACATTCTTGTTTCCTTTCTGGTCTAGTAAATAAACCTTTTTAGATTGAGGACTGAATGCCTTGGGGATAGCTTCTTTCTTAGCTTTTACCATAGCAACACGCAGCGCAAGTGACTCTTTCATGTTGCAAAGTCAGTTGGCACAAAGTTTATTTGTTTTTATTGGATGAAGCATGGGGGATGTCTCTTCGCTGTGATTGTTGTAGGCCTCTTTGAGACATTTCACACACTAGATACAATCTATGTTACCTGGATTCACCTGTTTGAGGCAGAGTACCCATGTCAACACGGGTGCGGAATACGGACGGGATGCGGCAAATTGATTCTGGATTTGCTGACTTCAAATTGGCTTCGAGTTGGGAGGCTTTGAAATTTTATTCCTTCCTTCACGGTGGCTAAGAACAGAAGAAGAGAGATAGAAAGAAAACAAAGGAAGTAAGAAAAGAAGAAATTGAGAGGTGAGATGAGAAATTGTAGGACTCGATGTGGGACTTTCAGATGAGGGAAGGGAGGAGAGAGAAATTAGGAGGTGGCGTCAAAGAAATGAAGAAAGAGAGTAAAGAGATAGATTGTTTTGGTGATAAAATATAAGTATTAGGATCTTATACTTTTGATGTCTCGCAAATTGATCCCTATACTTCTTTGATTAGTTTAAAAAACCACTTTCCTAATTCCTCATCCAACACCAAAATAATAATCATTATACAACACTATCATCAATACTTGCACTAGTTTCCCGTACCCGTGTCCATTTCCATACCCCTGTATCCTGATTTTACGGATTTTTGAATCCGACACTAAGATCTGCTCCCATACTGGAGTCCAGGTAACATAGGGTACAGTTGTATATGTGTTCTATTTGCCGATTGTTTTTCTCTTCATTTGCCACTGGTTCATTTTAATGTTATTATTTTTTCCGGTAGATGGTAAATTTCATTTCAATCTCAAAAGTGGACTCACAATTTTACATCAAAGTTCACTCATTTTCCTGCATACTTTAAACTATTACATCAGAAAAATGAATCTGTACAAGAATAGTTTAAAAGCGCAGTCTAAAACTTTGAACACATTCCAAGATTACGAATAAACCTTCGGTTTGTTTCTTTCAACTGGGGACAACCACCTATCACTCTCCACTTAATATCCACCCTTTTAAGGTCTGATAATACGCCCCAAGAGTAAAGGCTCTCTTCTCAAATATAGCAGTATTTCTCGTTTTCCAAATGTAGTACATCCCTGCAGCAACAATAGCTGTTTTAGTCTTGATCAATTCCAAATCTGCATTAGTTATTTCCAGTATCTTAGAGATAGAACCTTTGCTTTTAGTTCCAATTATTATTAGTAGCAGTATTATTATTAGTGACGCGATGAAAAATCTTTAGATAGCGAAATATGTGGCCGTAGGTGAACTATCTTCCTAATCGTTAATGAATAAATTATTGGGGTGAAAAGTAAACATGGATTTCTGTGATTTAATCTACGTCATTCTTTATAATTTTCATCATTACTCTTATTATTATTGTTGTTATTTCTGATTTGTTGAACACACACTAGGTTGCTTTGACCGTAGATTCAGTAAATTCATACATTGCCTGGGATTTCTCGTTAGTGCAAGGAAGGATGAATATGGTATGGATCTCTTTACATGTAATGATTTTTTTATTTATTTTATTTATTTTTAAATGGAACGATGGTTACAATTTGTGTGTACTTAGATGACATCCTGTTGATGGATGTACTCTACATCTCTGGAAAAGGGGAATGTATGTTTGCTATTGAATATTATTAGATGATGTATGTAGGTATAAACTTTCATGTTTATTGCATATCTCGTTTACTTTCTTTCTATTGGTCAATTTCATTTATTTGGCGTTTATACATGACATTTGTACATGTAAAAGTGCCACGCGTTTTTTCATCTCCTAATATGGTTTATATACTTCAGCAAGACATTGGATTCAGCATTGAATACACCGATGAATCTGGACAGAAAACTGTGAGTAATTTACACCTGTTTACAGTAGCTGATGTCTTCTCTTGCATCTTTTGCTTTGAATAAGCTGCTATTTCTTTGACACAAATATGTTGTGTTAACTTTAATTTGTTTCAGTTTTTTTCTTGAAATTGTGTTATGGTGCTGCATCCCTATCTCACTTGGTGGTTGTTGGCTTATTATACTGCAGATGATATTGCCTTATCGCCGTTATGAGTCTGATCAGGTAAGCTTTTGGGGTCTTCTAGTTTTCTTCTAGGATGTGTGTGAATGGAATCTTATCGTTGACATTCTGAGTCAATTGAGTTTCTTGCAGGGTAACTTCTGCACAATGATGGCTGGGAATTACAGGCTTATCTGGGATAATACGTACTCTGCATTTTTCAAAAAGGTGTGTGTATGAATCTTTCCCCCAATCTTTGTGTCGGTTACGGTTTCGATAATTTTTGAGACTATAATTCTTATGTTCTCTTGTAACTGGTGTTGGTGTCTGGCATGAACACAGGTTTTGCGTTACAAAGTTGATTGTATACCTCCAGTTGTTGAGCCGATTTCTGCTGCTAATGAAATGGAAGAATGAAGTCACTGTGCGATAGATGCTGTTTCAAATTGATTGTGGAGAAAAATACTCGTGACATTTGTTTGTAATTTTTTTTTTAAAAAAATACATTTGTCTGTAAGAGTTAGTTGCAAATGAAATGTGGTAAATGAAATGTGCTCCGCTTTCTTCTTTCCTCACCCGTCGCCCGCAACAAAAAGGGTTTCTGTATGAAAGGGAAACCAAAGAACTGTTATTTTTGTTTTTCTTCCATTGAAGGAGATTTCACTTTCATGATAGATGAATCGTCTTCCGTTTAGGATTAATATCACCTCTGACTGTGCCGGAACTAGACTTGCCGCTTTGGGGGCTGGATTTCATTTTATGTGGGGGTTATATATAAAATTTCAGGGCTGATTATCAAATTTTATGAGGAACTTTAATTTAAGAGGAGTTTCCTTGAAAAACTAACAAAGTAGGAATTAAACCCCTCTTCTGCGCCGCCTCACGCTTATCATTGGAGTTCGGCCGGTCGGTCATCAGCTGATAGTGACCCAGCACCGGCCGGTAGTGGTGGATAGCGGCCTGACAATGATAGAGGTAGTCCTGAAGTGATAGGTAAAAATTGTGTAAAAATAATATTTAAGTTTGTATAGAAAGTGAATTAAAATGTTATTTAGATAGTATTCTCTCCATTCTAAAATAAGTGTTGTTTTAGTAAAATGAAAAAATTTAAAAATAAAAGTGTCCAAAATAAGTGTTGTTTAAATACTCAACTAAAATGAGCAACAAAAATAGCCCAGAAATAAAAGCTCATCATTTTTTGTCCAAAATTTTCAAATCTAGTATAAATTTGAAAACTCAACGTGGATTATTTTTATGGGACGGAGATAATATTATTGGTAAGTATTTATTTTAATGGGGTTGGTTGAGGATATTTTAATTAACTACCTAATTTAAGTATTTTTTTAAACTATGACTGATTTCATGGGGATCGAGGAAGAAGATGGAAGTGGTGGTGGTTCTTGATGGGGAGGGAAGTGCTAAGGGAGGTAGCGTTGATGTGGAAAGGAGGATAAGCGTCAGGATTGAGAATAAAGGGAAAGAAGGAAAAAAAATTAGAATTTTATAGTTATGTATCAGGTTCAATTCCCATATAGGTAAATCAAGTTACATATCTTTTGGTTGGAATTGAAACTGCTCTTAGGATCCGGACTACTGGATAATTATTCAATTCCCAATTTTTAAATTATAGTTTTAAGGAAAAATTTGAGATTTTATTAAATTTTATTTGAAAAAAATCAAATTATAAAAAAAATATTAAGAAATCAATCCATATTTAAAACCGAACAAAATTACTGAATTCATGAATCCGCGAGTATTCGAATTCAATTAATACTAGATGTTTGTTCCGGACAAAAACTCGGGACGCCCTACTTAATAAATCGACATGTAACTAAAAAATTATTATATATTAGAACATAAAGTAAATAAATAAATGTAGTTGCTTTCTATTAAAATTTTGGCACAAAAATTCAAATTCCCATCTCTCTATGTATAAATAGGTCAATGAAAAAGGATCTTCTGTTCTCCAACTTATCCTTTATAAACAGTAGATTGCATTTGATGGGACGAACACATTTTCTCATTGCTTTTGGCTTCTAGGGGTAGTGCTTTAGCATTATTATATATTTTCTGGGTGAAGATATATAAAGATGTGTGATAATGACAACCCAAAAGAAATGCTAAAAACTATCCAAATACAGGAACTAAATCAGAATGGAAGTTGAACTCACCTCAAAATAGAACTGAATTGGGAGGAAGAATAATATCTTCACGTTAAAGTGTCCAAAACAATACAGAGCCAGAAACAAATTGAAACATCAAATTTGTTCCAGGCAAATGCCTGAGGGCACCATTTGCCCTGGGAAACCTGTACATTAAGTCGTTCTAACTTGTAATTGGAGCTTACCCGTAAGAGACAAATTATATTTAAATGCAAAACAATTAATTCTTCTGTGTTGTATCTATGTATAACAAAGAATAGTTATAGAATTTGTATAATTAAATTTCAAAATCAAAGGAATTTCACCGTAGTTCAGTTGAGTCATAACCACAACGTAAACATAATCCGCTACTTTACGTTATTGGTCCTTCAAATGGAATATCTAGAACTAAAGGAACCATTTTGTCAGTGTGCATTGTTCTTGAGAATGAAAAGTAGCAAAGCCGGACCTTTTCAAGTCTTGTGTTGGATTCTAACATGATATGCATAATTACAAACAATACAATATTAAAGATACATACCCAGAAGTAATCCAATCACAACATTCAGAATATATCATCCAATATTGACATCAAATATCAGTCTCTATGCATCACTAACAAATTCTACTGAGAAGTAAAGTTGACTAAACAAAAAAGTTAAGCATTTTGAAAACACCGGCATAATAATTTCATTACCGAATCAAAATCCAACTCGGTGTGGAGAGCAATGGATGCCATTACCATAGACTCAACATAATCAAAGAATATCCAACTCGCTATGAAATGAAATGAAGTAATACACGACCTGAACTGGCATCCAAATTTATGAGCACCACCATCACCCCACTTGCCCAACACTTTCCATGATTTCAAAAACTTTCAGGTTTTAGCCTATACTCTCTCCGTCCCATAATTATTGTCCAGTTTAGGTTTTTATTTCTAGTTCAAATTGTATTAAAAGTGAAATTTTAAATTGGACAATAATTTTGGGACAGAGGGAGTACTTTAGAAGTTTATAGCAATCGCTTTTCATCATTGTCCACTTATATTAAATAAAGGTAATGTGCAAAGTAGTAGACTTAAAAGCAACGACCAAGGAATTAACCTCTTTTAGATAGTCCAACATATTTGGTGTTGGTTCATGAAAATCAGGACCTCTGAAATCAATGTCCTCATTTGGATCCTGAATGTAATCAATAGTTGGGTAAACTAGATCACCACCCCATACTGCAGTCATACATGAAATTGTTTAATGCCAGAAATCTGCATTAGTTTTGTCTCCTTCCCGAAGATGTAACACAAAAATACAAAAAATCATCAATTAATAGTATATAAAAACTATGTGAAACTGGTTCTAACAAATCTCATAGAATCCATGTTAGAAAAATCTTAAACTCACCATAGTTACATCACTGTTTCACGTTGCCTTTCAGCCACTGTCCTTTCAAAACTGTTGTATTTTTTCAGTAATTCTTTCGCACTCCCTAGTCTAATTTTATCATCACTGGACCCTGATTTTGTTATTACTATAGTAACACCTGCAAAAAAGATTTCATCGAATAGGACCAAAAATTAAAACAAAATTAAGAAAAACTATCAGATAAACAACAAATCTCTGAAGATAACTCACCCAATATCCCTCGATGAAATATTTAACCAGGGATTCGATCTCCCCTTCTTGGCGAAACACAAATTACGATGATCAGAAAATTTTTTTCTGGATTTGATAGGGATTCGATCATTCCCGGATTTGCGAAGCGATTCGAATGATTTTTGTGTCATGAGTCGGCGGCGGCGGAAGAAAGGAACTGATGTTGTTGAGCAGGAAGAGAATTTGGCGACGGCGGCAACGATAACTTCGGAGGTATCGATCGGTGGGAGAAGGAGATGAGAGAAAGAGTTTAGGGATTCTCACTTATTTGTATGTATTTATTTATAATTCTGACTCAGTGATAGTAGAAACTAGATACTTGGCCCGAGCATCTGCCCGGGCGCCCCCTTAATTTTTCTTGCGGGATATCAGGGATTTAGTTGCTACCTTAATTTTTTTTTAAAAAAAGGTGCTAACTTAATTAAGTTGCGGGATGTCAGGGATTAACGCGTTTTGGACTACTCTAGCAAGCCTTTTTTTGAGTATCTGAAGCGCCACGTAGCGTTTTTCATTTTGTACTGAAAAAGGGCTTTAGCGGAAAAATTTTCAATATGTAGCTGACATGTGTCCTTCTTGTATACTACTTTAATTAAGTACTATCTGCCCGGGCGCCCCCTTTATTTTAATTTTATGTTAATAGATAAATGAATTCTTGATTTGAAAAAAATAAAATAGTTACACATTTGTTCTTTTCTCTTTTTTAGCCAAAAATAAAAATAAAAATAAAAAAACATCTGCAAAAGGAGAAAAAACATTGAAAAGTATAACGATGCAGAAATCATACAAAAGAATGTGGAGTAATAAATGGGATAAGTTTATGGACAAATTTAAATGTTATCTTAATTTGATTGATAAATGATAAGTGTTAGGAGTTAAAATTGTGTAGCTATTTTTGTAAAGTAGTTTTTGTTTTTCCGGATAAGAATTTTTTTTTTCTTTTAAAAAAGGACGACACGTGGTAGAATAGTTAATGTAATATGGTGTATTTGGATCTAAAATTTTTTAATAAGAAGTTTCTACATAAACATTAAACATTTAATAGGGTAAAACGGATAATAATAGATTTGACTCTGTTTCTAAACCAACTGTAAGACTGGACCGGGGATGAGGTCGGCTAGTTCTGTCCAAACGGAGCGGGCTTAGCATGAAAGTGAGCGCTTTATGCAAATGGGCTTTGTTTGGGGTAGTCGTGAGGCCCGGGGGACGGATGCCCAACGTCAACACAGTAGTAGTAGGAATAGTGGTAGTATCCATAACAAACACAGCAACTGCTGCGCCCAAGATTCTTTCACCCAACCAACCAAAATACACACACACACACACTCAAATCGTCGTCGTCATCATCATCATCAGATCCGCTCTTTCCATTCCTGTTGACGTCGTCTGTAATTCTGGTCCTGCGAGTACGGCAAAAGAGTAACATTCACGTATATATATAAAATCCGTTGATTGTTTATCCCTGCACCGGTAGTTTGATTAGATTCAAACGCTTTCAGCCGGCTCTCTTGCCATTCATTGAACTGAATTAGCTTTCCTTCCCGCGCGGAAAAAGAAAAGATCAGTCAGCCCTTGGTGTTGAATCTATGGTATTGTCGCTGCAGATTACAAAAAGAAAAGGAACGCGACACCGACAGGTACAGTAGAGTTTAGCTTAGAGATAGATTGGTTAAATCGAGAAATGCGATTGACATAAGGCAGTCGCAGCGGAAATCATAGATAATCGTGGTGGGGAATGAAGGCACCGATGGCTGTGGGGTCCACGGCTGGGACGAAGCGCCGATGGATGGCGACAGTGCTGGGACTGGTTCTCTTCTCAATGCTGGTTCCACTCGTCTTCTTGCTTGGCCTCCACAATACTTTTCTTTCTTCTCCTCCTTCCTCCGGTACGCCTGTATTTTTCATTTTTCCCACCCTATTTTGCAATTGTGCAATTGTGGGAAATGTATGGTTTTGTTCTTTTACCCTAATTTTCCCAGTTAGATCTACCATTCCTGTTCCCCTCTCCCATTATATGTATATATATATATATATATATATATATATATATATATATATATATATATATATTCTGGAAGGGCGATTATTCTTGTAGATCACAGTAGGGCTGATCTGCATTCCGTGATATTTTTTTTCTTAGTTCATTTAGGTTCCTTTTCTATTCTCAACTGGGTTGGCTTGGTGGTTGTTGCTGTAAGCACTGCTGGAAGGGTGATTATTCTTGTAGATCACAGTAGGGCTGATCTGCATTCCGTGATATTTTTTTTCTTAGTTCATTTAGGTTCCTTTTCTATTCTCAACTGGGTTGGCTTGGTGGTTGTTGCTGTAAGCACTGCTAAGTTAATAAAGAATTTGTTTTTGTCCAATATTTACAGGTTATGTCTCTGAAGAAGAACGCAATTCTGACGGAGTAAGCATTCAATCTGTCCCTTCACATCTAGTTAGCTCTTTTCCCCCTTTTTTCCCTCTCATGCGCTGATTAAATATAATTTTTTTCCCCATGTTTGTGCCGCTCTCATAATGGGATATTTAGAATGGTCTTAGAATTTATGAACAACAACAACGTGTCGATGCTACTGTCACCACCCCCACCCCAGTGGTAATCAATATTCCATCCTGAATGGTTGGTACTTCATCCATTGACTCTCCTTGAACATTTGTTTTCCTAATCTCTTCTTGTATTTTGCTTTACAGGAACATCGGTCGAGAGATGTCGATGATCTTTTAAGAAGATTGGGAGGGCCTACTCTTCCAAAGGTTCATTGCATATATCTTTGATGCTTAACACTCTACTTGCGTTAATTAGTTTTCTGATTGCAGCTGTATCTACGGGTATTTTTGTTTTATTGTTGTTTTTATTTTTCTTGGTGAATCTGAATTTGCTCATTAGCATGACGTAATGATTGCGTGTGTAATACTTTTAGTTCTTGCAGTGTTTGAATGTATCCTCAAACATGTTGTGAATGTTGGAGATTTCACAGAGAAAAGTTACACATTTAAAGATTCTGTACTAGCCTAAGGTTTCAAAAATAGATTGGAGTCTGTAATAATACACATCTATTTTGTCAATGATGTGAAGATGAACAGATGTTTCTTGGGTGGCATTCTAAGCAATTGAGAATAATTCTAGGCTTCTAGCTTTGGAGAAATCACACAATAGTTGGGGGATTACAATATATCATGTCAGAAGGCTGAAACTGAAGCGAATTTTATCAACATCTCCTGATTGTGCTTTAAGTTGGGTTTTGATTAGTTTTTAAAATTTCTTTCTTTACTTCATTGCTCGATTTTCGGTTAGGTTTTTGGGAGGGACCCTGCAGAGGATGCTAAGAACAAAACAAATGGTACAATATCAATAGAAACTATATTCCCCCCTTTCCTCCTCTCTCATTCAGTCTATTGCTGATTTAATTTTACTTTTGGTCTTTGGTGTCTTACAACTTTCCTGTGTTTGGGAAAATGCAGACTTTACAGAAGTGCCTGACCTGCCAAAACAAAATTCCAATGCACATGTATGTCTCTGGTCATTGCTGGCTAAGGTTTTTTAACACATATTACATTTGCTTTGTTATATTCTCACTAATCTCGTTGTAACTGGTTATGATATCGTATGGCAGAATAATGTACCTCCCTCCGAAGGTAAATTGGTAGAGAACATGAAAAGCACCATGGACGGCAAAAATATGTGTGAGATTAGATTTGGTAGCTACTGCTTATGGCGTGAAGAGCATAGGGAGAGCATGAAAGATTCTACAGTAAAAAAGATGAAGGACCTTCTTTTCGTTGCTCGGGCATATTATCCCAGTATTGCTAAGCTTCCAGCACTTGACAAATTGTCCCATGAACTGAAGCAAAACATTCAGGAATTTGAACGAGTCCTGAGTGAAACTACAACCGATAAAGATCTTCCTTCACAGTATGATTAATTCTTCTGGTTAACTTTTCTTTGCAAGAATTAATGAGAAGGACCAAATTTGAATTTGAAGGAAAATTCTGAACTAAACTATCCTTTGTTGAAATTTTTATTTGTTCTTTTATGTGATTGGTTAGTTGATATGGTCACAACTTGTTAATCAGTTTTATGAAATGACTCTACTCTTTTGCCAGGATTGAAGTGAAGTTGAGTAAGATGGAAGCTACAATTGCCAAAGTGAAATCGCATCCTGTGGACTGTAACAACGTCGATAAAAAATTCCGACAGTTAGTTGACTTGACAGAGGATGAAGCGAATTTTCATATGAAACAAAGTGCCTTTCTGTACCAACTTGCTGTCCAAACCGTTCCCAAGAGTCTTCATTGCCTGTCATTAAGATTGACCGTAGATTATTTTAGAAATCCTCCACCTGACACAGATGTTCTGCTTGCTGACAAGTTTTTAAATCCAGAATTGCAACACTATGTGATCTTCTCCCAGAATGTTCTTGCTTCATCTTCCGTGATTAACTCAACCGTAATGAATTCTAAAGTATGCATTTTGACCTTATGCTTGCCCTTTTCTTGGACCTTGAAACTTTTTGTTATTTCTTTACGTTTTTGTTATCTTGTACTTGCAGGAGTCATCAAATCAAGTTTTTCACGTGTTGACTAACCGGCAGAACTATTTTGCAATGAAAAAATGGTTCTTCCTCAACAAATACAAAGAAGCAGCAGTTCAGGTTTTGGACATAGAAGAACTAATTTTGAAGGGTGGTCAAAGTAATGTGTCTCAGTTACTTCAGATGTTTCTGCCTGAGGAATTTCGTATTTCTTTTCGAACAGTTGATAAGCTCTCTAGAGCTATGGTTCGAACTGAATATTTGTCTCTATTTTCATATTCCCACTATCTTATTCCTGAGATATTTCAAACTTTGAGAAAAATTGTGATTTTGGATGATGACATCATTGTGCAAAAAGATTTGTCCGAACTTTGGAGCATTGACATAGGTGAGAAAGTCAATGCTGCTGTGTTCCTTTGCGCTGTAAAATTGGGCGAGCTGAAGCATTATTTGGGTGAAAATAGTTTCAACAATGAGGGCTCTTGTGCCTGGATGTCAGGATTGAACCTTGTGGACTTAGCTGGGTGGAGAAAGCGTGGCCTTACTGAAAGTTTCCAAAGTTTGCTTCATAAGGTGCGTGTTTCTCTGTCATCTTTAAAGATTCATCTGTGGTTTCCGTTTTGCTGCAGTCTGATGCTTTCTGCTAAGGTTGGGTTTTAGATACTGTTGCCCTGATTTTTCTAATTTCTCTAGATGGAGGCGTACGTATGTGCACAAATCTTGTATGCAGATACTACCTCTTTAGTCTTTACTAAGTGGTTTAAGGATATGGGAGTTCTCTAAATTATAAGTCATATTTAAGGAAAATGGGATTGTTCAAAAGTCTATGATTTTTTTTCTAAAGTTAACCGTTTTTGTGGAGTAGTTGATTAATGGTAATTGTTGGGATTTAGGTCTAGCCGTGTTTAAGATGAGTGATATGAATGCTAAGTCTTGGATTTAGCAATGGTAATTTTAAGATAAAGAGACATGTAGAATTTGTAGAGTGATTGAGGTAACTTAGAAATTTAAATAACTTATTGACGCTATCCGAGTCTGGTGATTTCCCTTTACATAGGTTATGGGCGAGTTGGTGCCACCTCTTTTTTCTATTACCTAATGTTTTCCTTTTTTGAATTCAAAATGATCGTTGCTATCCGATAAAATGATAAGTAGGATGAAAAATGTTACATGAGTTGAGATGGGATGCTGACCGTGGAGGCCTTTAGTTATCTGAAGAAGTTTGTTGCCATACTTCAGTTCTGTGCCACAATCTTCTCTGTTAAAGTTGGGTTTTTTTTTTCTTTTTTAAAAAAAAAATTCTCAATTCTCCCTCTCCCGTCAAATGAAATGAAATATGAATAGTTTGACGTCTCATATTTTTCTTTTGGGTCTTTGTTATGTAATTTCACCAGTCACTGATGGCTGAGGATGCATCATTAGAAGCCGCCATCCTGCGAGCAACATTACTCGTGTTTGAAGGTCTTGTATATGATCTCAATGATCAATGGGTAATATCCGGACTGGGTTACAACTACGGATTGGATTCGGATAGTATTAAGAAAGCAGCAGTGCTACATTTCAATGGGAATATGAAACCTTGGCTTGAGCTGGGTATTCCAAAATATAAAGGTTTCTGGAGGAATTTTGTTAATTCAGAAAATTCATTTTTAAGTGCTTGCAATGTGAATCAGTAGGGAAGGCATGGATGGAGGGAATATTTGCTTCGGGTTCAGAATTGAAATCTAATCCTGCAGGGTTGCTGGAGGTTTGAGAAGGACAGCTGCATTATATATTCTTTATCTTTCATCTTGCCTGAAGGATTCATTCATTTCTGGAAGTGGAGGCAATTGAGATGCAAGTGATGGTGGTCGCAATCAATTTATCTTGCGCCTTTTCTTTCTTTTTTGGTCCTTTGATTACTGCATTAGTTGATGATTTTTACCCCTTGGCTCAAAGACGAGGATGATGTAAAAGAACCCTCACGAGCTGTCCCACCTTGGTCTGAGCCTGGAGGATGTTTAGATTGACTCTAGGAGGAATGTCGTCCGTTGCGGTTGGGAATGGAGATGGAGTAAACGGTAAACTAAGCCCCTTGTGTAAGAGCTTAGGTGATCATCATTCCATAGCGAGTGTGCTGAATTCAGTCTTCCTTTCCACTGATTTGTTTATTGTTAGTCAAAGTGATCATCATCATTTACTGGAAAAAGTTAGATAATTTGACAGAGCAAAGTCTATTTTTTTCCAGAATTTTTGTAACTTAGCCAGGTATAAGAATTGATGTTATATCACACAGGCAGCTGGGAGTGATATTAAAACAGTAAAACTTAGTGGTGTGTATTTTGTCTTGGATACTTGTAAAGAAATCTCTGCCCGATTTCGAATCTGATCTTCTTAACGAGCTTCTTGCAATTTGGAATTGCTCGAGATCATAATGACATAATCTAACCATCTCGATGGTGGCAAGCTTGAAAAAATCTCAACTATATTTTTATGGTGGGAAGCTTGAAAAAATCTCAATTACAGGATTGGAAATCATAACAAAATATGCCGCACCATTATCCTCTGGTATTCAACTCTAAACTTTGTTGAATATAGTTGAGATTTTTTCAACTATATTACGAGGATAATATAGTTGAATAGAGTTGAGTTCACTCCAACGAACTCATGAGTTCTGCTAAATTTGTTGAATATTAGAGTTGAACATATTCTTTCAAGCTTAGGGTTTAGGGTTTAGGGTTTAGGGTTTAGGGTTTAGGGTTTAGGGTTCAGGGTTCAGGGTTTAGGGTTCAGGGTTTAGGGTTCAGGGTTTAGGGTTTAGGGTTCAGGGTTCAGGGTTTAGGGTTTAGGGTTTAGGGTTTAGGGTTTAGGGTTTAGGGTTTAGGGTTTAGGGTTTAGGGTTTAGGGTTTAGGGTTTAGGGTTTAGGGTTTAGGGTTTAGGGTTTAGGGTTTAGGGTTTAGGGTTTAGGGTTTAGGGTTTAGGGTTTAGGGTTTAGGGTTTAGGGTTTAGGGTTTAGGGTTTAGGGTTTAGGGTTTAGGGTTTAGGGTTTAGGGTTTAGGGTTTAGGGTTTAGGGTTCAGGGTTTAGGGTTTAGGGTTTAGGGTTTAGGGTTTAGGGTTTAGGGTTTAGGGTTTAGGGTTTAGGGTTTAGGGTTTAGGGTTTAGGGTTTAGGGTTTAGGGTTTAGGGTTTAGGGGGTTTAGGGTTTAGGGTTTAGGGTTTAGGGTTTAGGGGGTTTAGGGTTTAGGGTTTAGGGTTTAGGGTTTAGGGTTTAGGGTTTAGGGTTTAGGGTTTAGGGTTTAGGGTTTAGGGTTTAGGGTTTAGGGTTTAGGGTTTAGGGTTTAGGGTTTAGGGTTTAGGGTTTAGGGTTTAGGGTTTAGGGTTTAGGGTTTAGGGTTTAGGGTTTAGGGTTTAGGGTTTAGGGTTTAGGGTTTAGGGTTTAGGGTTTAGGGTTTAGGGTTTAGGGTTTAGGGTTTAGGGTTTAGGGTTTAGGGTTTAGGGTTTAGGGTTTAGGGTTTAGGGTTTAGGGTTTAGGGTTTAGGGTTTAGGGTTTAGGGTTTAGGGTTTAGGGTTTAGGGTTTAGGGTTTAGGGTTTAGGGTTTAGGGTTTAGGGTTTAGGGTTTAGGGTTTAGGGTTTAGGGTTTAGGGTTTAGGGTTTAGGGTTTAGGGTTTAGGGTTTAGGGTTTAGGGTTTAGGGTTTAGGGTTTAGGGTTTAGGGTTTAGGGTTTAGGGTTTAGGGTTTAGGGTTTAGGGTTTAGGGTTTAGGGTTTAGGGTTTAGGGTTTAGGGTTTAGGGTTTAGGGTTTAGGGTTTAGGGTTTAGGGTTTAGGGTTTAGGGTTTAGGGTTTAGGGTTTAGGGTTTAGGGTTTAGGGTTTAGGGTTTAGGGTTTAGGGTTTAGGGTTTAGGGTTTAGGGTTTAGGGTTTAGGGTTTAGGGTTTAGGGTTTAGGGTTTAGGGTTTAGGGTTTAGGGTTTAGGGTTTAGGGTTTAGGGTTTAGGGTTTAGGGTTTAGGGTTTAGGGTTTAGGGTTTAGGGTTTAGGGTTTAGGGTTTAGGGTTTAGGGTTTAGGGTTTAGGGTTTAGGGTTTAGGGTTTAGGGTTTAGGGTTTAGGGTTTAGGGTTTAGGGTTTAGGGTTTAGGGTTTAGGGTTTAGGGTTTAGGGTTTAGGGTTTAGGGTTTAGGGTTTAGGGTTTAGGGTTTAGGGTTTAGGGTTTAGGGTTTAGGGTTTAGGGTTTAGGGTTTAGGGTTTAGGGTTTAGGGTTTAGGGTTTAGGGTTTAGGGTTTAGGGTTTAGGGTTTAGGGTTTAGGGTTTAGGGTTTAGGGTTTAGGGTTTAGGGTTTAGGGTTTAGGGTTTAGGGTTTAGGGTTTAGGGTTTAGGGTTTAGGGTTTAGGGTTTAGGGTTTAGGGTTTAGGGTTTAGGGTTTAGGGTTTAGGGTTTAGGGTTTAGGGTTTAGGGTTTAGGGTTTAGGGTTTAGGGTTTAGGGTTTTTAGGGTTTAGGGTTTAGGGTTTAGGGTTTAGGGTTTAGGGTTTAGGGTTTAGGGTTTAGGGTTTAGGGTTTAGGGTTTAGGGTTTAGGGTTTAGGGTTTAGGGTTTAGGGTTTAGGGTTTAGGGTTTAGGGTTTAGGGTTTTTAGGGTTTAGGGTTTAGGGTTTAGGGTTTAGGGTTTAGGGTTTAGGGTTTAGGGTTTAGGGTTTAGGGTTTAGGGTTTAGGGTTTAGGGTTTAGGGTTTAGGGTTCTAGGGTTTAGGGTTTAGGGTTTAGGGTTTAGGGTTTAGGGTTTAGGGTTTAGGGTTTAGGGTTTAGGGTTTAGGGTTTAGGGTTTAGGGTTTAGGGTTTAGGGTTTAGGGTTTAGGGTTTAGGGTTTAGGGTTTAGGGTTTAGGGTTTAGGGTTTAGGGTTTAGGGTTTAGGGTTTAGGGTTTAGGGTTTAGGGTTTAGGGTTTAGGGTTTAGGGTTTAGGGTTTAGGGTTTAGGGTTTAGGGTTTAGGGTTTAGGGTTTAGGGTTTAGGGTTTAGGGTTTAGGGTTTAGGGTTTAGGGTTTAGGGTTTAGGGTTTAGGGTTTAGGGTTTAGGGTTTAGGGTTTAGGGTTTAGGGTTTAGGGTTTAGGGTTTAGGGTTTAGGGTTTAGGGTTTAGGGTTTAGGGTTTAGGGTTTAGGGTTTAGGGTTTAGGGTTTTTAGGGTTTAGGGTTTAGGGTTTAGGGTTTAGGGTTTAGGGTTTAGGGTTTAGGGTTTAGGGTTTAGGGTTTAGGGTTTAGGGTTTAGGGTTTAGGGTTTAGGGTTTAGGGTTTAGGGTTTAGGGTTTAGGGTTTAGGGTTTAGGGTTTAGGGTTTAGGGTTTAGGGTTTAGGGTTTAGGGTTTAGGGTTTAGGGTTTAGGGTTTAGGGTTTAGGGTTTAGGGTTTAGGGTTTAGGGTTTAGGGTTTAGGGTTTAGGGTTTAGGGTTTAGGGTTTAGGGTTTAGGGTTTAGGGTTTAGGGTTTAGGGTTTAGGGTTTAGGGTTTAGGGTTTAGGGTTTAGGGTTTAGGGTTTAGGGTTTAGGGTTTAGGGTTTAGGGTTTAGGGTTTAGGGTTTAGGGTTTAGGGTTTAGGGTTTAGGGTTTAGGGTTTAGGGTTTAGGGTTTAGGGTTTAGGGTTTAGGGTTTAGGGTTTAGGGTTTAGGGTTTAGGGTTTAGGGTTTAGGGTTTAGGGTTTAGGGTTTAGGGTTTAGGGTTTAGGGTTTTAGGGTTT